AATGTGACCCGTAATTCCCCAAACATGATGAAAACTATCACATAATTCTGCAGAGCAAATAAAAATTTTTAAGCACATAAAAAATTTTCAACCAAATTGTGCATGTCCTATGCCCTAAAATCTCAATATTACACATATTTCATACTTCTATTTCTAAATGGACATTCATTTTGTTAAAGCTAAATCCCCTCCTAATAATTGTGCAATATTTCCCCAATATGGCACCCATCATTCTGCATGTTTCTTCAAATGGTACCCATAGTTCCGCACAAATTTCAAAAACTGATACCGATAATTCCACATATTTCAGAAAAAGTACCCCTAAATAATGGCACATTCCCATCCCTTCAAACATGTTAAGGTACCCCCCCCCCCCGAGTCACAGCGTACTCTCGTCACCAATTTTTGCAAATTTTTCAGTGCCCACACTAAATTTTCTGATATATTCAGTGATTCCTTTTTAGCTTTGAAATCTTTTCTCTCGAAATGAAACATTTTGAACGATCAATATGATAATCTGTAACTCGGCAATCCCAGTTGTAAGATAATTCTCTTGGCAAAAGTTTTTTGCTGAAGTTCAGATAAATGGAGATTGAGAATTTTAAAGAATTTTGAGAGAGATTTTTAAAAAAAAAATTTGACTCGAATTTCCTACTTGCATGAAATTGGACAATTTACAATCAGTTGCTTCCTTTTATTGTAATATCAAACAATTTATTGAAAATCTGGCATGTTCTTGAGCGGAAAAAGACAATATAAAAGGAACAGGGAAAATCCTTTTTGATAAAAATGTTTAGCAGCAAAATATGATATGTTTGGTCTAAGCAGGAACGTGTAAGAAGCTCCAAAAAAATGAAAACTTTTGTTTTATCATACAATTCTTTCCCAGAAAAATCCATCAAGAAGAGATGAGACAAGAACCTGATCGAAGCAATCATTAAGACAGGATAACCCTATTAATATGAATGCGTTTGTCATTTGCAAAAAACTCACCTGTAGACGAAAAAGACAGAACATTACAAACGTTTTCTCCATGAATCAGGATCATCAGTTTGAAAATAAATGGTTTTACATGGACTTTGAGAGAGAACTCAACTTCAGAATCCAGAAAACATTACGGTTTCACGGCTTTGAGGCAGATCAAAGTTAAACATAGAGATAAAGAATATCAAAAAACTAAACGTAGCAATTCCTCTAATCGATGTATAACAAAAATGGTGTCAAATAATTAAAACAAGGATAAGCTTCTCTAAGCTTCTCTAAGCTTCTCTAAGCTTCTCTAAGTTTCTCACCCCTAAAGATTGAAGATTTTTGCATTATTTTCCAATCCTAGTGAGACAAAAATTGCTTACTTACCTATCTTTTAAAAAAATGGCTGTGCTAAAGAATAATTCTTAAAGAATCTCATAAACTTTCAAAATGTGTGCTGATCAATAGATTCAAGACTTATAAACCAAAATACTTTTTGACATTGCTTGAAGTAGACTACATTGTTTCGATTTCTTAATTAAGAAAGAATATATATTTTTCATTAGATGAGGGTTTATGTTTCACTCTTCGTACTATATGAATTATGAAGCTATTTTTATAGACAATTACCAACGCGTCCGATCTCAAGATTGATTGTTTTGCAAGTTTTGCTCATAGTTTTGTTCAGCCATCTAATTTTGTTCTAACCAGAAAAGTAAATTCCTGCTTCTTTTCCAAAAAATCAACAATACCCGGCCGGCTTATAAAAAATTCTTATATATACCTTTAGAGCCAGACTTCTCGAAATGTGAATATGATAAAAAAGACAACCATATTCTTTTAACAAGATCAACAATTTTCCAACAAAATATTCAGGAACTTTTGAATCTAAGCCTCGAAGAAAATAAAAGAGGACGCAGTTTAAATTTGCCCTCTCAGTAGTGCGGAATTGGGGCGCTTCGATTGAGCTTTTTCGAATCGAAACATACAAAGCTTTTTGCAAATGATCAACGATATTTAGAAAGGCAGTGCATGTCAATATGAAGTGCTCATAAAGAGGATTGAACTCATAATTTAAAAATTGAATGAACACACGAGAACTCAAATCGCTAAGGGACCAATGGAATTATTCGAGATAGCAAATATTCGAGTGATCGGTGATTCGAGTTATCGGGAGTTTAATGTAGTATTTATAAGATTTGATAGAGGCTGAAAAGAATCAACGTTCAGAATCTTCACAAAATGATTCTCACTACGCCAGTTGACATATCCACTTATCGCAAACGATTTGGGGTGAAAACAAAACACCAACTGACTCGACTGCAACACATCTTAACAAAATCAACGCAACTTTTATGTAACTGCTTACCCAGAGAATTATAAAATGTATCCTTGCCTTTTCATCGCCCTTCTCCAACTGTTGGAAAAAAGGAGGAAATCTTTCGGGAAACAAAATTTAAGAGATCTTTTAATGTCTGTAATGTTTATGTTGATCGCTCAAAATTGATTTACCTGTTATCATTTATTATCTATATTGTATCAGTAAATTTCATTTCTGAATGTGCCTGATTCTTGGGTAAATTTTTTCTGTGATTAAAAAGAATCCAAAAATTTAAGTAATTTCAAGTGCTGTCATAAGGAATATGGAATAAAAATCTAGGCTTTTACAACCCTGACCGCCCTATCAATACTTCTAAAAGATTTTAACAGGTGTATTCAAGAGACCTAATTGACACTTACCCATTCATGGTATCTGTATTTCTCAACCACTATAAGTTCCAAATGAACCACAAAAGTAATACCGAAACGTCCAAATATTTTCACATGGTAACAACCTGCTAGTTGCAACAGCAGGTCGTTTCACTTCTGCAAGGTACTCAGAACATTTTAGATGTGATAAAGCAACTTGCAGGTTTGTTGGTGAATCACTTTCCAAAGCGCAAAAACAAGCAACTTTCCAGTGGAGAATTTCGAGCTTTTTTACAAATGCCAGCAAGATGTATCTGAATTTTGTCAGGTTTGTTAAACTTGTGATTCTCTCAACATGTGGACAAATTAGGATCATCCAACTGCATGACAAACATATGTCACACTTGAAAAATTATTGAATTATTGCTTGAGCAAAATTCTAAGATAATTCTTTCTTTGTTTGTCTTAAGGTTTCCATAAACAAAAACAGAAAACTTTAATAAGGTTTGGCATTTTAATTGTGTATCTTGATTGTTCATTCTTTATACATTTCTTCTGAATAATGGACTCAGAAAATTTAAATGGAATTGTTGACATATCACCAAAAAACCAACATTTCTCTAAAAAGGTGACATGGAGCAACAGGAGTAATACCGATTCAAATGGAAATCAAAAATGTTCTTGTAGGTAATTTTTCTACATAACTGCTAGTATTGTGGTTGACCGGGATGAAGTTGCACACACATGCAAGCGCTCTGTCTTGGTTAAGCGGGATGACTTAGAAATGCAACTGTGTATTGAAAAAATTCAGCCAGGATAACTTGCAGCACCTAGACACGGGATTGCATGGGAAGACGGACGAGCGAGAATCTTCAAATGGGTGAAGGAACCCTCCGTCCTGGAGTCAGAGAGCATGGTGATACTAACTTGGTTCTATGCGCGTGCACTTTGACAACAGGACGGCGGGCAGCCTCACTCATCAGGACCGAGGGTTTCTCGCCTCCCCGACAAGGATAACTTGGCGAAGCAAGCCAAAAAGGCTACAGATAACACTTTGCCAGCCAGCGTCATGTAAACAGGTCTTAAAACCGCAACCAAATGAAACAACAATAAATCTATTAGAATTCATTTTAAAACTCCTGAATCGGATATTCTATTCTAACCAACTGGCTTTTCAAAGATATAAATACTATGTTAATTGATGGTTTGCATCTAAAACGGATCAATCTACTTTGATTAATTTTCTCTGCCGACATCGCTCTTGGAATAACAAATTTTGCCTGAATCCATATTACCATACACAGCCAGGAAATTTGGAACAAGGATTTTTGGAAATGAAGAAATAAGGAAATAGGGAGAAGAAAAGAAAAATAAGGAATAATAAGAAGAAATGAGGAAATATATGGGAAAGTAAGGGGAATGAGGAGGGAAAAAGGGATTAAGAGGATAAAAGGGAAAATAAAGGGAAATAAGGGGCAATGGTGGGGAAGTAAAGAGAAATTAGGAAAATAAAGAGAAATAAAGAGGATTAATGGATAATGAGAAGGATTAAGGGAAAAATACGTAAGGGGGAAAGGAGGAAATAGTGGAGAATTCAAGAGATAAGACAAAGATGCCATTGAAAATGATTTTGTTAGTTTTAGAAACTTTTTGAACCATGGATATTTTATCGAAAAACAAATCTAGCTCTTTTATTGGCGACGAATTCAAACCTCCTTGAAAACTCAAAATAACTCTAAATAAAACTTCTGATTGGCTAGACGATATGTATTGCCTGCATGATTCTAATTTTATCTGCCAGTTGATTGTTCTTTGAATATCGAATTCTACACAGCTTCAAAATGGTACGCAAAGCAGAAACATAACGAACTATACTAACGGAAAAAGCAGAAAGTCAACTCATCTCAAATCATGTCTTTTATCATTTGAATATGTAAAAATTGAGCTGGCTGTGAATAAGGTCTTCCTTGGAATACAAGCGGCAAAAGGCATGTAAAATAAACATACCTGGCATAAAAAGGTAGACAAGATATTCCTAACATGGAAATATCTTGCGACCTGTTTTGCACAATGTAGATTTCAATGCAGCTTAATGGTTAAAAACAGTGCTTTAATAGTTCCAATGTCAGATGAAATTGCAACGACCTTCAACAGCATTATTGACAACAGAATATTCTAAGATGTCCAAGTCTGCTACTTAGAGAAAATGTCATTGTTCAAGAATTTAATTTCAATAACGTTGCAATGGACTTCTAGGCCTTAGGAAAACATTTTAATTGAAAATACTGTAAGCATTAAAAAATTTGTAAAACCTTATAATAAGAGACTGTTGTCTCCTCTAGCACGTTTGGTGTGCTCTGCGTCAATTTGCATATCCTACTGCACTCAGTCAACGGTAGGATCCTGCGCAGATCTTGTGGAGACTACGCAGACTTCTCCTATGTAGAGCTGGATAAAGTTTTGGAAGGAGAGAAAATAAAAACGGTGATTGTTCCATCCGAAGAAGAATGCGAACTTGCCTGTGTTGATGAGCTGCAATGCAAGTCAATAAACATAGAAAAGAGTAAGAATGCCAGAAGATGCGAGCTCAACAAACGCTCTACTGCAGATGCTTCAGACGGGGTAGCACTAACGCCAAGGTCAGGTTGGGTGTACAAGTCTACGAGCTACACAGACAATTTGGTTAGTTTTTAAACAACAAATTAACCATTAAAAAGAGTTTTTAATAATTTTTGAACGATCATTATGATAATCTGTAACTCGGCAATCCCAGTTGTAAGACAATTATTGCTTGAAACTCTTGGCTCGAGATTTTTGTTAAATAAAAACGTCCATAACTAAATTTTTATGTTGAAGTTAGGATAAATTGAGATTGAGAATTTTAAAGAATTTAGAGAGAGATTGCAATATCAAACAATTTCAGCATATGATATATATCATAAATTTGTTGAATGATCAAACAACCGAGGATTTAAGGCTGCTGCAACTTGAATTGTTTCTCTTTTTGCGTATTATTAACGATAAACAGTTTTGTAAGGCATTTTCAACTTATGGTTATGCTAGAGAACTAAATTCTTTCATAACATGTACTTCTTTAGTTTGGGTGTTAAAAATCCTTTATAGTTTTTGGAAGTGTAGTTATAGGCAAAAATGCCTTAATGTTTCTAATAATTAAGGATGCTAGGATGTGCTTCATTAATGAATCATTGTTGCAAGACTATTACTAATATCTTCTTTCAATTCATAGATTGGGCACATGTGCAGGAAACTCGATCCATGCGAACCGGAGCATTTGTGTCTCGATGTTTGCTATTCTCCCGGTTACAAGTGCACCCACTGCAAAGAACTTCCACTTGGCATGCCGTGTGTAAGAAGTAAGTAATTACTTCCAATGTTCAGTATCACCACTGTTTTACAGGGGCTGCACCGAGAAGCTCAAAGGGGTGGGTGGGGGAGGGTTCGCATTGATAGCATTTTTAGACTAAAGATGATCTTATAGGGCACTCGTTATGTTAGCGGTACATTTAATGGGGCTGGCGAGAGGTGATCGGAAGCCTTGAGTATATCTGAAAAAAGACGCTTCCTCGCGAGCGAAGCAAGAAGAAAATACTTGCGATGATGCCCTTCAATTTTGCCTAAAAATGCATTTCAGAATATTTCTTGCATTTATTTTGTTGCAATTATTTAAAACGTTTTGCTGTTTATATGGCATGCTTTTATTACGTTTGATTGATTCCAGTCCTAAAATTTAAGTCATTAGTTTCTGTGGCCACAAAGACCTCGGCTTATTCCTTGGAAATTAATGAATGAAAGGATTTATCACACTATGCTTTTCTTAAATTTGCTTTTATTCTTTCTATGTTCTTAGAAAAACTTCTTTTCAACAAAGTGGAGGCTGAAGCCCCAAGCTCCCCCTTTTTAGACCCCTATGTTTGAGCAATCAAGTAAAACTGTGATACAAATTTATGCAGAGGCGCCTACATTCATGATTAGTAAGAGTATGAAATGTCAAGGGAAAGGGCAGGCTCTTTGCAATCATTGTGTTAGCAAGGGCTATAGAGCCTCTCCACTTTTTGCAATAATAGGTTAGAAAATTTTAGAACTGCACACTAACGTTTACACTAGAGCAATTTTTGAAAGTTTACTCTAAAAGATCCTCCTAAAACTCTCAGTGTCTTTAACATCACTTTGTTCTCTCTTTATCAGGAATGACTTTATCTCAATTGTCTCATCTGTAGTGAGTGGACCACGGCACGACCTCTTTCCTCTACTGTTCTTTATGAATCTTTCCATCCAAGAGAGAATCCTGACAATTTTCCAGAATGGCTTTCTTTCAATCATCTCATCAATCTCATCACTTTCCCTTGTAGCATTAACCTGCATAATTTCTTTCACTAACTTCTTCTCACTTTCCGACTCCTCTGAAGCCTTGATTTTGATGACTGGTGGTCAGTTCACTGATTCCCACAACCAAGAAGGGCAACTTAGCACATTGAATTTTCTTGCAACTTAGCAGATCCTCTTCTTCCGGTATCGGCAGGGTTATCTAATTTAACTTTCTCAGTCAATTCGTAACAAACTGTTTGTAGGCTTCCAAGCCTAATCAAATGTAGACAGACTGTTGAATCCGTCCATGCTTGTCTCAATCGGATGTTCAAGGATTCGAAAGCTTTGGCAGCATTTGACAACATGTCACAACCAACAAACTTGGGATGGTTAGGTCTCTTTTGCTAAACCTTGACTTTGCGACTAGAATTCACTGGTTCAAAAAACTTCCTTGTCTGTCTACTACGTTAACTATTGCAGAACATCCTTCTGTGCTTGCATCTGGGAACCCGTGAAACTCAACACCGGATATTTCGTTCTTTCTGAGAGCAATAGATCTTGTAATCTTGAATTCCTTTGGAAACTTTTTTGTGCAATTTTTCCAGCATTTCTGTAAATCATCTGGCAGTGTTTCGTCCCAGGAGATCTTTCTTTCACATATATCTTTGAAATTCATCTTTGCCTTTAAAAGAATAGGTGAGACTAGCCCCAATGGATCATAAACCTTTGCAATGGTGCCAAAAACCGTTATTTTTATACACGGTTCTTGTTCATGTGATAGAAATGTAACAGCTATGGTGTCCAATCCCTAACAGTTTCACTTCAGACTATTTCGTTCTCAAACTTTCCTTTGCAAAGCTGGTTTTATCTTCTTTAACGATTCCTTCCTCTAGCTCTTTCTCGTTCGAGTGGCACTTCTGTAATGTGAAACCTCTTTCCTTGAATATTTTGATGGTTTCATCTTTCCACTGCTTTGTCTCTTTCTTATGTCATCGACATAGATTCCGTGTCTAAGCTCTCTTACACAATCTGGATGCATGGCCTCAAATGTGTGAAATGCTGTTCTATTGTACCTCCTAACAGAAATGGACTTGCACTCAATCCGAATAAGACTCTTATGAATCTGAATCTTTTCAAATGAATCTCAGTGCATCACGTTTAGCTTCTCGAATCTCTATCTGTCAAATGCTTGTTTCACATCCTCTGCAAGCAGTATTGGCTTGAATCTTGCTCTCATCAAAATGTTCATTACCTTCATTTGAGTGATGGTGATGAACTGTCAGCTTTTGCAGAAGCATCATACACTATACGAAGCTTTGCTATCTCTGCCTTCTCTCTTAAAATTGCTTTATGTGATATGTAATGTTCTTAATTACTTTTTGGTACATCTGGTGCTTTCTCTACAATTCTTTTGACCAATTGGCTTTGAAAAATCGCATCATAATCTTTTAGCATCTCTGGTTTGGATTCTAGCTTCCTCAGAAGACTGTTAAATCTTCCCTATGCAACCATGCAATTTGCAGGCACAGTTGGGTGTTCAGCCTTCCATGGAAGAGATGTCTGATACATTCCGTGAGCTCCCTGTGTTAACTGTTCTTTGAAATCTTCATAAACTGTCCCTTGATCTTCCTCAGGTTTATCTTCTAGCCCCAACACGTCAAGATTACATAACTGCATATAATCTTTTGTTGAACTCCTTGTCAGCATCAGGGTTGATGATAGGTTCCCCTGACCAGGTGACATGATAACCCAGCCTAACTTTGTCTTCTCCGCCACTGGTTGGCCTAAATTCCCTATCCTTTGATGTTTTGATTAAGGCAACGTCATTTGCTCCCAAGATTGCATGGTTTGGTAATAACTCTTTTCCATCTGTGTCAGGCATCTTTATTCCATGTAGATGCTGATTTTCTCTAGCATAATGAGGATTTGGGAGAGTCAGTAGTACTTCTTTATTCACTCCATTCACCTCAGCTCTGATGTTAAACTTCCCATCGACATTGCTCAATTCAACATCGTACATATCAATCTTCTTGGACGTTTCCTGTAGCATCATCTCAATTGACTTGTATTCTGACCTCACTGGCTATTTGTTTATCAAATTAATCACGGAAGAAAATAAAATACATAAACATCGGCCTACCGTTTGTTCCATAACCTTCTATCGAAGCTTGTGGGGATTTACCTATTACTCAGTGACGAAAAAAATCCAACGGGAAAACGCCAAAAAGCAGTAAAAAGCCTAAAAGACTATATTATATTTTAGAAAGGGTAAATTATGCTGGTATATCTTCAAAAACTGGGATTAAACTCTGAATATTCACGAAGAAAACGTGGTATTGTTTACGTATAGGCCGCTGGATCTCATGCTCTGCAGTATGGCGTTTCTATGCGGTAGCCAAGCACGTGACGCCTGGCTGCAAAGAGCTTATTAAAAGGCTCGTGACTTTTTTCTGACATACCATGCCGTTATATTCGAGCTATTCCTCTAGAGGCTTACAAATTTAGTCTGTTTTTAAATAGAGGGTAGTTCAAGAGAGCTTATTTGACGCGGGGTTTAAGGAAGCTTAATAAAAATTTGACAAGGGGCTTAGTAATATCATTTCTTGTGAAACTTGAGGGGCTTAGTAGCCATACACAAAGCTCGTTTTGTAGCTTTTCGAAAGATTGCAAGAAAATGACCGCAAGCAATATTCTAAAATGTATTCCAAGCTAATCTAAAGGGCGTGGTCGTGTGATATTTAAGTTCGCTTCCTTCGTAGGGTGCCTCGTCTCTATGCTTTTCTCCAAGGCCTCGAAAACCTCTCGGCAGCCATGCCAATGTTATTTTAGTAGTAACGAGTGCTCTATATATCATAGGCACAACATACCATGATGATTTATAACTTTTTTAAAGGTTTGTTTTTAGACATTTAGCTGTAATCGCGACAACGAATTTATCAATTCTTCAAATATTGTTTTAAACAGCCATCAGTAATATTGCATTGGGGAAGCAGACTTCACAATCATCGCTTTATCCGAATGGATATAGCAAAAATGCAGTGGATGGAAAGAGAGCTATGAGCTGGGGTTCCTACCCTTACTCATGCATGCACACACTAGGGCAAAAACCTTGGTGGTCTGTAGCCTTTGCTGGAAATGCAGTTGTGTATTCAGTTACAATATACTCAAGGACAGATTGCTGTTTTGAACGAGTCAGTGGTCTGCATGTAAAGCTTGGCAACAAAAATGCGCCCAATAAAAATACAATAATTTGGATTACATCCACTTTTTCTTTAAGTCAAACAAAGGAAACGAAAGAATTCAGCCAACCGAAAAACGGAAAGTATCTTTATGTGGAATCGCAGTATAACACCTCTCTGGATTTTTGTGAGGTTGAAGTGATGGGATACCTAGAATAAACGGTTTAGGCATTAAACTTTGAACATGTGTTTTAGGCTTTTCATTTGTTAAAGTTTATCGTACTGCATTTTTCGTTAATTTGATGTGTACATTATTAACTAGTAGTTTTAAAGTTATTGATAATTTGTTTTTGACGGTATTTCGTTTTCAATAAAACTAAGACCCGGTTTACACGAGACCGGTTCCAAAAAGATCCTTATCCATTTGAGTTCACTTCCTCCTGTTCACACGAGACTGCCTCCAAAAAAGTTCACTTACGCTTTCTGTTCACACGAGACCTGAACTCAAGATCATTTGTGAAAGAAAGCTCAAAACACTCGAGTCGAAGGCCCCTATTACCGTGAAACAAAAGTGAAAAGGCGCCAAATTCGCTTCGCTTTCGCTTTATTTCTAAAGTTACTCCACCAGGTTTCTGTTCTCCAAGGCAGTGGCGGATTTAGGAAGGGGGGGGCAACTAGAAGCAATTGCCCTCCCTCGCTTAGTTGAACCAAGTCTGGCGCCCATTTTTGGAAATGGTTTGGCACAATAATTGTGAAAATTTCCTTTAGAAGGTGAATAGGGAGCCTTCTGACAGTAGTTAAGGTCTGAAATTGTTGTATGCAGCGTACACTCATCACAAATTTCTGAAAATTTTTCAGCGCCCCCAGTACCAACTGCCCCTCCTTCAAATTTGTTCTGGATCCGCCCATGCTCCAAGGCCCCGTCCGGAAGGTTTTTCTCTTCTATTTCTTTTCAATTCTCAGCTTGTGCAAAACGATCATGTCGTTTGCAGCTCTGCTCTGCTAACGCAACCAACCTGTTTTGTCGAGTTCGATTAACCTTTGACATTAGGGTTGCGAACAAGAAACCAATGCTGACTGACTGACATGCAGAGAAACAAAGCTATGCAAAGTTTAAAACATTTAAAGTTCCTTATTATCGCACGATAAACAGGTTATGCTTTTAAGTCAAGTTATTCTTCTTACCTTCTAACTATAAAGTTGTCTATAGCTATACATACCTGTTTTTGACAAGTCTGAAGCAATACTTTTTGACATTGCTTAAAGTAGACTACATTGTTTTGATTTCTCAATTAAGAACGTGAACATCGTAATAACAAATAAGTTTCATCAAATGAGGGTTTATCTTGTTCACTCTTTTTAATATTTAAAATGTAAAAGGCATTTTGAAAAAAATTGAGCTTCGTGCATTAATCCGATCTCAAGATCGAAAGGCACTCTTGTAAAGCCTTGGCCAAACGATTCGATTTTTCGCTCGATCTTTCTCTCGACATTTGATCTCAAAATCGAGCGAAGTCGAGCATGGGTGGCCAAACGATTCGATCTTTCGCTCGATTTTTTACTCGACTTTCTACCCACGCCAGCAAAATGAAGGCAAAGAAACGCAAATCGGCTGCCGTGTTTATCTTCCGTGCAAATATCCTTTTACAATCTCTTGACGAACTCGAGCGACATAAGACCCTGTTCGTTCGTTTCATGCAGGAACCGCCATTAAATACTTATTTCGGTTAAGCAAATTACTATTTTCAGGCAAAACTTTGTTTCTTTTGATTAGTTCGATTCTTAAAATGGAGTTCATCACTTAAAAAGGTCCTCTGGACCCCGAGGCCCTAGGGTAGTATGCTTCCCTGCCCAGCATAAGGCAAAATTTTGTTTCTTTTGATTAGTTCCAGTCTTAAAATGGAGTAGGTAATTTTGTTATGTTTAGGGCGGCGCGTCCCCATCATTTTCACCCTTTTGGAGAAACCCTTGACAATAGAAGCTCGATCCAGTCCTAATTTAGATGACTTTGTTAAAGATTGCCACGATACTCGATCATTTAACTGTTGCAAGGTCGCCAGGTGTACCAAATCGTCTAGGCACACCGTCGCTAATATATAAATCACAGCACTAAATCGCAAAATAATAATCACAATCCTCATATCAAATCTGTCAGATTTCAAATCCGAATATAAAAAAGATGCCAGCAGTACCGTCAAGAAGGGAGGAGGTTAGTCGGGGTAAACTCCCAGGGCCCAGGTCGTAAAGGCCCGAACCAGTCCATATTTAGAAGCAAGCAGATACTTGTCAGGCAACACCTTGACATTAGAAGCTCGAGCATTAGATACCAGCATGAATCAATACACTGACAGAAGGAGCTCCACCCAATCCTTATCAATATTCCAGCATTAGCTGGGCTGTTGTCAGGAGTGTTTAGAAAGGGGGGGGGGGTTTAAAACAATGTTTTGGCACAAATTTTGAGGGCTCCACGGTGCCTGGCTGTTATCAGCAACTTGATCGTATAAGCTCGATCCAGTCGTACAATAGATTGTGGATGGGATCGAATCGACCCTTTAGCAGCATACCTTTTTGAGAATAAAGATTCAATATACCTACCGCAACGTTCACTTGGTGATCTAAATTCTAAACAGACATAAAGGCCGTTTTCCACTAGGCGAATTTATTCGCGCGAAGCGACTTTTTTCGAGCATACGCATGCGTATTTAAATTCTCGCACAGAAGCTCATTCGCGGTGACTGTTCGCAGCAGCGAAAAAGTGAGTTCGAATGGATTCAACTTTTTCGCGGCGAAGAAAGGCGCAAGCCAATTAATTTGCTGGAAGCCTGTCATGTGACATCCATGACCAAAAGTCGCGCCAAAACAACAGCAGCAGGAAGAAAACATGGCTGCAATGACACTGAATCTCTTAGAACAAATGATGGCAAATGGAGACATAACTGTGGCTGACCTTGCCAGTTTAGCAAATACCAACAGTCAACAGGAACTCTACAACCACGAAGACAATGCTGCCACGCCAGGCTCCGTTGATGAGACAGGTTTTGAGGAGACAGAGACGATCGTCTCTGTTGTCACCACCACCCCCGAGAACAACCTACAAGGCCTAGACCAGTACAATGGCGAAGAACTACTTGCAGCTGAATTCGACAAAGAAGTATTTTTGGAAGAAGTCCGCAAGTACAGATGTTTGTGGGATATTGCTTCCGAAGGATACAAAATTAGGCCCATGAAGCAAAACGCATGGTCAAAAATAGGCCAGTTATTCAACAAGGACGGTGAGTTCACACCTTTTTTTTATATTCTCATAAAATTTACAACGACAATCAATTACAATACACAAGCCTAGGGAGCAAGGAAATGCATACCAACCCTAAGACCTACACTTAACATAGAGACACAAATATTACAATAATAAGCTACAGAAGTGATTGGAGTGGTGTCGCCCATCGTTCCAATAGCGTTGCAGATATGACAAATACTCACAAAAAGCTATTTTAAAAGGAGATATCAAGTTTACCTATGTTCCTTGCTAATCAAACAAATTTGCGCCCAGACATGATGAGCAACACCACTCCAATCGTAAAAGGAATAAAATTTATACAGTTCGAGAAAATAATTTACAGGAGAGAGGTTTTCACAGCTTGTAGTTTTCTTTTTGTCCCTCAAACTGATAACTCTCATAATAATAATCTAATAATTCTAAGAGACTTTCTGTGCTGGACAAAATTCTTAGTTTGATGATATCTTTTAGAATCTTGTAAATAATATTATTTGATTTCTTTTTTTGTAGTGGAATTTCTTCAGAGGCATCTAAAAAATCTAAAGGACAACCTGAAAAAATGTTTGGACAAGAGGAACCGGATGACTAGGTCTGGTGCTGCTGCAAGTTCATTGCCTAAATGCAAGTACTTTGAACAAATGAGATTTCTGCATGAAAAAACAGCAAACAGGCCCACAGAAAGCAACATTATTCAAGCTGAAACAGCTTTGCAGTCTGAAGATGTTTTGGACGGCCCATTAGCCCCTCAGATATCAGTAAGGCCAGTTGTTCTGAGTGGTACAAAAAGGAAGGCAAGTGACACACCATCCTCTTGTGGTAGTCAAGGGTATAAGAATCGTCAAGAAAGATTTGATAATGCAATCCTGAAAGAATTGGAATCCACAAATAATGCAATCAAGTCAGTTGTCACTACTGATAATGAGGATGAAGTTTCTCTGTATTGCAAAAGCATCATTCCAATAATATCATCTTTTTCAATTAAAAAGAAACGATTAGCTATGATCAAAGTCAGCCAACTGTTGTTTGAACTTGAGTTTGAACATGAATAATATTATGTAAGTTTAACTTTTTATGGATATGTAACATTTTTATTTTGATGTCTATACACATTTGTAATTCTGTTCTTACTTGCTTCATACTTTTACTGTCTGTCCTGAAACCACTCATGTGGATTTGCAGTTCGACTAACCAATTCATTTTGCCATTCAACTGTGCCCTCGTTGATAAAGTAGTTTTTATATCCATGTCTTACAGAAGCTGCATCTTTAGAGTAGTTATTTGAACCACTTTGAGAAATTGGTCGAAGGCTACCAAAATCAGCTCTGTTTTGTCTCCATTCACCAGCCTCAAACCCTGATGGTCCATCATGGTCAACAAAGTTTCTTGGGCAATATCGATTGTTTGTTGATGAATTTTTAAACATCAGTAGATTGTGCAGTGCAACAATAGCTTTTGTGATAAGTATTACTTTGCTTACATTGGCAATGATTGGTCTTCTCAATACTCGAAATCTACTGGCAGCAATCCCGAAAGTGTTTTCAATCACCCTCCTTGCCCTTGATAACCGATAATTAAAGACACGTTGATCAAATGACAAATTATGTGATGGGAAGGGCTTCATCATATGTGTTTTGAGTCCAAATGCATCGTCTGCAACAAATACAAATGGAAGTCGTTTTTCTGAGTTGGGCAGCTTTGCAGGTCCAGGGATTTGCAATAGATTATTTTCAATAGCATAACCTAAATTACTACAATTATACACACTTCCATCACTCTGGCGACCACTATCTCCTATATCCACCAGAGTGAACTTATATCTTGCATTGCAAATTGCCAAAAGGGCAATGCTAAAAGTTTTTTGTAATTAAAAAAGGAAGATCCTGATTTTGCTGGTGCTTGCATGACCACATGTTTCCCATCAAGGGCTCCCAAGCAATTCGGAAAATTCCAAAATCTTGAAAATTCTTCGGCTATAGATTTCCATTCCAGTTCTGTTGATGGGTTTTTGATGAAGCCTTTTGCGCTGAGTACTTTCCATACAACTTCACAAGTCTCACTGATTATTCTCCCAACAACTGTGGGACTCATACGGAAGCTTGCTGATATCGTTACTTGGGCATCACCCGTCACCAGGTATCTTAAACAAACAGACAATCTTTCACTTGGTTGGATAGCTTTCCTCATTTTCGTATCGTTTTTCTGAAGAAACGGGCCAAACCAATTCAGGAGCTCTTCAAACAGTGTAGGAGTCATTCTAAAACACCTGAAAAAATATTCAGCATCGTGTAGTCTCAGTTCTTTGATCAAAAGATGATACTCGCCCTTCCGCTCCCGTTCTTCATAGATCTTCCTTATCCAAAACCTTTTCTTGTACTTTTGCAACCTTCTCTCGCGTCTTCTTAGGAGCAAAATTTTGATCAATAATCGAGCTTTCAGTAGCAGTAGATACCTGAGATTAACAGCGGCCATCTTTGAAAAGCTTTTCGCACCAAAAAACCAAAACTCGCTGGAGCTTCTGTGGAAAACAAAAACGCGTTCGATCGATTTTTTTCGCCGCGAAAAATTCGCTTCGCGCGAATAAATTCGCCTAGTGGAAAACGGCCTTAAGTGCAGATACATTAATGTTTTAAAAGGAGCCGTTAAGATGATGTCAAGTATTTCTGTTATGACTATGTTATTTGAAAGTTATTATACAGCTTCCGAAAATATGTCATTTCGGTGATTATGTTTCAGAAATAAAGTATTGAGACAACTTATAGCGAATAAACAAAACAAAACAGAATGAATGAATCCAGTGTTGCATTAGCAACACTGTTTATTAAAAACTTTTGGGATGGCTTTAGGAAACCTTGTCAACATGGTCAAAAAGCACACAATACGAAAAATTTGATGGGCCCTTTTTGGTCGGGGGCCCTTAGTTCTCGAACTAAGGTCGCCTAACCTGCGTACGCCACTGGGAAGAATTCAGCCAACCAAAGAAAGAAAAGTACATCTATTTTGAGTCACAGCTTAAGAACTATTTGGATATGTGTGAGTGTGAAGTAATGTGGTATCTGCAATAAGGGAATAAATGGAAAGCAAAAGAGGTTGAATTCAGGGAAGACTTTTTTAAATTAAACAGCCCCAAATTTTAGCTAAATAAAGACGTTTCTTTGAAAATTCCTTTATTATGGCTCTTAAATTCTCTCTTGGTCCTCCTCAACTTTCAATCTGCATCTGCTGTGATCTTTATATTGGTTCTCGATTTATCAATAAATCTGCGCTCTGAGTCAATCATCCAAAGGCTCTTTGAGCGGGTCCATTTTTGAACTTCAATAATCGTGGTTGTAAGGGTTTTTCGTTTTGTTTCGAAAGATTTCAAATGACTTTTGTGTCTTGATATCCCTTATCCTTTTGCTCGACAAATTCACATTAACTTTTTATCACCTATTAATATTCCTCTGCTTTTAATTATTTCATTGCAGATCCTTGAAATTTTTTCTGTTTTTACTCTTCTTTAAAGTCCTAATCATTGTCCCCCTTCTTGCTCTGTCTGAAGGTCTTTATCATGGTCCCTCTATTTGCTCTTTCTCAAGGTCTTTATCGCCGTCATTTTTCTTGCTCTTTCCAATGGCTTTTACCATGATCCATTTGTTTATCTTTCTAAAGGTCTTCATCATGGTCCCTCTTTTTGCTTTTATCAGGGTAATCATCAATGCTTCTTTACTATTTTCCTCAAGCTCTCATCTCTGTATCTCTTTTAATCTTTCCTCACACTGTACATAAATTTCTCTCTTCTTTCACTTCCTCAAGGTCTATAACAGTTTTTTCGTGTTGTTCTGCATCAAAATCTCTCTCTCTTATCTTTTCAATTGCTTTTGCTTATCATACTAGTTTTATTCTAACCATTTCATTGCATTGCTTGGTAAATTGACATTTCACATCTTTTTGTATTCACATTTCGAACGGCACTTAAGATTCTTATTTACATTTTGTATGACATTGATGTTTTCAATGACTCTTTTGAAATTTTAATGTATTTACATGTTGCACGGTATTCACATTTTGTATGGCATTAAAATTTCATATGGCACTTAGCTTGCACAGGACATTTACATTTTTAATGTATTTTAAATTTGTTTGGTACTTATATTTTGTATGGCATATACATCCCTTTATTCATTGTAATGATGTAACACATAATGATTAATAGTGTAATAATATAATAATGTAATGTAATAAAATCTCCTATCTCAATTAGATTTATTTTATTTTTTTATGTTTTTACACCTTGTATGTTATTTGAATTTAGTATATCATGTACATTCCGTACAATATTTTTCGTTTCAATCTAGACTTGGAATTCATGATCTCTTAGATTTCATGATCTCTCGGCTTTCATGATCTCTCACACTTACATGACGTTTTGAATTCCATATTGCCATTGCAAATAAGACGTGCACTCTAGTCGTCGCAAATACCGAGCCTAACTATTTCAAACATGATATCAAGACTGACTTGAAAACTAGCTATAGGCCATTCTCTTTGTTGGCAATGATGGTAGCTAGAGATTAATCACAGTTGCCGGTTGGGTCAATTTGCTGGGATGATTTTCGGAGAAAATTGTTTCGTATACACAAAGACATGAAAAATTGGGGTGACATGGCAGACAAATGCAGTTACAAAACCCGGACAACTCCTTGCTATTTTTGTCTCTGAGTATGATTTGAAAGTTTGCTCATTAGCCAGGGAGAGTTTCAAGCCTACGTTTTTTGCTTGCAAACAAAAAAGCAAGCACTTGGCCTAGAATGCATTCTTGCTTTGTTTTTGTAGCTCTAAAAAGCAGTGAGTTGACACTCCTTTCGACGGGGACTGCAGAAGTGGGGGATTTGTTCCCCAACCCAAATACAATGAAATCATACCCTGAATCTTTTTGCACTTGGTTCTTAGGGTTCCATCCCATGAATAGCCTCGCCGTCTCCATTCCTTGCTGGTCACCAGTGCCGATTTTGATTCCCTCTTTTGCGTCACTAGTTCCAGTCCACCAAGCACCAGTGCATGGTAACATAACATGGTGGCAATAAGGCCGAAACGTACGGTGTTATAAATACACTGTACAAAAGTGGCATTTCAATGTATTGTGAATAAGAGTTGCATTTTAATGTCTGTGCATGGCTAAAACTGGAAGAAAAGGGCAAAAACCCCGAGGAGAAAGGAAGGATGACCTTGAAAGAAAGAGGGACGAGCGGGCTAAGCGAGCAGCTCTTCGCAAAGAAAGAGATGTTAAAAACTTTTACTCCTTAGAAGACGATGAGAATTACGTAAGTTTCTACAACCAGTTGCAGGCAATCGGATTAAAGATTAAGGATATACCAGGAGATGGGTGAGATCACAGACTTGAGCTCTAAACTAAGTTTTCTAAAAAAAGTCCTTGTAGGGTATGGTATGGCAGTTCTCCACGAGATCCCGGGAGTGCCGGGAGTGCAAGAATGCATTATTATTAAGGTATACCTCTGTCAAAATAATTCCATTCTTAAAATTGAATTTCATTATAAGGCTCCCTAGGCCTTGAGACCTTTGGAAAATTTGTCCTGCATCTTGCTTGGCGTCCCTGCTTGAAATAATACTTTAGGATAATCATGTATTTGGCCTTTTTAAAAATTGTTTCTAAAGTCATTCCTTTACTTGCAGAACCTTTAGGAATTTGAATAACAGCCACTGATGGTATTGGTAGGTAAGCATAGTTCACCACTCTCAATTATTAAATTTCCCTTAGGTGTATATTTGATGTAAACAAGATAATTGCTGGGAAAACATGCACACACTCAAGAATTACTGGGAACAGTTGTGCACATTCAAGTGTACACACTTATCACAAATGCACGCTTGCACTCCTGGGCAATACCTTGTGCACTCCTGAGATCTTGTTGAAAACTGCCATGAAATCCAGACTGGCCAGCAATTGCTTGTCTCACACCAATACCATGTCAAACAATATAACTCTAAACCATGAATTTTATTCAATGTACTTCTGGGTAGCATAATAAATTCCAGGTAATATGCTTATCAACTATTGTTGCTTTGTGGGGAAGGGGATGTCTTTTTTCCAAAATAATTCATCGACTGCAGGTTAATGATGCAAGGATAAGTTAGCTTATATTTATGGTATGGTCTACTGCCTTCTAATGCTTTCTGCCAGTGATATAGGCATTTGTTTGTATGCTTTTATAACAGAAGTGCTTAGCACCTCCACTTTCTCACAAAAACCTTACTTTTCCTGGAATCAGCACAAGTATACAAAGAGAGATGCTTAAGTTGAGTATTCAAATTATTAGTCGAAAGCATAATATTTTCAAATTTAGGAGAATATTGATAACATCAAGGCTACATTGGCATAGATACAAAATTTGTTTGATTACAGGCCAACCTTCTTGTATAAGCTTCCCACGATTATGAACAACAACAAATAGGGGAATGCAAGCTGTCCTTGATAATAGGCTACTCAACAAAACTATACAGAGATACTTGGTTTGGGATGATGGAAGCAGAAACTGACAAAACCTTTATTGTTTACTTAAACCTCATCACCTTATAACAATATCATCCAGCATGGGATCATCCACAACATGAAAAAGTATTCCATCTTTTACAATATCACCCTAAGCTTTAAAGTAGCAGGAAAGCTTGGCAGGGTCGTCCAGTATTATGCCACTGACACTGAATCATTTGAGTTTGACATAGATACTGAAACATAGTTTTGACCTCCTGGATAAAACAGTGCAAGCCATCCTGATATATAAGCTGTCATCTGTTATAAACTGCAGCCAAATGTGCCGAAAATGTGCTGCAGCCTATTCTTGAATCCATATGGTCCGTTTCATTTCCAGAGCATTTCAGAAATTTTCCTTGATGTCTTATTGAAAACCAAAAAAAAGCTTTTCTTGGCTTTGGAAAATAATGTGTTTGCAAATGATTTATTTTAAAGACGGTTTTCACATTTTTTGCTGCCTCTTCACATGTGATAAAGTTTTTTACAATAAAAGCAAGCCAAACTTTTGGCCAACCCCTGTGTTCTTATCAATAACTGCCATAGTTTCAAGGGCAGTCATGTTGGACCCTCTTTTCAAGGGGACTCAAGCCTGTATCTGGGCCATGCAAGGTTACCTTGTCCTGGTTGTGCAGAAACCCCACCAAAAAAACTGGTATAACAGGCTATATAATAGATGTGTGAATGAAGAAAAGGCTACTGTTGCAGGCTGCTCGACGGGCTCCAAAGAGTTCTTGCGGCAAAAAGTCGATAAAAATGTAGCAAAGGGTGGCAAATGAGAAAGGGTGGGTGGTGGTGGTAGTGGAATAAAGACGTAATGGGGATGAATTACCATAATATGAAATAATGATAATGTTGCTGTAAGGTTAACGGTCAGTGGTTCTGTTCATGCCGTTCGGTGTGAGAGTGTTTGCCAGGCCAATGAGGTATTGCTCTTTGGCTCGTCGGCCACTCTCTCGTTTGTTGTTGAGTTTCAGTAATGGTGTTACAGTAAGGTCATTGATGGTATGTTCTGGGCTACAGAAGTGTTCTGCAACACCAGATTTGTTTCTTATGTTGCCAATAAAAGTATGTTATGCTTTAGATCACTTTAAATTGATTCAAGGTTTTTTGATGCAGGAACTGTCTGTTCAGAGCTTTGGCAGACCAGCTAGAGGGGGACCATAACAGACATAGACAACTCAGAAGAAATACAGTGCATTTTATTCGAGAAAACTCTGCTGACTTTGAGCCATTTTTTGATGGTGAATCAACATTTGTAGATTACTGTAAGTTTCTCAGATTATTGTTAGATAAATAAAGCAGCTTTAGTCACAAAGGAATTTACTGAGAAGAACATTGCTTAATATACTTAATATACTTAATATGAGAAGAACTGTTCAGAAATTAGCTAAAAATATACATTTTGCAAGTTAAGCTTTGTCAAGTTGATCCTATTATGCTCTAAACTGATAATGCAAGTTTTTAAAAAATATCAACATTATCAATATCATCAAGTGTCAAATTGAAAGTAACTGTTGTGAAAGAAATAAACCAAAATTTGTTCTCACAAGCCATTAAAGCAAGATTAAACCAGATTACATCTGCATCCTACGCTCTATTTCTTATACATCAAATTTTGCCCCATCTTGCACACTTTTTGAAATGATATAATATACTAGAAACAGATAAATCCAAAAATGTAACATCATACTACATAAAGGCTTATGAAAAATTTCCTTCTTATTGACTTTACATTTCATTATGAAAGCTGCTCTATAAGAAGGCTAGGAGTTTTGTGAACTTGAGGTTTGTTGAATAGGTGTCTGTAAAATGTCGGGTCCTTCTAAGATCCATCCTCCATTGTCATATATCGTAATTTCTCTGTGTCCTCGCAAGTCACCTAGTATGCAACACTTGCAAAGGCAACATTAAAACAATTATCTCTTGCTCTTTTGGAAATATACTTGATTCCTTTTTTGCCTCATAATTTGAGACTACAAATTTTGGCAAGACTTTTTGGAATTTTAAAAATGTTTAAGCAGTATAATCTCAAGTTCTTTATTCTCAAATGAGTACCATTCAAGTGAACATTGGGTGTTTTTCCTATTGCAGTAGATGAGCTTGAAAAGGATGGCACTTTTGCAGGAAACGACGCCATTGTTGCATTTTCAAAACATAACAATGTTGATATTATTATTCATCAGTATAACAGCCCAAAGTTTGTAATCAGAGCGCCAGTGAATACCAAGAAAGTCGAGCTACATCTAGCATACCACAACTGGGAGCACTACTCGTCTGTCAGACAGCTTAGTGATGTCTCTGTGGGGCCAGCCTATTTACAGCACAACCGAAAACATTCAAGCCAGCAGGTATGGGCTATAGAAAAATTCACAGATTCCTATTCTGCGTGGTAAAAAAATGAATTTTGTGCTTTTTTTAAAAAGAAGTTAGCTCGACTAGTGATTCTGTGATTCTTTTCAAAAACTCTTTGTGTAGAGCATGCAGCTCGATTCCTTACTGCGATATTTTTGCATCTGCATGTTATAGCTTGTGGTTGAAATTTCAGATCTGATTCTACATACTGTCGCTTTCAGTACACCACCTCCTCCTAGGAAAGACCATTGTGCTCTCTACCTTTTCTATGTCATTTTGTCGTAAGTCAACATTGTTTCCAGAGATGGGGGGGGGGGGGGGGGACTAATATCCACTTGGGAAATCAAGATTAATATTATTGCTAACCAGGATTTTATTTAATGATCTAAAGGGATTCATCCGATTGCTCATTTGTGGATTGTCCAGCAAGATTCATTTTCGGATTCATTTTCAGTATCAAATTAATCTCAAAGCAAGTTTTATGATCATCAAGCCGAGCTAGTTGCCTACCTCTCATAGACACAACAGATAATATGGAAGGTCCGTGATGACAAATTTTGAGTAACGGGCCAACTAAAATGAAAATTAAAACGATTATTGTCATCAAATGGGAACTTTTATCCCTATCTTTCATTTTCAAATATATCCTTCAGGCTCCGAAAATTCAGGTAAAGGCTAAAGACAAAGTAACATCAAAGATCAAGGATGTTAGCACTTGCGCGAGCGAAAATGTCACTGAGGATGAACGACTAGTCATGGAGAGTACATCATGTCAGGTACAAGAATCCTTCGTTTTAATCGAAAATTTTGATGAGCAAGCAAAAATTCAAAAGCATTACTGCACTCTGTTACTGCACCTTTTTTGATTTCTTGCGTTTTGCGCATTTTTCTTACATCCCTTCAAAGCTGCTGTCTCTACTAGTAAGGAATTTCCTTTATCTCTCTGTCCTGAAAATTAGAATCTTTTTTGAATATCTCCATGACGTAGAAACTGCTCTATTTAAAAGTGACGAAAGCAGCACCAGTACAATTTATCACAAATTTCCTTCTTTAGGATACGGAATTTGTAAGACAATCATTAAATGACAACCATGGAGATGTCGATATCACGATTGCGTACTAACTCCAGCTGGTGGCTCTTGATGACATCAGAGATCAATCTCAAGGTATGCTTTTTGTCGCGATTTTGCCAATTGTCACGTGCAAGGCTGTCAAAGCTGACCTTTAGATTGTCACGTGCAAGGCTGTCAAAGTGTGAAGTAAAGAAATCCACTGACACCTCAAACAATCGGCTGTAAAAGCTGTCAAAGCTGACCTTTAGATTGTCACATGCAAGGCTGTCAAAGCTGACCTTTAGATTGTCACGTGCAAGCCTGTCAAAGCTGACCTTTAGATTGTCACGTGCAAGGCTGTCAAAGTGTAAAGTAAAATAATCCACTGACACCTCAAACAGTTGGCTGTAAAAGCTGTCATAGCTGACCTTTAGATTGTCACGTGCAAGGCTGTCAAAGCTGACCTTTATATTGTTACATGCAAGGCTGTCAGAGCTGACCTTTAGATTGTCACCTGCAAGGCTGTCAGAGCTGACCTTTAGAGCACCCCGCCCCTTCACCCTGTTATATTTTTTTCACTAAATCAAAATCACTACCCTAATACCCGCGGGTCAATTTAGGCCATTTACCACTTCCGGGCTCCAAAAAAATTGCGATGTGCTCATGGCAATTAAAAACTTAGATTGTTAAAATAAGGCGAAGTACAAAAACGTTTTGTCTAACAAATTAGCCTCGTAGATCTCTTAATCATGCAACAGTATGGCGTTAATAGTTTAAAGTGATGAGTCTCTATTTTAGTTTAATTAATGTTATTTTAAAGATGCACATGTAGCAGCTTGTCTTAAAGACGAAGCCTGTGCTTTTGCTGACAACAGCTGCAAATGTGGAGAGCAAATGCAGGATAAGAAAGCAGAAACTGGAAGAGATTCTCAAACAGAAAAGCAGCACAAGGTGGGTTTCGTGTTAGTTTTGCTTCGATTTCGAATTTGCTGAATTCGTTACATTGTAAAGTTGGCGTAGAAGGACATATGGGTCATGTTTATAGTTGCTATACTTCAAACCCCCTGTATTGTTGCATCATGCAAAGCTTACAATGAAAGTTGTGTGAGAGTTTAACATTATGAGGTATAATTTAGATTATATAGCGTGTAAAACAAGGGTTTCGAAAAAGATTCAGAACAGTTTGCTTTGAAGAAGCTTGCAGTAGCAATGCGCGAGATCCGAGGGTCTAAAGGATCAGCATAACTGACAACGATGAAGACAATGAGAATTATAATTCAAAAATGGTAGCAACTGCACGAAAAAAAACAGCACGAGCAACAGCAACAGCACGATCAACAGGACGAGCAACAACAACAACAAGCATGAAACTTCAGTTACAACTAATGCAAGAATGTCAAGCGTTTTATATTTAATTCTTTGTGTTTTTAGTAACTCAAATCTCAAATACACTACTGAGCGATAAATCACTACGAAACATTATCAGAAACAGCCATTTAACCTACTATGGCCACCATAAATAGAGCAGACAACAGTTTAGAAAAATTGCCAATGCAAGGAAAAATTGAAGGCGAAATAGAAATGGTGATGGAAAGTTCATGACATCACTAGGGCTCGCTCGAATGGCCTGAACGACAAAAAATCTCAATATTACATTGATACGTCACCACAAAACTGCCACCTTGTTCAACCAAATAAGCCACAATACCCCTGATTCGTTTGTTGTCTTTTTACCTTTTTCTTTGTCTAGAATTTCTTCTGCCTTAGTGGTCCTCATGTAGTAATGTGTTATGGCGCTTTTCATCAGGTAGTCATACTATTTGTTCCCCCCGCGTCTTCTTTTAAAACTTTTATGTATTCAGAGATGCGACTTAGGCTCATGAACATGTTCATTTTTCAAGAAATCATAATGATAATAATAATGACTAAAGATCCAAACCAAAATTGTTCTTTTATGCGATTGAATGTGCTTTACTAGGTTTGACGCCACCAAGAAATTTATCGCTCTGCTTTGGTACACAAACAATATATGCATTATGCTAATTATTTCTTATGTCGCAGATGCATTTGAGCAACAGACAGAGAAAAGAACTGGCGAAGCAAGAGAAAAAGAAGAGAAGAGAAGAAACTTTGAGGACTCAGTCAGCTTCAGGGAAGAAAGATCTGAAAACTAATGACGAGAAAGACTCTGATTTAGGAACAGTTGCCATATGAACATCAGAAATAAATTTTCTTGAAGTTATAACTTTTGGAAACCCTGGAGTAGATTTATGATAAAATATGACCGCATATGCGTAGCACCGGTCAGTCAATCATTACGAATTGTAATTATTACCAATTTACGGCTTATTCTGGTCTTTAGACATGTACGAAAAACAAGAAGTTTCACAAATCTGTGGTTGTTTTTGGATCTACCTCTCCCCTAACTGAGAACAATGGATCTACACTCCATTCTTATCGTTCTTAACATTTGCACTCTCATATTTCACCGCTTCTATGTTACTCTAAAGCCTCATAAGGCGGATCTCTTGGGAACAGACACAAAAGTCCGACTTGTGCGTAGTCCCACTTACAACTCCTATGGAAAACCGGAGCACGACAGCTTGAAACCAAACACATAGCATCGAAATCGCGTCAAACTGACATTAATTTTGTCAGCTAATTTAAAAATAGAATAAATTAATCATTATAAGCTGACGTTGATCATATCGCTAGTTATTCTACAGTATTTTACCCAATTCACGAATGTGTTTCCCTTTGAGATTGAAGTATCTGATGTAAGTGACTTCAGAAAAGGTCCGTCTAATGCAATATCCGACTTAAAAATCGAATGGACTGGAACTACTCATTATCTTGTAGGAGAAATTATCACGCTGTGTGGTGAGTCCAAGGTCACGCATATTTCTACTTTATCTCCAAATGGAACGGTTTTCTTCATGCTGATCATTCAAATATCATTTTATAACTGGTGACAGTATTTAACAACGCCTTTTTTCATTCAACAGGACTAGCGATGAAATTCATGCCAGATTGGCAAAAAACAGGAGTAAAAACAATAGAGGAAAAACATGACAGAACTTTTAACTTAACGTTTACGTCTTTTACATTTAATAATAAAATGTTCATCGCCTGTTTTTTGTCCTAATACTGTTTAACTCGTCAAAACGATCCATAGAAATGGGGTCACTTTACTAACGAAAAAATACATACGAAAAAGCCAACTTTCTCGATACATTGTAAAACAAGTTTCTTTCAAAACAACTGGGATTTGCAAAATTACTTACTGTTCAAAGGCAATTCACCGACTGCGACGTGAACTAAGATAATTGATTTCTTAATACAATATTTTATCATTGGTAAGCAGGGCAAACGACAAGCGTATGCAACCCAACATGTTTTGATACGTTTAATAGAAGACTGGAAGACTAGCCTTGACAATGGCTATTTCATTGGTGCAGTCTTAAGGGATCTTTCGAAAGCTTTCGATTGTGTCCCGCATGATTTGCTTATCGCCAAACTACATACGTATGAATTTAATGAAGATGCTCTAGTTCTAATTAATTCTCAAAAGACAAAATCAGTGTGTTCGGATAAACAATTCATACAGCTCTTTTCAAGAGGTTATGTCTGGTGTACCCCAGGGCTCTGTGCTAGGGCCAGTCCTGCTCAATTTTTACATAAATGACATTTCTATTCATAAAACAAGCAACGCTTGAAAACACTTTGCAAAAAAACAGAGGTTGCCCTATCATGGTTAGAACAAAATGAAATGATTGCAAACCCTGAAAAATTTTATGCTATAATGCATAGAAAAAACAAAACAAATACTAGTGTTGAACAAATAATCAATAATGGTAAAAAAATTTATTCTGAACAGTCATTGAAGCTTTTAGGAGTAACGTTGGATTGCAAACTTGATTTCGACCCACATTTTGAATCTTTGCAAGAAAAGCTGCAACAAAATTGAATGTTCTTAAAAGATTAAAGAAAAGTTTATTGGTTTCAACGAAAAAAGATTCTTGTTCAGAGCTTTGTATATTCCAAATTCAGTTATTGTCACTTGGTCTGATATTTTTTCATCTTCTAAATCATTACAGAAAATTGAACAAGAATGCGCCCTAAGTTTTATCAATAATGATCATACAAGTTCGTAAAACGATCTGCTTTTGAATTCAGAAAAATAGACGATACTCGCTGCTCGTCAAAAAATTCTGTGCATTGAAATATTCAAAACAGTAATACAGTTGAACCTACCTTTTATGCAGAGTATTTTTAAATTACGTTTGTCAAATTATTCATTAAGAAATCCAAATAACTTAGCCCATGTTAGACCTAATCCAACAACATTCGGATCCAAAAGTCTAATGCCAATCGGGCCACAGATTTGGAATGGCCTATCCAACAAACTGAAATCCGCAGAAAATTTGAAAAGTTTTTAAGAATCTAATAAAACAATGGGACGGACCGATTAGCAAATGTAGTGCCTGTCAGCTTCTGCCAGTGAATGCAAATTAATCTTTAACTTAGTATCTATAATAACATTTTTGTACTAATTGGTAGATATGTTCGATTTTGATTAGTTAACATTGCATATTTACGTATAAAATGTTAACTATTGTTTTTATATCGAATTAAAATGAATTTACAACAACAACAACAACAAACAATTTACAACAACTTCTCACTGCCACGAAATCGCGGTGAAGCTGGCCCATGTTAATACAAAGGTACCTCCCTTTTTCTAATGTCCACGCAACAACCACCTCCCTGATCAATACTTATCTCAGTTCACGGTTCCACTTCCGTACGAAAGATTATCTTCAATTATCCAAACATTATACTTACCAAAACCGTAGGAATATGTATTTAAAATTTTCATGCTATGTGAATAGCCTATTCCTGATAGATTCCTAAATCAAATTTCATTTACAGCCTAACATTAGAATTTGTTTTCTTTAGCTTCAATGCATTTTACAGTATGTTACTGTCATGCGCGTCTTCCTTAGAGGAATATGTTTTAACATACGCTGCTCCAGGTCTAAAGACAAAAAGATTTTCATTTTGATTACAAACAATGTATTCTATCATTAGTTAAAAATTAAATACACGAAAAAGCGTAAAAATAATCCCAGATTATGTGTATAAAAATTATACATTCTATAAAACTAGAATACAAAATATGTTTAAAAACCGTATAATTCTACGTAGAGATTTTTACATTGATAATAAAAAGACTGCTTCGAGAACTTCTGGGTTCAGGCAGAAAGAGAAGATGCAAAAAAGGAAGTTTCCCTAACTTTTTTGACCTCGTGTATCTTACTCGAAGCCTGCGTATCATATCAGGCCAATAATTGTAGCGTACTGTAGTGACATTTCTGTTATTTAGAACCCTCCGTACAAAAACTCTTTGACTCGTCAGTTTTCATTCATTTGATTCAAGTTTTTAATGCTATGCTCTACTAAAAATATCTTTAATATTCTGGCTTCCTGAATCTATTAGATTCAATGTTCCGTGGTATTCTTGTACGTGAGAAACATAATAGTAGTGGCGGTATCAACTGCGAAATATGTTCATTGCTTATACCTAATATCATGGCCAACGACCCATTATTCTCTACATTTCGCCAGCTGAAATCGGCTGTATGTTAAGTTCATGTTTCAGAGCTGGGTCTTTTATACTCTATTCTAATTTCATTGAACTTCAAAGAATAATTTTGATATCTTCGAAATTAAATCCAAGTATATCGACGGAATCAAAAATTTCAGGAGAAGAATCTTAAAAACTCAATAACTGAAATTCTTTGTTTAAAAACGTAAAAAAGAGCGCATCAAAACTTGTCTTATCAAAATTTATAGTGGAACTGTAAATATAATTTAATAAATAGCTAAATTCTTGTATTTCTTGTTTGCTTAAGATGGAAAATGGCTCTGTCTGTTAGATACGAGAAACTGAAAATTAGGTCCTTTTGTGAAAGAAAATAATAAAAAATTGTATACACATTTCACTCCCATAGAACTGTAATTGAGATGAAAAACTGACGCTTTGAAAATACCCCTACTCAGATCCAAGCACCAACTGGAATCCTTTCTGAGTTTTCTTGTCGGCAAACATTCAAAACTGGAGAATTGAAACAGCGTCATAGATTCAGAAGTTCCCAAGTATAAAAACCATAGGCTGTCTGTACTCCTTGCATTCTTGACCGAATTGACTGAGATTATGACATCTTGGCTGAATGCATTCATTCGATAACGCCTTCCCATGTGACTATTTTCTTTTCCACTGCATCATGGGATTAGTAAGGCATACCTGCAATCGAGGCCGTAGAGCCTTATTTTCATGGCTTGAAGAAACAAACTGGTAGACTCCGACTGAGAGATCATCACCCGCGACGCGGACAAGGAATCCGTAGTTTCGAAGGCGCTTGGAGACTTTGATACGCCATTGGTGTACGGCTTTGAAAACGTCCAATTCCAACCAACCAGACAGTGACGGTGATATTGTGGCTGACGCCAAACTGAAAAGCAATGAATTTTATCACCAGAGCAGTAATAATTTATACTGTGACAATTATTAAAAACCAAGGTGATAGACTAAAAGGCGTCTTTGTAGTAAGAAATCCGCGCAGAAGCTTGGTTCACTGAAATGGCTAAAACAATACTCAATTGCTTTGATAATACGCTCCCTACAAGGAGAAGATATGGCAAAATATGCCCAAAAATTGGAGAAGTGAAGTTCTAACTTAAAATAACAGATGGCAATTAAAATTTACGATGCCTCTTAAAGAATGAGATGCAGCTAATAAATTTATTGTGTTTCTCCCTGAAAAATGAAGCAAGAAAATCATAGAGACTCATTTTAGTAACCATAAAACGATCAAGTTTCAAACGTCGCTAAAACATGTGTTAAGAATAGATAGTATAAAGCGCAATAAATTCTGGCAGCATTCTTCACTTTAAAACCTCATTTAATTGATTTTATCTTGTTGGAGAAGCGAAAACTGCTTCACTTAGAATCTAAAGAAACTTACACTTTTGAAACGACGTCTTTCGACAAATCTAAATGGTCACCATGCCATGGCATGCGACTTGTGACATTAGAACTGTCCCAAGCAGAGCTCTTGACAAGATATACTTCTATTTTGATTTTCGGTTCCCGTGATCGTGCGAGTACATTCAGTGACGACTGTCGGTTTTCACCGACATAATACAGTTGTAGTTTTGCAGAGTGCAGAATATAATGGCGTGCAATGCGTCGCAGATCGAACGAGAAAAGGGCCCTCTTTTTATAGCCTCGTTCACCTTTGCCCAGCTGGATGAATTCTTGCTTTGGCATTACTTTGAATGGGTCATCTAGAACTGCAGATTCAGCGACAGGAAAGATCAACGCAAGCGGATCAACTGGATTGGCAACTGAAACAAATTTCCATCATATGAATCTTTACAAGGATCTTTAAGCGAGATCAAGCAATAATTTTCAACATGCATTCACAAAGTTTCTTCGTAAGGTTGGTAAACTAAGGCCCCGTTTACACGAGTTTGGGTTTGCTGTTATCAGCTGTAGAAGGGGACCCGTCAAAGGTCAAATCTCTTCAAACGTTAACCTTTAAAAATTAGCCAACCCGGGTCCAACCGCCTTGCCGGGTAACCCTTCTCAAGGGTAGAGTTGTCCCGTTCTGAGACGAGCTGCCTTCTTTTGAAGTTGACGGGTCAGCTAAACTCGGGGTCGTGTAAACGCTTCGAAGTTGAGGGGTCAGCACCTTGGGGTCATTTTTACACTTTAGCAAACACGTTAAGCTGACACGGGGGTGAGGTCAACCCTCTAAAGGAACCGGCTGACCCGGGCTCGTATAAACGTAAATGTTTTACTGCAGCGTGTTGACCTGATCCGGAGTAGAATGTAGCCCGGGCTCGTATAAATGGGGCCTTATATAAATATTGATATTTAGATATAAGAAGGACGAGAAAAAGATTTCTGTTTTGCATTTCTGTTTCGGTGTTCTGCATAAGAGCATATTAACAAGCAGAGAGAATCGATCTAAAAATGTACGTTACGCATTGAATATAACAAAGTATTTCGAATCACAGAGGTTAAAAAGTTGAAATGAATTAGGAATGATTTCAGAATAATGTCGGCACTATGGCAAATTCGTAAAATATGTTTTTAAACATTGGGTTTGAGTTTCAATACTCCGTCTGTTTTGTTTTCTTTTCAAGCATACTTTCTTTAGGAAATCAAAGAAATACAGATTGGGGTATGGCTATTTTTCCTTTAGTTATGAAGTGACGAAACCTTTTCTTTACAACTATACAATAACTACTTAAGCTGCCATTTTTACAAAAAGCAGGTCTTTCAAGTGTTATCTAATAAGAAATTTAAGGGAAGCCGGCTCACCGTCAGCTAAATTCAGCAATCTTAAATAAAACTTGCAGACTTTTATACAAACAGTCCAATTTTCTCTGCTTAAAAACGTAAATGTTGGCACACATAGTTCTTCGTTAAATGATAAAGATTCTAATACATATGATACTTATTAGAAAATAACATCCCGAAGATAGATAAACAGATAAATTTTGGCGATGTCAAGGTCTGATTCCATTTGGAAATATTAGATTGCTCACAAAGGGCCTAGAGATGACCTAAAGTAGCTGTTTGAGACGTACCTATAATTGCCAATGAGTCGGTCTGGTAGTATATTCTATCTATAAATAACAGGACACAAAAAGCGCTTAGATAAAGATTTACCAGCTGCAACAGTAATTTAAGGATATTTTAATATCAATAACCGTTGTTTATGTTGCATATCTTATCATTAGTTTTGGACGATACGAGCAAATCTTGCTGTTAATAACGACGGAAACCAAACATGGCACTTTGAATATCTGCATGAGAATATAAAACTAGAATGCGTAGATATCTGACCCAAGAGAAGTCTAACTCTAGCCGTGCAAGCCCCGGGTGTACCATAGTATTTAGTGTCTCTCTGGCTCTGTTTTGATAAAAAAGCTTTTCAAAAACCCAGAGTCTTAACAGATCAAAGTATGCACATGTGCTTTAACGTCTAATAAAGTCTGGCTTTAAGCATTCTCATCAGGCGTGTTCAAAACACCAGATTAGCATATCAATAAAACACAACTTTTATACAATGGTGTGACTGAGAAAGGATACAAATTGTTGATCTGTCTATGAAAAGAGCAGATTAATGTCCACCAATTCTCAAATAAAACATTCGGTCTTGAATTTATTGTTTACGTAATCAAAATATGACGTATGGGTCTCTTTGGCATGTTGAATGAGATTTTTGATACTTTTATAATCTAAAGAAAACACGACAACTCACCTTTTCTGGTGCAATTAATCCCAATAGGTATTTTCTCTCTTGGTAAGCCGGTTGGTTGTTCAGGTTTTGACACTGTTAAAAATAAAATGGCAAACTATAGTACAGCAATTCAATTTACAACCCCCTTACGTCATGGTACAACTTTCTGAGCACAGATCAAGATTGACCATTATCAAATTTTACATATACAGCTGTTATTAATGTTTGCAGTACTTGTACTATAGATTTTCACGATGTGAAGTTGAAAACCTATCAGGGATTTGACAGCGATGAATATGTCGTCATAGAATCAATATCATTAGCAATTTTTTCAAAAGGCGGTTGAGGTATCTTTCAAAACGAGGCCAAAAACTTAATTAGTCTGTAGTAGTACCTATCATTGGTAACTACTGAAGATACCCACTGTTAAGAAAAGGTTTAGGAAAATATCAAGGTAGATGAGAAAGGACACAGGATGATCCAATTGACACGGCTGTCAAGATGTTTTTAAAAAATTTCAAGATATTTCAAGACCTTTCATAAGTGAAGCTTGGGAAAGTTATTAGAAGTTTTCGCAAAGGCCCTCGACCGAAAATCGAGATATGGGGGATATCCAGATGTGGGGGATATTTAAATATGGGGGATATCCAGATATCCAGATATGGGAGATATCCAGATATGGGGGACATCCAGATATGGGGGACATCCAGATATGGGATATCCAGGTGAAGAAATGCCGGCAAAAGTTCCTTAATTATAAGAATTGAAGTCCTACAGGAGCATTGACTACGATAAATTTGACATCATACCTTTACGCGGAAATTGTGCACACCTAACCCGGAATCGGTAGTGGCTGCACTTGGTTTCAATTTTCGCTTGTTCAGAGTCTCTGCAGTAAACACCGAATCTCTGGTCACAAATCGTGTTTTCTCCTGCATTTGTGTATGGCATTCCATCAAGAGTTTGGCACTGTATATCTGTTATCGTGTCATTTCCACAAATTTGTCGATCGATAATTGATGCCCAAGTGCCAGTCGAGAAGCGAACCGTCTTCACCCAAGCTGACCATTGACCTATATCTGCTAAGAGGGATATAAAAGAAAATTTCAAATAAACTGCTGGCTGATATATGACGTAACTAAAAGAAGGTTGAGAGGATATGGCAATGAAATGAGGAATAAACGGAGAAAAGTGATTATGATAAAAATTATTTTAGGCTGGCGGTTATTTAGCTGGAAATGTTGAATAAAATGAAACATTCATTCGAAAGTATCTTTTGTTGAGGCGGTTCAGTTTGAAGATGTACATTCTAATATGGCAGGCTGTATGAAAATCAATTTTCATTACGGCTGGTAAAAAAACATAAAAAAAACCGCTCAAACTATCGCGGTGAATCCGCCACATATCCATCGAGTAAGAAACAATTTTATAAGTTATTCGCAGACAGAATAATAAGGTGTTGGAAAATGTACATGATATTGCTTGACTAACCACTTCCATCTGAGACCAGGGAATTTTCTCTCCAAAACGCCACGTTCATGCCTTTTATTCCCTCACATGACTTCCTAAAGTCGGGAATATCATATGCCCTGAATACATCTTCTTGTACCGATACGATCCTTTTGAGATTATCACACATAACCCTCGCGAGACTTGTCTTTTTTATTTCTCTTAGCTGTGATTGGGTAAAAACGCCTTTGTTTTCATAGTAAAACCTGTCACCGTCACGAAGGCGTCTGAACTGGTCTTTTATTATGCACAAAAAAGTAGGCCCGACCATGGCGCCATCTGCAAGCGTCTCCATCAGACCAACAATATACAAATCGGCATTCTCCGCTCGCCCATTGTAAAGCTTCTTCAACAGCTCGCGGTGTTTCTCACTACGAATCTCGTTGGCAGCATCATCAAATGTGTAGGCGTACGTGAGATTGCAATACTCTCGCCAATAAGCATACCCTTGAAGCCCATGGTCTCTCCCACGTTGAACATTTATTGCTATTAGATTCAAACCGTGTGAGGCTCCAGGGCTTTGAAAAAGTTGCTTGACCAGGCCCTTTGACACTCTCCGGTCGGTTTTTTCCGAGAAGTTTCCAATGGCACCGAACAAAAATCTTTCAATGCCATCTTTCAGTAGCAACCTGTTGTTGAAAAACGCTTTGAAAAGTGGCAGTTCTGGTGCAATGGGATCATAATTTTCGTTGAGTTGTGAAAGTGTTGGTCGAACCAGGCTGTGACCAAACCGATACGCTGCGGCAGCGAAAGCATTAGCGACTGTTGCATCGACATTTGGTTTGTATCCCGAGTATTTAGGCAAGCCGTCGTGTCCAAGAATTTTTGGCAAATACTCTGAATAGGTTATATGCTGTATTTCTGCAATGACTATTTTTCTAGCCTCTTGGTATATTTTTTCTCCTTCCCAATGACGGTTGTAACGCCGCAGAAGTCTTGCAATGCGGTTATGTTCCCGCACCCATAAGGTGTGCATTGACGCGAGAAGGATTTGCTCATTAACCCGACCATCTCCGGCCGCAAAGCATCCACCGAAATTCAGGCAAAATGTGTTTGGAGGGTGATTCTGGTTTGGTTCAAACGGCAAAAACCCATTATCTGTCAATTTCATCAGTCCAGTATCTAGAAACATAGAAACACATAATTGATTGGCAGCATTTATGGTGTAATAATCGTTGTTTATTTGTTGTTGTCAGATGATCGCATTATGCGTGAAACTTTGAGTTTCAACCTAGAACCGTCCTGCTCAACGGACCAAAGTGTCTACAATTCTGCCTATACGACATCGAGCGTTCTCAGTAGTCTATTTGTATAAGAAATTATGCAAGCACTTCTTTTCAAGACCGATCAATGCATCGTGGAGTAGATAAGATGAAAAAGATACTTAAGATTTGGTAGTGGCATTGTAATTGAATTAAAGCTACAAAAATTTGTCAGTAAATACTAAATTCCACTATTTTTGCAGACTAAGTTTGACTGCAGTTTTGTTAACTTCTTTCACAATTCATTTATTTTTGATAAAGGAAAAATCAACGAAAAGAACTTTATATGTGCGATATAATTAAATAAAAAGAAAATTTTGACAAAAATTTATGCAGATCTAATTTTTCAATGAAAATGATCAAAAATTACAAGGTATTTACAAAATGAGTCTTCGGTTACAGCAAAATACTCTCAAAAAGGATTTAAACAATTTGGGTATTCAACAAACCGTTCAAAGCTCTGAGTTTGTCAGCCTGCTTCTTTGATGAACCATACACAGAACTTGCGTCCATGTACGACGTTATGGTGTTGAGTTGCTGTCGCTGCTCTATTCTGTCCTTGTTCGTCTGGCACGCTGCGGCGGAGCGTGTGAACATAGTGCATTCCCCTCCATTGCGCGGATACATTATAGGAAAACAAGGCGCATCAAAATCATCAGCTGACCAATCGCATCTAGCGTAAGAAGGAGGTTACGAAGAATTTCGATTATTTAAACGAAACCAATTCAGGAGCTAATTCAGGAGCTAATTCAGCTAGAGAAAAAATCTATAGTGAAATTTCTTATCCAGTTTTAACCCAGAAATATTTTCAAATTCATGTCAACGGATGAGATTCAATAAGGGCAAGAGGAACAGGATTTCTCCAGTTATGCCACGCCAGCAATTATGATCAGAGACAAGTGAATATGCACCTTAAATCGGTTAACCCTTTGCATTTATGTTTCTCATGGATACCTGCAGACTGCATTGGATGAAATTAGAAAATAACCACTACCTTTAACAGGCTTCCTCTTTCTCTTCATTTAAAATTGCCGTCGAGAAGCATTCCCTTATTCGTTTAATTCCGTAGCATTATGTGAGTAATACTAGCAGGTATAGCAGAATGTAAATCCCTATACCCCTAACTTCAATCTAAGCAGGCTCATTTGAACTCATTTTATAACACTGACAGTATATCTATGACAAATTTAACAGATGCAGACGGCAAGGCAACAGAAGATAACACAGAAAAATAGAATAACACTAGATGAAAGATAGCAAAGCAGAAGATATTGATCATACTTTGGAAGGGAACATCGCTTGCCTCCTTCACTCTCAGCTGTGAATGTGATGTCATGATCAATGAACTGACCCCACTGCATAAGCATGTGTGAGAAGACACTGGAGCGTCTTTTTGACTTGGAATCAACCAGAATCGCTTTCTGCACCACCTCATGAGGGGTAGGAAGAATGGGAGCTTCGGGGAGGTTGGGGAATCCAATGGGATCTGACAGGCCGTCAACGTCATAGTAAATGGCAGCTATGACAAAATAGTAAGTTAATTTACTCTCAGTTTGACATAATTTTAGCAAAATAGATAGAATAAATGTATGTTAGATTATATTTTTATCGCTTGTGTCTTAATTGTTAGGCCAACAGGGCAATCTTGTTCTTGGATTTTACAAAATTTCGTAGTTCTCAGTTTTATCACGATTTAATAGTTTCTTAATTTTTTTGCTTCGAGTAGTGAAGCTTTTCAATTTTTTCCGACTGTCAAGTACTCGTTTCTTATAGCCAGTTTCTTATAAAAAATGAGTGTATTTCAGCTCCTCGAATGTCTTTTGAGGTGTTTTTTAAATTGTTTCAAAGTAGAGAGGTCACTGATGCTAGTAGGGATTTCATTCCAAGCCTATAGACCTGAATAGTGAAAGCTTTAGTCTCGGAATTTTTTTATCCGTGTAGTTTTTTGTTCTATAATCGATTTCTTGTTTTATATTTATCCCAAAGGCTTCCAGGGCACATCTTATTCATCATCTTATCGGTCATCACCGATCGATCAAAGTTTATTATCTGTTCTACTGTCAACCAGTCATCAGACCACCGAGCCTTGATTTTTGATAACTTCAGTAAAGTTTGCTGCACATGGAGAAAAAAAAGCTTTGAAGGTTATGATGCAAACTAAAAACTAAGTGTATGGAGATAGGTTTTTGTGCCTGAAAGGTTCTAATTTCCATGACAAAAACATTCATGCTTTTGCAAGAGGGATTTATAGCGCAAATATGTGCTGGCCAAACCACTTTTAGAAACAAAGTAAAGGCCCGTTGTTGACAGTGATCAATTGCAAAAACAAGTAACATAAAGGGTTTATTGGATAGAATACTAAATAATTTCATGTTAGATCTTACACATTGATTATAGACCGACTGTTTAGAAGAGAAAAACACTTGTCGCCAAAACGAGATCTCAAGGAAGAAAGGTTGATCATCTGATAATGAATTGAATATCAATTTATTCAGGATTCAGTGGTTTCTAAAACCTCAAAAAAACGAGAAAGAATTTGTGGAAATGGCCTGGAAATTTAATGAATTTAAGGAAAATTTATCGGGTTTTTTCGTCTTTCTGACACATAGTAATTTATAATGACAAAATCTTATTTCTTGGTAAAGAATTTGGATGGGGAGTAATATGCTCGTTACACTTGGGCCCCACCAGAATGGTTGACTTTTTCATAGCATGGGGTTGATTGGTATGGTTTCCTTCTTGGACTCTTTATAAACAGACATCAAGTACAATCAGTGGCTATTCAATCAGTTGAATTCAATCAGTTGAATTAAATCTTGCACTAAGGACCAACTGCCAGTTACGTGGAACTGTTATGCACCGAAAACATAGAATAGGGTTACCTATTGTTATTTCGGTTTACTAGTTAGCCCGCGAAGTAAACTAATGCTATCAGAAACTGGGAGCAACAAATATCAATGAGGCCTGTTAGATTCTCAATCCTATTTTCAATTTGTCTTACAAGAAATGCTTTGGCTGTTGGCAGTTAGCAAGAAATATTGGCGTTAAATTGAAACGCATTAAATTCAGAAGTGGGAGAAGATTTGAAAATGTATGTAGACTCACGAATCAATCGTTTAAATGGGGTTGCAGCAGCCCCCCAAGTTGGGTTTTCTATGTTGTTGCAAGTGCCATCAAATGTGCGGTATTTTAAATGGAATTCTTGATCAATGCAGCTAGGCTCAACAACCGTCTCCAAACACTTCGATGCATCCACGATTTCGGAAAGTTTTTTAGGTGACAATATTTGACCAGTCTTAATTCTGAGAATGATTGGCTCGCCACTTCTTGCTGGAGCTAAAATGAGAAAAAAGAATTAATAAATATTCAAGATTCGTGTAAGGAAGTGTAAGCAAACTTGTAACAAAGAAGGTTGAAGTATTTCTCAAACAAGGTCGTAAATTGACGTGGTGAGCAACTGTTATTGTTAGCGAATTTTTGTTTAAAAAAGGAAATCAGCCTTTTGGCACTATTCAAAACGCTCACCACACAACGCACAACCTTCCCTCTTCTTCCTTCTCCTTCTCCTTTTATTCTTTCTTTATTTTCAAAACGCTCACCATACAACGCACAACCTTCCCTCTTCTTCCTTCTCCTTCTCCTTTTATTCTTTCTTTATTTTCAGATTACTAAATAGAGAGAGAGAGATTCGTAGCACGTCCATCAACAATTGTTTGATGGACATGAACTAAACCATGAAACATCATCTATACGATACCGTATTTTAACGAGTACGTTACGATTTCGTTCTGTATTAGCCTTCCATTTACACAGAGGCAATTATGCATACGAACTGATGAATTGAACGTATACGGTTTGAATTAAAGGACTAACGAATGCAAATACAAAACGCATCGTCAAACGGACTGACTACGATTAGCCTGCGTCATAGACATGGTCTGCGTCATAGACATGGTCTGCGTTGCAGATATGGTCTCTAATATGATTAGAACACAGATCGACCAGCAGGCAAATCACAGAAAACAAAAATTAGCCTCGATAATTGTGTTTCATGCAGAAAAGATTGTCTCTATAAAATTTGCTTGATTCAATTTCCCTTGAGATAAAAAGAAGGATGAAGTGATAAGCAGACCACCAGAAAAGATTTTTTGACCGACTGGATATAAAAGAGATTTGGTTGCGGAAACTCCGGGCGATTTCAAACATCACTCGAAATCAAATATTTAATCGAGTCCTAAGTAGGATCAAACTTTTGATAATCCATAATAATACAACTGTTAAGTAGTTATCCTAATGACAGAAAGCAGGTGTGCCAAGCCAAAAAGTGAACAATATGGGGTTCGGACTCTATAAGAAGAGAACTAACTATGTATGGAGTGCGAGGATTGCTCAGTTGTTAGAGGCACTGACTACAGACACAGGGGTCGATAGTTCAAATCCCTGGCATGAACAAACTTTCACCCAGAGTGAGGAGAGTCGCCAGCTCTCTGTGATTCCAGGCGCAGGAATCACGAGGTGTGGTCACATCAAGAGGAAGGACCAGGACACTGCTCGATAAGAATAAGCTTCTCAGTGTCCTAAAAACTACCTTCAAATGCTAGGTAGAAACAAATACAACACCTACGCTATGTAAAGGCAAATGTTTCTGAGAAAAGGGGAAGAGAAATAGCGCCAAGAAGAAAGCCCCGATCAATGGATGGAAAATATTCAGCGACATTAAGAACTTACTCCGTCGATACTGGAGTGTCAAAAAAACTGTTGATAACGTGTGATCAACTAAATGCTCATTGAGGGTTAGATCGTAGGAAAGCTGGGCACCGTAATGTTTGTTATAAGTGGCTGATAAATGGCGATTGCGATTGGTGAGACTCGTCTTACATCAGTGGATCCAAATACCAGGACACAATAATTCGATTCGGTTCGATTCTATAAACGCCTATATTTGAAAATCTCTCTAATTTTCTTTGTTCAGAAATATTAGAAAACTGAACATTCAAGACACTAAATCATCGGTGGGTAAGATATAAATAACAAAACAAATAAGGATTTAGTCCGGTCTACTAATAGATGCAAATCTATCAAGAAAAGAAAATATATTTCAAAAAGATAAAGCACATGTCGCAATATGATTAGACAGCGGAAACCACACTGTAATAAATTAAAGTTTGACAACGTGATTGTGTGTAGATATATAACGTGTGGCACGGAAGCAGCATAATTTTCGAAAAAGGATACACATCAAAATACGTTTTGACACAAAGATTTCAACGCTGCTTTTGAGAAATATTAAACAGTACCAAATAATAATGTGTCATTATCGTTTTTAATCAAAAGTAGCGTTTTGCTAGCCAGAAAAGAGAGTTCGGGTACTTTTAAATTTAGTTTCAAGTGGATGCTAATTAAATTTGTTTAACACAACGGGAAGATTAAGGAAAAAATTCACTTACATCCGAAAGTCCTCTTTACTTTCTCTGCAACCTTATGCATGACTGTGTCAAAAAACAGCTTAGCTTCGGAGATCTTCCTTGCTTGGTTTGAGGGCCTTCGGAACATCCTATGAAGATCGAAAGGGTCCACTTTTCTGTTTTCTTGCTTAAATGATGACCTTGCACGATCAGTAAAGCCGCCAATATCTTTCGATATCTCCCTGCTGACAGCAAGCAGCAGTCCCTTGGTCAGAAACCCTTCTCCAGGATACGAAGGCATCATGATAACAGTAACGGTGGCTTCCCATGCAATAATCTTCAACCCTATAGTTCTACGGACAAATATTTTAAGGTTTTGCTTCCATACATTCCCTTTAGTAGTTTCCTTGGGTAGTGGTGCTTTGACGTAGATCTCCCCTTTATCCTGGACAATACCGAAGTATTCATTGAAAGTGTACATATGAAATTCGAACACAGTGTCGTGGCCATTCTTGTAACGGTTTTTCAAGTTGAAAATGACGTGGTTTAACGGCAGTCCATAGTATATCAACACCGTGAAAAATCTTCCATTGATATCGGGTTCCGTCCCATTCACGTGTATTAATACCTTTACTTTGGCGCCTGTGAAATGGTCGAGTTTGCCTTCGATGATCAGCTCATAGCTTTTCAGTTCTTTTTCATATAAATACTAAAGGTATGATAAAAGACGTTGATTCAAATAAACATACTAAAGAAGAAATATTATGGAAATACGTGTAACATAGGTTGTTAGTCATGCGTAGACAAACAAACGAAACACTTCTAATGTTTGAGGCAACCCTCCGTTCTGGAGTCAAAGAGCATGCGCAACAACGATAAATTTTTCATAGTTTTCACCAGGAGAGGCAGAAAATTCAAAATCACATTACACAAAGTCACATTTGTAATGCCTATTTCATATCAGATATCAGACGACAACCATATCACCCAACATCAGATGCAAGACATGAATAAACTACAAAAAATATCAAAACACAAGGTGTCATGTAGCCAATGCAAAATGTTGGTGAGCAGCGCGATGAAAACTTTTTGTCTTACCTTTCGAGTAACAATGTACCCAGAATCCTCTTCTATGTGAAAAACCTCGTTTGCATCTCTAGATTTGTTATTCTGTTCGATGATGTAATACTTAACAGGCTTTTCGGCAGTATTTCCATTTGAATCAAGGGCCTTCGCAATCAGTCTATATACGGGGCTTTCAAGTGGCGCGTCGTATGGCACGGCTGCATGATAAACCTTCTGGTTCTTACTATTTATTGTACCGCCCTCAAAAACAACATTGTATCGTATACCTAAAAGACAACAACACGGTTAAAAAATCGAATAAACGATATGGTGTTATTTTATCAAACCTTGCCAAATATTCCTTCTGTGAATAATATAAGGCAGTTTCAAATGAGCAAAAGTAAACTACACGACTACCAAAACATTTTTGGTATAATTGAGACACTGCTACATAGAATGCAATACAGCTTTGTGAAATAATGAACAGGTCCATACAGAGGACAAATAACTCTGTCCAGAACTTTCTTTCCCAAGATCTATGGACTAAAAAGGTGACGGACCTTACCACTGGTCCACCAAGTGCCCATTACATCATAGGCGTGTGGCACAGGCTCCATCAATCAAACAGACTGGAATTAATCTTATGGTCTCTATTGAAACAAAGATGTTTGACCACATTTGAGGATGCACTGTACAAACACTTATTCGCTCCAAAAAACGGTTTCACGAAATATATGCTCAAAATATATATAAATCTTCTACATGAAACTCACCACCAGTGCACGTTTTGTGTGAAGCATCAAGCTTCATTCCATAGGGGCAAATGCATCGATACGACCCTTCCATATTCTCACAATGGTGACTGCAGCCATGGTATACTTTTCCCCTACCGCATTCATCTACATCTATAACAAAATCAGTTCATTTTTAATAAATCACTAGGGAGAAATTTCCGTTATTTCGTCGAACTTTTTTTAAACAGCCAAAACTCTCCTCCCACAAATACAAAATCTACTGATAAACAGAAAGGTTCCTGGGAAATACAATTTCAAGTATTCAATTAGGGAAATGTTTTTGACATGACCATCACATTGTATAATACACAACATATTATTACTTGTTTTGAGGTAATAAGAATGGAACAGCCTACCAACAGAAGTGAAAGATATAATCTCAATGCATGCTTTAAAAAGGTATGGTTGGTATGGTTAGCATCGCAGTTTGTTTTTTTATTGTACTAGGTTGTAATTGGAGCAATCTGCAGCTCCCATCTAGCACTATAGGGGGGGGGGGCAAGAGCTATTGCTCTCTACAAATGGCTAGGCCTGTTCTGGAGCTGATATCCATTTATGATAAAAACTTACCAATACATGATCGCCTGTCTGCAGCCAAATGGTATCCAAGTCTGCATGTGCACGAATAACTGCCATGGGTATTCACGCAGTTGTGCTGGCAAAAGCCACGTCCGTACCTGGGCATGCATTCGTCTATATCCAAGTCTGCATGTGCACGAATAACTGCCATGAGTATTCACGCAGTTGTGCTGGCAAAAGCCACGTCCGTACCTGGGCATGCATTCGTCTATATCTATTGAAGACATTACAAATGTATCCATATGTGAGTTAGCTCTGTCACATACCATTAAAAATAAAATCTTTTGATAACATTAGGCATGCATCAGTGTGAAAGAGGGAACAATGTGAAACACCACTCTGTAATCCCAATAAATAGGGCATTTTGGCTCGAGAATAAAGTTTTGAAGTGAGAACGCCATAAAATCTTATTTTTAGAATCTTTGAAGATGGATCAAATAACCTAAAGACTTGGATGTATACAGACGATAATCCAACATAACAGGCAAAATACATTTGATCTATTCAAAATAAGCTTACTCACCTACCGAAGAGAATTTAGCTCTAAAACCAATCTGATTCGCGTCCTTTTGCGAATCGGCATGGAATTTTAGCCATAATTCATTTGTTCCTGAATTGATAATAAGGGATGGAGCTTTCCTTCCACAAATTATCAAGGAGTGAGTGCCAGTCACGTCATTAAAGGGGCTTAAAGAGAGAAAGGTGAAAAATATTGTAAAAACAGTATTAGCAACAGGAACAAAATAAACACATACAGACCAAGAAATTTCAGGTTCCTTAAAATATTTGTGAAAACCATAGCTCAAACAAATTTGCAAAGATTGTTTTTTCGGAGAAAACGCAATAGGCAGAACGTTTTCTTGATATTACCGTAGTCCTTTGCAAAATATAAATTTTTTCAAACAACCGAAACTAGTGAAACCGCTTTACTGCTAGAATATATATTCTGCACTGTGAAATAAGGTGCATTTTGCTTTCAATTTCTACGAAGCATGCACGAGGATGTTAAGTAACAAGCAATGCTTTTAAACTTGAAGCAATTATCTTTGCAACTGATTCAGGTACTTCTACGGGTTTAAAAGAGCCATCACTTTCTACAACACAGCACTGCATCGACAGAAATAGCATATGTGTCAAAAATACCAGAATGGAGAAGCCAAAATCCTTTTCGAGACGTGATGTGTGACCAAAAATAAAGAAAACATCCAAGCAAGTTTGATCTAAATAGAACCTATCCTCTCCTCCTATCCTCTTTGTCCTTGTGCTTTGGCTTATCTATACTAGGGGATCTGACAGTAGCAGTGCAGAAAGAGAGATAAAGGTACGTGTGTCCTCTTCCTTCGCAGGATCAAAATTGCAAATCGTCGTTATCTGGTGAGAAAATGTTGGGGGAGAGGAAACATTTTGGCAAAGCATGCAGCATGTAGCGTGATGTTATACTATGGCTTTGAAACTGCCCTAAGGTAATCAATAATTAGTCATGAACGCTTTCTTTTGGCGAAATGGGCGTTCCATGTTGGAAAAAGGCTTTTTCTGCGTGTAAAAATGGCGTGGCCTAAATTCACCGACCCTTCCCCCCTTTCCCCCTCCCCAAATCCTGACCACCTGAAATAGGGGTTCTAAGGCCTTTGTCCTCATACAAAGAGTAGGCAGACTAAAAACGGACGTTCACATGCGCACGGGATTGTTATAACAGAAACAGTGTTTAAGCTGACCTTAGCCAACAAAGACTGAACTTTGTTTAAAATGATTAGCTTTATCGTGTATTGAGTAGCACTGCAACTGCTATCAATGACCAGAAATCGCTGTTAAACAGTGAAGCCATGTCAACCTTTGACTTCAGCGACTTTGTTCCACATACCTTCCTTGCAAAGTTCATAGAGACACAAGAAATTCTAACCATAAATTTTCACTTATACTCAAGGTGGGCCTTTAGAAAAACGATAGCGACGCCAAAAAACAAACGACCTTGGGTAGCTGCAGCTTTAAAGGATCAGCTTTTGATTACTGATTTGGTTTGCAAAACAGACGATACAAGACGATCTAATTTTCTGTAGTGTATCGACTTACGAAAGCAAAGAAATTTATACTGAAATATCTTCTTACCTGTAATCTGAGAATCCCTGGCTTCTGGAGCTAACAACCAGATAATCCTTTTTCAAACAATTTTCCTTAACATCTGTAAGTCCAATTCCAAAGAACTGCTGCATAAACGAAAGCCTGACAGCATAGCCAGGTTTAACTTGTATATGCCACACGCAAGTTTGTCTATTTTTGTATCTTTTAGGAAACAGTGGACTTGCAATATACCCAGTTTTGTTGGTTAAAGACACGACCGCTCTTGGGCACTTTCCTATCATGAAATGAATTGTCAGAGTGATCCGACTTGATACCAAACATATATTTAGGTAAAAGGTTCTAAATTTACTGCGCTAGGACATAAAATAAAATGACTAGTTAGAATCAATTCATTTAGACTACGCAACCATAAGATAAATTAACAATCGTCCCAAATCACGAAAACACAGCAAGGAATTCAGAGTCAATTTCTGCTTGGGTTCAGAAAGCCAAACCAGAGCAGATAAGATTCCTTGATACAAAACTCCTTTCTCTTAAATCTATGTTGCGAGGCTGTATCGGTGATTACCTTTGCAAAACACAAAAAACAGTTTCAGGCAAGTCAAATGAAGAACAGTAGACTCAACTTAAAGTCACACCAGATGTTGCTTGAAAAGCTGTGACAACAAGCGGAGTGTGACTGAAAGCGGAGCTTAAATGAAACTTTTGCTTAACTATAGCAAGTACAATATATGATTTAATAAGATACCATGGAGAGATGGTTTTCCAAAATGGCCTGTTTTCAGACCACGAATATGTGCTGTGCCAGCGCTGTCATACTTTCAATGATATTGTAGAAATGGAATTACTCCAGAAACGAAGTCAAGGTTATGTTCTGAAAGAATTTAATCGACAGCATCTCATCATAAGTATGTGCACAAGAAAACCTGACTTCAAACTTCAGTACCGTTGCAATGGCTTTGCGATTAAATTACAGAACAATAATAACTATTTCACAATTACCGAAAAGCCAAGAACTTAATTTCAACTTTAACCCCTAAACCAAGTTACCCACTACAATCCTTTTCTGGACGTCTCTATTCTGAATACAATTCAAAACGTACTAAAACAATTTGCCTTGCAGGCCTAGGGGATAGCAGGACTCAAATGTATAATAAAATTATTCATATAAACAATGCAAGTATATTTCTAACAATAAATAGTGATGATTGTAATATGCTAACCTTTCCTTCGCCGCCTCTTTGCCTCGGTGTGCAGACTGAAAAACATAGAGGAAATTGAGTTATGAAATCTAATAAGGCAAGATGAACGGGTTCTTAAAAACAAAGTATCAATTATCAGCGCCTCTGATATTCATTTTTTTCTCTACATAGTGGGAAAGAAGAAAATAAACTGGAGAAAACGATAACAAAGGATGATTCCAGGATCATGAATCGTTCAATACTTGATGTCTGGTTATTTTCATGTTAACGAAAGTGAGCTTCTGAAAAGGAAAACTATATAGAGTAGAAAATATTATCCACAAACATTTTTAAGAAATGCAGTTTTCGTCCCAAAGTTCGGACACTTTTGTCTTCATAACTTATCCCTAAAATGTTCATAAATTATCGCTGAATTTTCCATAAAATTAGCAGAAATGCAAAAAAAATCTTTTGTGTTCTTGTGGAATTCAACCATAAAATTCATGGACTTTTGATGACTATCACTAAACGGAGATATGCAGAGATTTCTGTTCTTTTACAAGTGCTCGGCTAAGGGACATTGTCCCTAACCTGTAGGGATTAAGCAAAAATCTGTGCAGAATTCTTTTTACAAAAGTTTAAAAGAGAGTTGCAAGATAACAGCGTCATAAGCTTTAGAAGCGGTGACGGCATCTTGCCACTTGAAGGTGTAACGTAACCTATTTTTAGCATCAGGGGCCTCATGAAGGCAGGTCAGGGGTGTGGCTCGTGTTGCCCGTACTTGTTGTATTCGTTGACCTTCTTGCAAGCCAGCAATCTATAAAGACTGGTAGCGTTCTTGTAAAGAGCTACTTTCGCGACCTCGGATGTGACAAACTTTTGTTTAAGCATTAATCGAACATTATAAAAAATTCGTGACATTGGACACCTCACTATCAAACGTCCGGTAGGGTAGCGTGTAGCTTTACACAAATCATTGCTGGGGGAAATCCTCACTTTCTATATTTCTAAAAACTGGATAATTAAAACGGAAGCGTGTTTGTTAACTTCCTTATTTAATCTTCGGGTATAAAAACCATTTTTTTATAAACTAACCCTGGTGAAAAACCAACGGAAATTTTCCGCAGTGCAAATTTTCCTATCTAATTAAATCAACAATTAATCATTAATCCTTCATTTTTAGCGTCATTCATTAAAATTTCGAAAACCCAGTGTTCAAAATCAAAAGGATCATCGACAAAATAAGTTTTAGACTAAATCTATGATTTCGAAGGTAGTCAACTCTTGAAAAGTGGGTTTGGCAGTAAACCTTGTAGTGTCGCAGTTGTGGATACAAAAAACAATGCCTCGACATAGGTTAAGCGTTTAATCTAAGAAATTTCCTACTCTAACGCAGTAAGAAAATTAGCTGCGCAATTTTTAACAAGGATTTTCTTCAAACATCCTCCAATTTTAAAAATTGTCCAAATATCTATTGTAAGGAAATGTCTGTGTTTGAGAAGTGTCTGTTTCTGAGAATATTTCATTCAAGAATCTATTTGAACAAGGTTTTTCCTCAGTATGTAAGATTAGAGACAAATCTATCTTGGAGGTGTCTCTTATAAAAAAGAGTTTGTTAATGGAACCTTCTGATGCCCAGATTAATTTCCAGCTTGAGTATTTATCTAAACAAAAATAGAATTGCCAATTATTGAGTGATGCCACTGCAGCAGGCTTGCCATCCTAAAACTTTAGGAAGGGGGGGGGGAGGGGGTGGGCTATGATGTAAGCAACTTCTAGAAGCAGCACCTATGAACACACCCAATAAATTGCATTTGTGTAAAAGATTCTCTTCTGTGTACATGAAATCATTCAAACAAACTAAAATCTCAAAAAGTCAAATAGGAAATTGCTCATTCATGGAAAATCTTTAACATAATATAGGGTTGCCACACCAGAATTTTTTAAATGAAATCTCTCTAGGCTCTAAGCCCTCCACCCCCTATCCATAACACCACCGCACTGCAAACAGAGTAAAGCATTATGATCAATCCTTGCTTTGTTCAATTTCTTTGTAAACAAAAAAAGAAGGACACAATTTTATCCACTGGGCAAAGTGTCAAAGTCCATGTCCCTAGAGGTTTCGAGAGAAAAATTTCCACCACAATGTTTCAAGTTCTTGGCAATCAACCAATCAACAAATGATGTGGATATCAGCCACAGAATGACTGTGACACTCTTTAATCATCGAAACCTGACAGAGCTGGACCACAAGGGTAAGGAAACAAAGAAGCAGGACTACAGGAATAAGATTCAAGACAGAATTAAAGCCACAAAACCAAAGTACAGTAAATTGGACAGCTTACTGTTCTTGATAAGAGTGGCCTGATAAAATGAAGCTTTCCATGAAATTAGATCAAATACCTAATACCTCTGTCTTGGCAAAATTGTACATTAACTTGATGTGAGAAATATTTACTGTTTTTGCTTGCGGACAAAAACAACTGGATTAATCATAGACAATGACACTTTGACAATGACACAAGTACAAAGCTAGGATAAAATAACATTTGAGGTCCTTAAGTTTGACAAATGTTTAATTTGATAACTTGATGATTTGCACAGAGAAAGACCTCTTATCCATGCAATGTAAATGGACAGAACAAGCAAGGGCATGTTTGAGACAATCTCTTATCAACATGTCAATGTGTCAATAATCAGTCAGTATTCAAACTAAAGAATTGTTTAAATGTACACCTCAATAAAATCAGGTTAGAAGCTTATATAAAAGCTATTTGATGGTTTGGAATTTCAAATTGATGTTGCATATGGTATATGTTAATTCAAAGTGACCAAGCCTATTGAATCTTCATATATCATTATGATCTTATTTCCATGTGACAATCTCAAAATACACCTTGTGGGCAAGAAACAGGTCCTCAAGAAAAGAGGAAAACTTCAAGGTTGGGCATCTCGTCTTCAGGTTATCAAAGTGTTTCTGGTATTATTTTCCAAATAGAAATTCCTATGTCTAGTGCAAATTAAATTATTACCTTTGAGCAAAAAATTATTCATTTACAAAATACAGATGGAAAAATATTTGCTCCTAAATAAATAAGGTCATTTATCAGCTTAATAAATTTTTAACAACAAACCTCGATTGCAAAACAACAAAGTAGTAGAATTTTATCACAACATATTTTCATGATTCAATTTAAGACCCTGTTCTGAATATGAATAACTCTAGAACCACAAAATACTTCAAACCAGCAATTGATAATAATAACACTCCCTAGAGCTGGAGGGGTCCAATGTGTTACCAAGCTTTTCGGTGCTGTTATTTCGAATGGGGCTTAGTCTTGGGATTACAGGGGTAGCATAAGAAGCAAGGATCCCGGTATCTTAGAAAAGACCTGACATTGGTGTGGTTGATTTTGAATAAAGCCTTTTTACATCAACAAAAACAAATTGGGTTTCGTAACGCATTGAAGAAAAATAATTCAATTTTTCAACCACTGCCGTTTTCAAAAACGGTAAAAACGGGTATAAAACAGTCATTCTTGCTTAATAGACAGCATTTTATCTTTTATAAAATAAACTGACAGTTGTCTTTATTTAGTCCTTCGTTTCGTAAAGTTAATCTAAAACAAGTCTGTCTCTGTATAACACTATACAGTCCATACCAGGTAAACAACCAAAACATTGCCAATGACGTTTACATTTTACTTGTCACATAATATCCCGCAAAAGTTTCAGTTATTCAAATCGATGAAAACAGTTAACAAATGACCATACCTGGAGAGCAACACCATCAATAAAAATATTAGGCCAGCCAAGCGGCAGACTCTGAATTGCATGATATGGATGTAATTTAAAAGGCGACAAAACTCGCGATATTCATAAATCGTGTGATCGATCGGCTACCTGTCTCCTCTTCTGACCGCTGATCAAGAGCCAGAATATCAAACCAATTTATACCGTCTTCCTCTTAATCAATCTGTTTTCTTTTTGCGGTTTAGAATTATTGTGCCGATGGTCAGCCAGCGGCGCCTTTCATCTCATCGCCACTGTCGCCTTGGAAATATCCACCGCAGCGTCCCCAAGCGCAAAGTTGCTGTCTGTGATAATATTGTATTTCACTATCTGTTATCAAAATAAGAGTCTATTGCGTTGATTATTACTCTATTGTGTACTGTAGCGGGGACTGGGCCAGCAATTTTTAGCAAAAATAATGGACATAAATTACGATTATCGGATTTTTTAGGTTTTTTGCACACAAAAAAGAATGCCCCTCTATGAAAAATTGTCCTTTGCAATCTTCAACCTCTGCCCCCTTCCCTTTCTCAGTATGACTGTCACCTAGAGGGTACTCAAAAATTTTTAGGATATGGGTACTCAAGTTACTTTTCGGGTTTAGAATTTGAGCAAAGCTTACTTTTTGGGTCTGTCAATTGTAGAATTACTTATTTGTTCATTAAATTTTGACGTACTTTTTGGGGCTTTAGAGAAAAGAGAAAAAAAAATAATTTTGTGCAAAGAGAAGAAAAATCATTTTCTGGTCAATTTTCATACTACAAATAACCTAAAAAGCTGATAGTCTACCAGAATTATTCAAATAATAGGATTATGTTTAAGAAAAGGAACATTTTGCGTTGAAAAATTTGGAATGCTTGTTTTTGCTTCCAAGTGAGAACACAGAAAAAGGTTGTTTCCTTTTGCAAGCCACACTGGAGTCATGCCATTAGCACGCGAATAGTCAATGTTCTTATTAGCCTTTTTTGTTTCAGAAATGAATTTCAATGTCGTTAATCGTTTGCGTCATTCGTTTATCATTAATTTGATTAGGCACTTTCATAAAGCCAAAGTTTCACGTGATTTGATTGGAGCTAATCTCTTTCTTTCTTTCCCGTTGGGCAAGATCTAATTTGGGCGAGTAGAAGTATCTACAATGTGCTCTCAAAACCCTTTCTTCTATCATTTTCTTAAAAAAAATGCAGAAACTTTTTCAAAGTTGACAAAACTCTACACAAAACAGACCAAGAGTTGTTAAGATCCTTCTATAAACATCTGAAACTGAAAACTGTTTCTCAAGAAAGAATAACTATTAAGTATGACGTTATTTGCAAGGCAGACTCAAACCCGGCTTTTCGAGCCCCTGTAGCTCTACATACATACACCAATCTATAATATGCAATTTGCTGCAAATATCCTCATCTTAGATGAATCTGAAAAGGAAAAGCAGCTTCCTATGCCGTGTCCGATTGACTCGTTATCTGCTTCTCAGTTGTGGGGTGTACTTTCGATCGAGGCCGTAATAAACTTCAACCTCCTCCTGTTGCTTATTAATTTTTCGTAAAAAATCTTCCCATGCCATCCTTACTCCAGACCACTCTGTTTATTATTTTCGAGCCACGTGTATCAGGAAACTGCAAGTTATATACAACGAAGCGCTTCGTAGCGTAATAACTTTTAGTGCTTTTTTGTTAATCAGTAAGCACTAACAAAAAATTGTTGTCACGTGGAAGTCAATGTGGCCATTATATCTTAATCATACCTCTGTAAAAAGAAAACATACACAAATGACCTGTCTTTGAAACATAAGATGCGCAGTTCAATCGAACATTCGGTGAAGAATCTTCCTAGACATTCGGCTAAACACCTTTGAAACCGGGAGAAAAATTTTAAAAACAGGGAGACCGGGAGAAAGCACTCAAAATCGGGAGTCTCCCGGCTGAACCTGGAGGGTTGACAGGTCTGGTTGTAATTACTAAAAGCCCAGTGTATTGGTTTGGACCCAGACCCTTTTTCCCGTCAGCCACATCGTTGAGAACACCTTCCATTGTTTCGGTATACAATACACTTGCCACGACAGTCAATCAATGAGTTAGTTGGTTGGTTTATCGCTCGTGAAGCTTTGGTCACTTGAATTGTAAATAGATTTCTTGTGTTACTTTAAAAAGGAAAACGTCAATTTATGCTATCTCTGGCTCAGAATCTTGTCTCTACAATACTGATTAGAGAATTGGACAATGCACAAGAGACACATCTCTTTTTGTCGTTTGTATCTGCCCGGTCATAACACTCTTTCTTGTCCAGTTTAAACATTTAGTCTATACATTACTATTAAACAAAATTTTCACTAACCCCATTTATTCAAGACACCTTGTTCATTAGGATTAGAAGAAATCTCCATACACCATGTTGATTCCAGTCTCGAGAATAAGAAGCATAAATATTGCTGATCAGCAAGGTATCAAAACACTTTTCTTCGATAATAAATGCAAGATACTTAAATAAGAAAATAAATTTACTTTGACGAGAAATACACTATACTTTGATATCAACAAACAACATATTTCTATGTTAATCATATGTTAAGCAAACATATCAAATTTAAGGAAGTTTATAAATAGGAGAAGCATTTATAGGAGAGCCTTTAAAAGAAGAAAGACTTCTGAGAAAGACTGTCAATTAAATTTTTTATAATAGAATTATTGTTTAGTGTAACTTGATGGAGCTGCCAACTCATTGAATCTTGTCGAAATGTTTCAAGGCTATGATCAACTCTCTGCTGACAGGAGGATTAAATAGCATCCTGAAATCAATCTACTATCATCCGACCTGAAGAAGTTATAATCCCAGCAAGAGCAGAGTTATGGCAGTGCTGTTTGATCAGAAACACGTTCTTGCAAAACGCGTACGACATTTGTTTGTTTTCAATTTAGTTGTTCAAGAGGTCAGGTCTTGCCTCTTGCGTCAACTCAATTAAGGAGGCAAGATGAATTGCTATATTTAAAGAGTAAGCCACTTTCTGAGGTTTATAAACAAAAAAACTAAACGCAACATACTTCACGCAACAAATGTAACTTAACTTTCAAGATGCTTTTTAGTAAATAACCAATTTAGTGAGACATTCAAATGCAGTGACTAATTGACCACTAACGTTCTGCTTCAACTTGCATTGTCCAGGAAGACTTATCGTAATCTGTGTTACTGAATTTCGAGTATAACCTCTTGCAGATAACAAGAGTTTCTGTTCTGATAGTCTAAAATACTCTCGCTGCTGCTGCTGCTGCTGCTGCTGCTGCTGCTGCTGCTGCTGCTGCTGCTGCTGCTGCTGCTGCTGCTGCTGCTGCTGCTGCTGCTGCTGCTGCTGCTGCTGCTGCTGCTGCTGCTGCTGCTGCAACGCTGTTGAAACAGTCCATGTAACCTCATTAGGTAATGGAGAAGTAACATTTATGTATTCTCTACCGGAGGCCGGGGGGCCTTGGCCCCCCAATAACTTAAGTGACATTAGTAGAATAGCTTTTTGTGAAATATTGCTGTTACCACACTTACTTATCAGGGCTGGCCCCAAAAATAAAAAGTTGTATCTCGGTCTTTGCTTTACGGGTCGGGACAAAATTTGTTAAATCGTGCAGCCAGTATGAAGTCTTTCTATCGAAAATGTCCCGATGAAATCGGGATGGGTTGTCAGTTTAGCTACTCAAAGAAGTCATGTTTTTTTCAATGTCTTCACTTTGCCTGAAAATGTTACAAATTCCTCCATGTGTTATTTACCTTTTCTTTCCAACGTCGGTCTGTAGTAATTTAGCAAAGATTGTTTTTACATGATGTTTTGGTAAAATATCTTCTTTGAGTGCGCAGAATACACCGGACAAAATGCTCCAGAATTGTTGTTAAGATTTGGAGGAGCATAAGTACTAAATACTAGTTATATCAGGATTTGTAAAGCTTTCTGGAACTTTATTTTTTCAGCAAAATATGCATTAGCTTACTCTTGCTTGTGGAGACACCGCAATTTGTAGCGCAAAAAAAACCAAACTGTAAAGACAAAATAAAAATAAGCCTGTTCGTTTCGACACACTTGCAAGTAATTAACCGCTTCCTGGCAGTAAACCTCTTAAATCCATGTCAAAAAACGATCTCTCTTTTCAAATACCACACTCATTCTTTGTTTGATAACAACGTCTTTTCCAAAAATATCTTAATTTCTTTTCAGCTCTTACTTACCTAGGATATTACTGAGAGATATCAGAATTAATCTCCTTTCAAGCTCAAAGCATAAATTTTATGTCCTTGGACAGATAAATTACATTATCTACAGAAACGAAATTTCGATGCAGGATGAAGATCAACAAACCAATGTCTATGACATATGTGCAAATGTTGAACTCTGTTTCCACTAGGCTTTGAATCGCGTTATCACGGGCGTTACACGCGTTAAATCGCGTTATCAAGCACGATAAACAGCGTTAAATTTCAACACTTATTGGAACGCACTTAAGAACTTAACGCGAAGAGTTTGACGTAGGTTACCGCACTTTTACGCTCGGTTGGGAAGGAAATCTTTTCTATTTCAAAGTCCAGTTTATTATTATTATCATCATTATAGAGCACTTTTTCGAAAATAAATTTACTTAGTGTGACACAAGTTCCTAGTTGAAATGTTTTTGCCAGGCAAGTCAAGTCCAGCCTTTGTTGGTTGACAAGATTCTTTCAATTCGATTTTTCAAATGTCCCATAGTTTTGATTTTATTATTGTTGGGCCAAGTTAGTTTTGGGCGGCCTCTTGGTCTTGTATATTCTTCATCCGGGTATGCTAAGGCTAGCTTTCCAGGGGTTTTTTCCGGTAAACGAAGTGCGTGTCTTTGACTTTTTCGAATATTTTGCTCCATGGGGTTTCTTTGGTTCGCAACTTTTCCACTTATATTCGCATACATGGTCACATTTGCATCTCGTGAGAAAAAGGAAAGAAAAAGTTAACGGATCCAAAAGATCCAGACCTTTTAGGTACGAAATGGGTGCGATGCACAAGCATTTACGCGAGTTCGGATCCTAAACTATAAAGCGTTTACACGGAAACGGACCAAAATCGAATCGCTTTTTGCAAGCATGCGCAGAGACAAGGTAATTGTTAGTTTTCATTTTGCCGGGAGAATAGCTAAGATTGCGTCATTTGCAAGCATCGATAAGCGTTCATTTTTACATTGACAGACGAGGAGACAGATTTGTTGATGAAAGTAGTTATGGATTACAAAGCTGCTAAAATGCAAAATGGAGAAGACTGGGGGACTGTTATGTCGAAATGCGAAGAAATTCTACTTAAATTTATTGAGGCCTATCCAGAAACAGCAACAGAGGACATTCCAAATAGCCACGATAAAGAAAAAATTGCAAAAGAAAAGGTGAAAAGAAAATAAAACAAGATGATGACAAGGTTCAGAAAGGCTATCGAGTGTCGAAAAGTATTTTATTTGTTGTATGATGAGTGCTTTGCTTTATTGCGTACAATTGAAATAGCCTCAGTTGACCCCAGCAACAGTCTCGTTTTTCTGCCGTGCCTTAGCGGGTCCGTATCTTCCCGTTTACACGGCGGCGATGAAGGTACGGATCCAAATGGATTTGCTTTCGAATCGTACCCATAAAGGTACTTCTAGAAAAGATACGGATCCTACCGTGCCCGTGTAAACGCAAGGCCTATCGTATCCAGTTTGGGTATGGTATGGATCCGTCCCCGTGTAAACGGGGCCTTAGTAGTGTTCCCGTTGCGTGTCAAAGTCACATGTTCTGTTAAGTCCTGTTGTGTTAGTGAACGCCTTTTTAAGGCAATGTGTTTGTCTTTCAACATGTAGTGTGACGCTAGTATTGTCCTCTTAATTAGTTTCCGGTTATGTTATTAGTATGTGTTGATCACGATATAAGTTAGTCTTTCTGTTGAATCATAAGAGTTAAGATCAAAGAAGGAGTATCTTTTGTGCGTTACCTGTTCGGGGCTTAGGCCCTTTGGCCTAGCCCATCGCTCCATCAACGAGCTGGTTATTAACTGGTTCTTCAACGTCATGACAAGAATCCTTATCGTTACAGAAGAAAAGGAAGCAAAGTAAAGAAAGTATGCCTAGAATGCAATGCCAGAAAAACTCTCTCACCAAGCTCTTGTTTTCTTCTTAAAACTGCTCTTATTCAGAATAGATATTTTGGCTCTTTTCCTGACCTTCTCAAATTTTCTCTTCCTCCTTCTACGCACATGAAGAAGTAAGATAATTTCTTCTTCAAAACTCACTTCAATATTTCTGGAATTTTATCTGCACCTCAACATCAACTCGCGCATATATATTTTTCAAGCTGAAATGGAGACGAGGTAAGAATTACCGCAGCAGTGGAAATTAACGCGCTGTTATAGCGTAGTTTAACACCGAATTTAGAACGCAAAACTCTGGCGTCGGCTCAATCTCTAAAATTTCAACCAGGTATATACAGTCACTGCTAAAAGTCTTGGAACACTAACGTAGGTTTTCAAAGGCAAATTCAGCCATTCCCTCTCTCCCCCTAGGAACAATGTTGATTTACTATAGAAAAAAGAAAGGGGTTATGGAGTACGCTTTTTCTTGTGGATTGTTTGTGATTTTTATATACTTTCAACATTGTTTTGGGGGGAAAGGGGGGCGGAAGTGGTAGTATTCAAGAAAACAAATGAAAAAAAAGAAAAGCACAGCGCAAAGTGTTAGGTGTTCCAAGTAATTTTGGCAGTGATTGTAGTTCAAGAGGATTTTTGCGTAAGACAAAAATTATGTATAGACATCAATGCATGCAATTTGCATGCAACAAGGAAAGACAAGAAGTAGAAGTACCAACTTTATAGTTCTCATCGGCCAACAGGGACAAATTGACCTGAACAGGTTAATAAAACCTTTGCGTTTTTTTCTGGTTTCTATATTTTGCCTAAAACATGGTCAAGAAATCAAGTTTTCTCTTCAAAACTGATTTACCTTAAAATCAGCTGCTTGTAAACTGTATTTGTTCTTTGGTTCTTTAGAAAGTATTCAATGAACACAAGGAATTTAAAAAAATCGTCTTTGGACTTGCTTTTCTTTTAGCTTAACTTCACTCTGAAATATTCTTGAAATCAGTAAAACGCATGCAATTTGCATGCAATTAGGAAAGACTAGAAGTGGAAGTAACAACTTAATACAGTGGAATCCCGATATAACAAAACCCCGAATATAACGAATTAAGTGTCTGGTCCCTTGGATTCTGCCTAACAATAAATTCTCTTGGTATAACGAACCCCGGATATAACGAACTCTCGTTATTACGGACCAATTTTTAGGTCCCTTCATCATAATTGCCCTCGATATAACGATCTTGTCATAAATTTTTCATCTGTTATTTTTGTTTATTTATTTTCGGTGTTCATTTATCACTTTCTCTTGGGGGAAAGTAATTTTTGTAATCGGTAAAACATGCCGATGATACATTTCAAATACTGGCTGGTAAACTCAGTGCACGAGATGAAAGTTTTGTTGCGTCAGAAATTGCTGCGAATGGGTACATTGACACTAACGAATACCTTCTTTCATATTATACATTGGCAATGAGCGATAACAACATTTTATTGAGAGACCCAGATGGAGAAGCAGAAGAAGACAAATATGAATGTGAAGTAATTGAAGATGTCATTCAGCCGCCAACTAGAAATGAAGTGATGCCAGCTTAGCCAATCTCTTGGTCCTAAATAATAAGATGAACATTAAGATTTTCATTCTAAATGACCAGCCTGTTTTGTTTTCGAATTCAGATTGGTTTTTTTTAGTTAAATGCGCACAGAGGTTAGAGATAGCCTAAACAAGCCCACCGCAAGTTTTTAGGCGTGAACTGCGAAAGGACTCAAAAATATATTTTCTCTCGGTTTGACGAACTCCCGATATAACGAACTATTTTCTGGTTCCCTTCGGAGTTCGCTATATCGGGATTCCGCTGTAGTTCTCATCGGCCAGTAGCAACAAATTGACCTCAACAGGTTAACAGATTTTACCTAGAAACACGGTCGAAAAATCTGCTTTCTCTTCAAAACTGGATTTATCTTAAAATTGGCTGCTTGTAGACTGTCTTTGTTCCTTATCCTTATTTTCTGGTTCCTTCAGAAAGTATTCAATGAACACAGGGATTATAAACAAATTGTGATTAACTTGTGCTGATATATTCTTGATATCAGTTAAACCTTCAAGAAATGCAAATTCTAACACATTTTGTTTCAGAATTCAACACTATTTAAAACATGAAGTTCTTCTTAGATTGAATTATCCTAATTTTCCCTTTTGGGTGTCTTTTCCTTCTGGATGTCCTAATTTTTTCTACTTTTTTAGATTATTTGCATAATTGCATTTAATCCAAACTTGGGTTGTCTGGCGCTAATCAAACAAATTTTGCTTCATTAGGAATCAGTGCCACACTAAATTACAAGAACCCTTCAGGGGAACTCATTTTTTGAGTGATTCCGTAATCAATGGGAGAAAACCAGCTTACATGCTTGAACTTTGGCCCATATGCTGATTGATAATGTAAGCACAGGCTCTATGGTCGTTCATTTGCAGTTTAGAACACAATTGCTACAAAAGCACTTGGCCTAACTTGTCTTGCCATGACTGGCTTATAATTTCACAAAATTAGAAGCCAGGAGAGAATTGCAAAAAGCAGCTTTATTCTGAGCCGAAAAGGCAAGCCTACTTTGAGGCAATGAAAACAAAATGCCCATTTTCACCATCAGCGATTTTTTCTGCAGCTTCAGTTCCCCTGCTTTGCAAGTAATCGAGCCTTGTCGTGTGTGCATAGAAATTATACGTTGTGACTTTCTATGTAAAGTTCTTTCTTCAAACTTCATACCAACTTCGTTTATTCGATCTCCAATGATGTTCGCATTTCTTTTTATCTCCTCTAGTCCTTTTTATCAGTCTGTTCCTCTTTTGGTGCCAATTATTCATTACGGAATTTTCGATTGATTTTTTAAACCACTGTAAATTAAAATCCTCTCACTCGAATTTATTGTTTTGACCAATCAAATAGACATTTGGGCCTCTTGCCGCAATTGGGTCAAAAAGTAATAGGCAACTTTTTATAATTGCCGGCCGGTCCAGTTTAATATCAGTTGCTTGGGCCATGTAGGTGTGTATTATTAGCATACGAGATTTCTTTAGAATACTAGGGATTATTCTCGAAGGCAATGTGATTTTTTGCCAAATGCGTACGCCTTCCTTTACCTCTCGTAGGATCCACATTCTTTCAAGGGACGTCGTGGCAAATGAATTCTAGAATCAATTTTACTTTATGCAACATAATTGCAAAAATTTTCAAACCTGGGATAAGATTTTTAAATCTGTCTAAATGATATCTGTCATCCCTTTCCCGATAAAAAATTGCTACTTCCGCTCCCTTCCCCCTAAAACAATGTTGATGATTTAGAGAAATATCATAAAAGAAGCGCAGAAGAAAGTGCTTCCTAAAATCCTAAACCGTTTGATAGTAAACCAACATTGTTCTGTAGGGGGGAGGGGGATGATCGATTTTGACCTTGGAAATTGACGTCAGTGTTCCAAGACTTTTGGCAGGCATTGTAGACATTAAAAACTCATTATTTTGGGGATGCATGAAGAAACAATGATTGCCCAATTATGTTTTGGTGTCACTGGGATGAACTGTCGCTGAGAATGATGGTACAAAGCAGCCATAGGACATAGATGCAAATTGTAAAGAACTGTATGCTTTATCCTTTGTTAGATTTCAGCCTGTTTTGTCTACGTTCCCGGGCAAAATCGTTGAGATAAAATTAAATTATTTCAATTTTTCTTTGCGTTGCCCCTGTAAACTCGTACCCCCCCCCCAACCCCTCCCAATCAGTTTTTGACTAGTAGCTCTATCGTTTGCGACCTTTAAAAACTTATATTCAACATTTAAGCGGGGGAGAGGGAAAGTATTTTTCAAGGGGATGTGAGACATCAAATCTTCTTTGAAAGCAGGGTTTATTTTAACATGCATTGATAACTAATTTTTGCAGTGAAAAATCGTAATTGTGCAGTGATAAACTCAAATTTTGTGTAGCGATGAAACTAAAAAAGAGATTTGGTAGTGAAAAGGATAAATTGCAGCAACTACCAGTAGACACATAACGATTATAAAAGAGTATTATAATAATAAAAACGATAAAATTTCCCTAAAATAAACCCTGTTTGAAAGTCTGAACTATTTTTGTCGTGGAATTGTAGATGGATAGCTACTCGAAGCAAAGTAATTTCTAATCTTAAAGTAAAGGAAGAATGAAAATTGAAAAATTATCAAGTGTTTCTAGACGTCCAAAGTTCATATCAATTTCCGTTTGCAAATTGGTTTTGAAGATTTGGATTTTAACGGAAAAAATTCGTGCAGTAAATCACTCTATGAAAACCTCGTAGACCGTTGATAGAAAGCGGTAAATCATGAGAAATTTTTTTGCATTTGTGGAAATCTAATACTTTCTTAACAAGAGTAATTTCCCCTCGATAATACATTTATTTCGCTAAAAGGCTCGTTTCACCACTTCTTTCTACTCGCAGCTCAAGTTTTAGAATTTTCCGACGTAACAGTGACCAAACTTTGAAAACAGAGAGGGCCATTATTGTCTTCCTGCCCCCCGGCCACGACGCCCTGCTTTTTTCTACAAGCTTGGTTGGGCACCAAGCAGCCTCTTTCCGGAGCTTATACGAGGTTCATTTGCTTAGATACAAAATGGCGGGTTGTTTTCGTGTTTCTGCAACGGAAATTTAATGGAACCAGTAATGGAAATAAAATAATTATCGCCGTCTTGACGTATTGTTTATTCACGCATTTTGAAAAAACGAATATTTCTAAAGAGATTTAACTTGATGCTGGTTTCACCCTTCCTACACATCACGAAGAAACAAGTTGAAATGTCTTGTTGTTAGAAAATAAACAGTCAACACAAAATGTCAGACCCTCGTTCAACTAAAGAAGATTATTTGAAAGTCGTCACTGAGCTGAAAAAGGATGTAAACAAAGAAATTGTACTCATGTTGAAGAGCGCCGAAGATGAGCATATGACGTATGTGATTTTCATTTTAAATAACCAAAGTAAGCCCTTTAAAAAACTTTAATGTTGAGAAAGGGATTTATAGGCGATATGCATATCAACTAACAACACCAAATGCAAAGCTCTTTTATAGTAACTCCAGCTTTTATGAGGTGATCTTACTGTTGTCTGGGCTTAAATATAAAAGTTGGGAATGGATAAACAACAACAAGACATATTTTGAGTTCGAATTGATGCTTATTTATAAAGAACAACACAATAAAATGATAAACGACTCCATAATAAGAAAATAAATTAATAATTAAACTAGCTAATATGCTGTTTTAGTATTTAGGAAATTTTTACTCCAAATTTTTGCTCTACTTTTGATTTAAAATTAATCTTGTAAACTACTAAGTAATAAGCACAAAGAAATGCTATTCAAAGTGACCCTTATTGATATAGGTCAGCAGATGTAAAGGTTGAATTTTCTGTGTTATCCTGATTATCTTGTTTGGTTGGCATGCCAAAAATTAATTCTCAATATGATTTCAGAAATGATTTTATTCTCAACAAGATTTAACTAAAGACCGGGCCACATTTATTTGTCTGAAATTTCGCATTGCTATTATTTACATTTTTAGTCAAACATGTATCACAATGCCACTTGTAAATGTATTGTATTTGTATTTGTTCCTACCTAGCAATCCAAGGTAGAGTTTAGGACACTGAGAACCAATGTCTATCAAGCAATGTCATGGTCTTTCTCATTATTCCACCCTGTGATTCCTTTGCCTTGAATTGCAGTGAGCTAGCTGGCCATTCTGGGTAAATGTTTTGTCATGTCAAGGATTCAAACCAAAGACTTTGCTTTTTAGTCTGTAATCCTTATTGCTACCCAATCCTTGAATCTGAACAGTGAGATAGTGCAAACTTGTTGATGTTGTTTATGTATCTCTTTGGATTTGAAAAGGGTAAATTTTGTATTTTGGCTCAACACACCCTGGTGGATTATATAGGGCATATTGACTTAAGATATGCTAAAAGTGTCTGTGTCACAGTTTTTTAAACAAACCAAAATACGGGTCATTGTGCGATTACATCCTAATTTCAACATTCGGATAATGGTGGATGGTGCTCCAATTCTTCAATAAACTCGATTAATTATTTTTCTGAGTGTATTTACCAGACATAAAATGGATAATTACTATATTTCTGTGCTGAATATCAACATCAAGTGTGTATAGCAATTGATCTAGGCAAAGTAAGTGAAGCTCCAGCCCCTTTAACTACATGTCAAATGCTTGAAGAAAATCTTGATTTTGCCCTTTTTGCACTTGTTAGTGAACCAATCTATGATTTCAAGCTAAAACTCAATGGAAACAAGAAGAATGAAAGAAATGAAATGTATAGGAAGAGACTTGTTGATGAGGTGAATCATGCTTTGATATACATTGTCTCTTTCATTCGAAAGAAGCATTCAAATAGCCAGTTACAGGCTTATAGATATTTTCTTACCAAGAGAACACAATTTTTTGTAAAACGCCATTATTTTATAATGATTTTTTTTCAAAAAATAATGTGATGGAATGTTAAGAGCATGTCACACAAGAATGTTTTGTCATCCTCTTATTTATCTTGTTAGTCCTTGTTGTAATTTGCCTTATAAATTTTATATTTTTCTCACAGGATGTTGACATTCTGTTTCAAACATTGAAATCTAACTCATTTGTGATTGGTTTGGATCTTGGGTATAACAACATTGGAGATACTGGAGCAGAAATACTTAGTAAACTGCTGCAGGTTTGGAAGTTCTCTTATATGAAATGTATCAAAATGAAAAGTGTAATATAAAAACATAACCAAGTCTAAAAGTATCAAAACAATTCCTAGAAATTCCACTCCAGATGTCTACCCAATTTTCTAAATATCTGGTATTTTAGCCTTATTGTTAACTAATTGGAGGCTTAGTCGCAGATGCCGCTTCACATTTTTGTTAACCCTTTTTAGTGAAATATAATTGTTAGTTTACATGGATACCATGTCAGTCCAAAGGCAGATAAGTGATCTATGTTTCTCTGTGAATCTTGAATTTCTATCTGCAACTATTACTGTATGCCTACCTGACAGACAACATTTCTTCTGTTTGCATACTGAATTGAACCCCCACACAAGTTCTAAATTTCGTAAGAACAGCTCTCCCATGTTGCAAATATTCTGACAGAGTTTGCAGGTTCATCTTTTATCCTTAAGTATCCGAGGAAATTTAAAATCTAGGAAATCAACTGTGACTCGAAGTGACAGTTTAGAGTATGCTATCTATACTCCATTATTGAAACCACTGGCTATTTTTTTCTGAAAACCTGTGAAAACCGGTGCCCATTTGTTTCCCTTATGCGAAAATACCGGTGGCTAAAAAGCATATTGGATATCGATGTGCAAATAAAAATCTGAGGTCTTGTATTGAGGGACTAGACTTTCTTTCTCGGAAAAAATCATCAAAATTAGAATCGAAGTGGATCAAAAGCCGTTGACATTCTAGAAAATTTTGCCAATTTGTCACAATTTAATAACCTCATAAATTTTCATATCATCAATATTTATGTACCATTAACACACGGGCCCATGACGGGAAGCACCCCGAAACCGGTCAACATTGTGGCTAGATCCGCGCTTGTCTTCTGCTAAGAGATAACCCCATGCTATCCGTTGTAGTTAGCCCTCAAGTCGACCATATTTATAGGAATAACCCTTCTACCGATTTAACATAAACCTTTATAAAACAGTTGTTTTTTGACAAATAGTCTTAGTTTAGATATTCGCATCTCTTTAGTAAAAGACTATTTTCATCACTCTCATTGAATTAAGGAAACACTGGTGCTGCAATCACTTATTCTAAGCTACAATGATATTGGTCCAGAAGGAGCTTGTGCATTGGCTAAGGGAGTGCAGGTAAGTCAACTGAGTTTTAAGAAGTTTTATCATTGCATAACATGGGCTACGACACAGGTTGGAAAGTGAGGGGGCCAAGGGAAACTTTAACAGCGATAACAAAATATTTTGAAAAAGGCTCTATTGTTTTGGAAAAAAGTGGGAGGGCCATGTTCCCCTCCCCCTTCGTCGGAGGCCCTGCATAAAAGAGATTTTGGGGATAGAAGGAAAACACCCAAAGAAGCCACTGGTCATGTTCTTTGTGCTCGCAGGTAATTGTGGTACACTGTTTGATACACACTATGGTACACCCTGTGGTGCCACTTTATGTTTGATTTGCTTTGATGAACACTGAGGCTGAGCTTTAACGACTGTCTCTTTTAAATAACACTAAGACAAAGAAAGCAGATGGGTTTTCCAAGAAGCAGCCCTTCTTCTTTCGTATATATTATGCTCCAAATATTATAATAGGTTTATTTCGTGTTCTCAACATCAAAATTTCTTCCACACTTCGTTTAACTGCCTGTAGATTTTACGTTTCTCCAATTCATTTCGTTTTCAAGCAATATTGAGTATGCCTCTTTGCTAATATTGAGAACTTTAAAAGGGAACTCTCGTAATTGATGCTTCTTTTAAAGTGGGCGTTGAGTCATAAATCTCAGCTGTTATTTCCAAAAATTCCACTCTGGATTCCACCAAAATTATTACTGCGCAATTTTGAATTTATCGTTGCATATTATAGTTATTTGGCTGGCACGCAACTAAAAAAGATGTGCAATGTACACCTTCTCCGATATTGCATTTCCTCTCTGTCTGATGTTCACATCTTTGATATAGCAATTCCTAGATTTCGAAAGTGAAAATTTCACGATGGCTATTTTTTTAAAAAAATTTGTTTATCGATAGTTTGAAATTTCAAGTTGAAGTCTAGCCGATACTTTGAACACTAAAGAAAAATGAGATGTAATTAAGGCATCAAAGCCTACTTATCTATGATTTGTCAAATAAACTGTTTATTGGCTATTTTAGAGTCTATCCGCCATTTTTTTTAAATTCCTCTGCTAGTTCAATCTCTACTTTACAAATCGAGATTTTACTCCAGGACTTCAAGAATTGTCATAGAAATGTTACCTTCTTTGCTTGGCTGGAAATTGTATGAATTTGTATTGGTGTGTTAATCAAAGAAGGACAGGGCTTGAAAGCGACTTGCACGGCCAAATAATACTCGATAAATTTTTACCCTTCGAACAAACTTCGATGGATTGGTACGGTGCTCTTTTGTTTTCAAAACCCTGTTGTATCTTTACTAATTTCTGTCTTTTAATTATTATTTTTCTGTTCCTTTCAAAGTTTTTTTAACAATTTTTTTTTCTTTTAAGGTAAACGAGACCTTAAGAGTTTTAAAGTTGAATGGGAATAAAATTGGAAACAAAGGAGGCCTGGCACTAGCTGGTGCTTTACAAGTAAACACTGTCCTGGAAGATATTGATTTGGCAGAGACAGACATGGTATGCACCTTTCATTACTCACAGATTTTTGTTTCGCAGCTAAGAGTCTGATATCCTTGCTATTTTAAGGAGTATTTCTTAACCCCTTTTGAGCTAAGAAAAAAACATTGTTGGGGACACAAACGTGTTAGAGTTTTCTTTCAAATACCCCGGTCTTGCTGTCAAACATCGTGCAAATCAATTTTTGTAGCTATTGCACTTGCTTTTTAACTACTAGATATCTTAATCGCTGACCAATCAAAAGTACTTAGCTGTTGTTATCCAACGATATATTGCATCAATACTGGGTGTTGTCATACCGTTATTGATGACACTGTATAGTAAATATTTAACTAGTTGTATATTCTTTATAGATTCTTTCTGTTTCTATGGAAACATTAAAGTCATTCTTTGCTTCTCCACTTTTATATACGGAACTTACTTGCTCCTGACTTTTAAACTGAGCTACAGATCTGAGCATCGAGCCATGAAAAGACTACTTTGAATTGAGGATATATAAGCTTGACGGGCTATAATATTTAGGCATCCAGCTTCTTTTGCAATATTCGTATGAGTCTGATTCTTGATCTGGTATCTGTAGCCTTTCAAATATTTCAACCTAGCAAGTATTTCTTTTGTAAATTATTCAGCTAAAGCCGCTGTCTTTTTAAGGTTTTCTATTTTTTCCTTCAATCAAACTCTCTCTTTATTTTTATTTTTTAGCTCTGTCGATAATGTTTTTTTTCTCCTCGTGTTGCTTTTATAGTAAATTCATTTCTTGAGTGTGGTAAATACAATCTTTGAGCTTCGTCTTTTTAACAGAAGAATGAAACCGTGATAGCCTATGCGACCGTGTTTTGTCACAATGGTGCAATGAAATATGTCAATTTGGACCGGCCCTTGTACACGAGTAAGCAGGTAATTATTATACTCCTATAAAACAGTCTTGTTACGTTTTGTATAAAGCAATCTGCAAACTACACTGTGATAAATTGTCAAGTCAAATCATTTATTTAGCAAAACTCGTATTATTAATATCAAAGGATTTTTATTTCTATGATAGTACCATTATATACTCGTAGATAGCTAGTAATATTGATAAGAATAATTGAACCGGAGATTTAATTTTTTCTACGCAATATCTTTTTGTTGACGATGGAAAAATGAGGTAAATTTATATCTTTAAAAGAGAATTCCAGGGTTACATTGAATTCTGGCGAATTATTATTGGTATAAAAGATAGAGACAGGGTATGGAATAAACTTATGCTGTAAGAAAAGCCAAAGACTCGAAAGCAAAATAGGCCAAAATACGTTTGTCTGAAAAGTAGATATTTTGTACTCGAAAATTATCAAGTGCATATTAATTTTATCAAAGGTGAAACAATCTAATGATAGTAAGACAAAAATTGCCCCAAGGTATTGATCTAAAGAAGGATGATTTTTGACTCAGGAATTTTATCAGCATTAAAGTTGCGTCATTTCTTCATTTTTTGACTGTCAAGCTCTTTTGTATTAACCAAAGTTAAACCAAACTTGTGTTAAACCAAAAATCATTTTTATTTGCAGGAGGAAACGACAGTGCATCTTGCTAACATGCTGAAGGTTAGCTAAAATTAAATAACTGTCATTCATATATATATATGTATTTCAAGATATATTTTTTCTTAATTATTTCTTTTATAACATGAATCTTCGGACTAACCTAATGCTGAGAAAGTGAGTTACCACTTGTCCAAGTTCAATGACTAATATTAATATAATATTATTTCTCGTATCTATATACCAAACAACTATATTATTGAAAATCATCTGACATTTTAAGGACGCAGGTAGCTCTATTAATTGAATACCTTTTGGAATTCGTAATAATTTCTACTTTATGCAAATTAAGATTTCTTGATCTATATTGGTGCATACCAAGTGGTCAAATGAAATACAGGCATTCAGAGACTATTCAAAATATTTACTTAAATTGGCAAATTATTTGCGACTTAAAACAGAAAATTTATGCATTGAAATATAGTAAGCTGTTTGTATCTCATGTGCACTTTGATTGATCAAAAATGACTCCTTTTAAAGTAAAACCATCTAAAACAAAATATTGCATTTTTTACCACTTAATATTTTACTAAAGGAAGACCCTTAACAGTGTTATGAATTTTCTTTTTTTTTCTTTTAATAAGTAAGCAATACAGATGGCTCAATAATATTTGCAGATATGAATGAACATTGCCTCTTCAATGATAATTGAAAGTGAATTACGTTTTTTTTACTTTTTCAAATAGCTATGTTTTTGTTACTTTGACTAATCTTGATTTTGTACTTGTCACATTTTGAATACAGCAATTTCTTCTTGCTCTGTGATGGCGGCCATTTCCTCATAGGTAAACAGTCATTTGCGTGAACTTCATTTGTCGAAACATGATATTCGCAACTTTGGAGCAGAGAGGCTTGCCGAAAACCTGGCATTCAATGTCTCTCTGACACATCTTGATTTGAGAGCGTAGGTTTATTGAAACTTGTTTATTGAAATGAGTAATACCTTTGCATTTTAAACTTTTTACGTGGTAAGGCCCTAGTTTTACTATGCTTGAATAATATTCTTGGTCGCATAGTTCCCATTCACATTGTACTTGTGGCAACCAATGTGTGTTCGCTCTAACTTTCAAATTTTGGTAGCCTTTTAAAAAGAATTTATTACTCATTTCAATCTGTTGTTAAAGGTTGAAATTTGGTTGTTAGCAATTTGAAATTTAGGATTTTCAAAGGCAAATAAAACCCACATAAAAGAGAAATCGTGTTTTTTTATTTCAAGAGATTGTTGCAGTTAATTGAGTCAAAGCTGATCAAACCACTAGATCAGAGAAAAGTGACTGCTTAGCCAGGAGTCTCGTGTTTTTGGCTATACTTTATTGAAAAATCCGTAGCCTGAATAGCTAATACTTTTAATATTGATGGTTGAAAGATTGATAAAAACCACTGATATATGAATTTTGCCTATTTGGAAAGAAAGTTTTTAGATTCTGAGGTTCGGTCCCTTGATCGTGTTCTCGTGAGCAGTAGAATCCAGAATATTTTGAATTTATCAGCAGTATTTTAACGTTTCAAAATTTAAAAAACATGGATGATTGATTGATTGAAGCATCGACACGTAAAAATTGTGTCTTAATGGGTTTTTTGTGAAATCACTTGCTAAATCGAATGATGTATGGGGATTCAATAATATCTAGAATGAATTACAATGTTGCAAACCTATTATGTTAGAATCACTTCTCGATCTCTGGTTTTTGCTCTAGTTACACCAAACCACTCACTATCAAGACTTGGCGATAAAGAATCTTAAAAAGTTAGCATCAGCTTAGAAAATGAGGATTGCTAGATTTTTAACTACCTTTGTGCTTAATGGTACCTTTTGCTGATAGTTAACATAATCTGCATGCTCTCTTACAACTGAGTTTTATTTTTAAAGGAATCGGATATCTAGAGACGGTGCATACTGCTTAGCCAAACTTCTCAAGGAGAACACGCCATTAGAACACTTAAACCTTGCATACAATCGCATTGAAGATCATGGTGCAGTCTATCTAAGTGAAGCACTGGCAACTGCTAACAGCAACCTAACTACGTAAGCAATCCAGTCCATTATTCTCTTAACTCTTGTAGCATGTCTTTTAAGTATCGGTACATAACCTCGTGAAATTGAAATATATATTCAGTTGCTTTCCATCATGTACCCTAACTGCTGAAATGTTCCGTAATCTAACTATTGAAATGTAGCCTCGCGGACTTTTTCTTACTTCTACTACTAACCTCGATTACCTTCTACTGATATTATAATTTATGCTAATATTACAATAATTATTTCGTCTCAAATTTACAACCATGTTGTTCTATGCCCCTGCAATTTTCAATTGCTATCTAAGGTCTTGTCCTTGGGTAGCAAGTTACAATGTTGCAGCTCTTTATGTACAGATCTTCAACAAGTCTTCGTAGCTCACTTACAAATCGTCGTAAAGCAACCTTACGCGCCGTCGAAACTCAGCTTTTTTCGAAACTCAGCTTTTCCCTTCTTTAAAAATTATCAGGCCTTGTTTTTGATTACGATATTTGCAAAACCAATTTCACGGCTTGAAACACAAAACGTTTTCTTTTTCTGTCAAGATTTATTCTTGATAGAAACTACGCTTTCAATTTAAAATTCACTAGTAGTTAACATTTCTGCAGCATGTTATGGAGTCGATGTCTTTTTAGTTTCACTGCTCTTGCTTTATCCTCGTTAGAACGAAAATAAAAATCATATTGCAGCTTACTCGGTCTAAACCTGCTTTGATTTTAACAGCTTAGTTGTCCGAGGCAACACAATAAATGGCAGGGGACTTTGTGCGTTGGCGAAAGCACTAGAATCGAATCAGACGTTAAAGCGAATTTATATCTGGGGGAACAACATGGAACGGGATGCGTGCCAGGTATGAGGGCCTTATGCAAGTTTTCATCGAATTAGAATTAGACTTAAATGAAAATTACTGTTTACAGGTAATTATAGTCAGGGCAGTACATATTTATTACATGTATAAGAAATGACAATTTGGCTCAATGAAGGTAAGGACGGTGGTTTGGATATCATCAATAGATGTTTCAACTAAGACTGGTAACTTATTTTAGCATACCTAAATGTCTCATTTTACAAGAATATTACCAAAAAATTTAGCAATTCTCTAAAAAAATAATTAAACCTTCAGTTTGTTATTGAACATTCTTCTGTCTGAGTCGACCGCACAACCTACATAACACTACATCATTCAAAATCGTATAAAAGTAGGATCAGAGTATGCATGTAACATTTGACCCGCTATTGCCATGGTGCGAAGCATATGCTAATGTTAGTAGTTGAACCATTTCAAGCCTTGTCATCTAATAACAAAAGTTCTATAGTGAAGCTCATTGGCTTAAGTCAACTTGTCAATCAACAAATGACCAACAGGATAAGAGATTGGTCAACCTCAGGCTTAATATGAGAATCTGAAATGCTCTCAACTTAGCTAGTGTCATGTAAGGGAAGGTTTTCTTGTAGGCGTTTGCGGACCTTCTAGCTGGTGTCGTGCCTCGAATCAATGCAAGTGATGCTGATGTGGAAGCTTATTTTGTAGATGATGCTCCGTATTTGGCAGAGGTTGACTGTCCCTATTGAGACATGTTTGAACATTGGAGCCATGTTGTTCTTGTGAAAAGTGCAACCTTGCATTTTCACTTTCCGTGGTTGCAAAGCAGTTGTTTTATATTCAATTTCGTCAATAGAATTATTTTGTTTTGTGTTATTTCAATCTGCAGCTTCTGGAAACGCGTAAAATGTCCTGCTTGACCTACTTGCGAATGCAACGTTTAAAAAAGCTCGATGTCGATCTTTAGTATTTCATGGGGCCAAGGATATCTGAATTTGCCGTTGAAAATTGATGTTACTGTTCCTTAAATCATGGATTTTAGTTCAGCAAAAAACCACTTAGCTTTAACGGCAGAAATCTGCTGCTTGTGAACATAGAATATTTCAGAGAAATAACAAGACATTTTTAATTCAAAGAATTTTTTTCTTCTGAACATAAGAATATATAAAATACATATTTATATAGAATCATGTTTATTCATAAATGGATGCAAGCATTTTCAATAAAAGTTGATCGATTTGTATCTGAGGCTATATACAGGCCATTAGTGTATAGAGAAGGGATTTGGGTGAAAATACTATGTTTTAGGTATGGGTGAAAGAGCATGCTTTAAAAAGTTTGACTACGTCTTTACAATATTCGGTAGTTGAAAAAAAACTTTATTTCCCCCCTTCCTTCATGTTTGTAACAAAGCCACTGTAATCATACGATTTGATAATTAATGCGTTCGAGTCAACAAGTGGAGATCGTCTCTTCCCCCTTATCTCTAGATCATAGACACGTACCATGATTGCTATACTGAGTCTTATATCTCTGTAAATACAACGATAAATACTTCTTTAAAGCAGAAACGTTAATTGCAGGATTCGGAATGTATAAGAAAAAAGATAAGCATAACGAATGTAAATAATAATATAGATACACATTAAGAGAAAATGTAAACTCCACGAAAAACTAATAGTTGGGTTTTGGCATTACCACTTCTAGGTAACTCAAGGTCTTCGTCGGGTAAAAGCAAGCCCTTTATGATTAGGTTTGATATAAACGCCGAGAACTCTTTATCTTATAATAATCAAATTTACTTTTCTCGCTGTCCACTTTCCCTTATAAAATTGCTATGTGTATAGAAATCTTTGAGTCACTGAGAGGTCTGTAAAATAAATTATTGAAGTATTGAAGTCAAAGGAGTCTGGGAACCACCGCGCTTCTGAGGGTCGCAGCAAGGTAACTTGGATTATTACTTGGGTACATGATCTAAGCGTCGTTTATAAAACGATTTGGATTTTAAACAAAATAAAATTTTCTAATAACGAATATTACAACTCAGAAAACTCGCTATAATCAATCTCGCCATCTTGATCCTGGTCTAACAACTGCATGAGCTCATCAATTTGGAAATCTACCAGTCCGCAGTTGGCCACCTTAAGTCCTTTCCTGAACTCGTCTACGCTGATCGACATACTTGCATCTCTGTCTATGAAGTCAAACAAATCAAGCTTGTGAATACCATTGTCATCTAAAAACTTCTTCAAAATTTCCCGTGGGTCTGTAATTCGCTTTGGCTGTTTTTCTTTAAACATTGTCTCATGGATAAATTTGATGCTACGATTATTGAGACGAATTTCTTTTTCAAGCTCGTAAAACTCTTTTTCAAGATCGGTACCCGATATGTCTATTGTGCTTAATTTTGACTCCGTATTCCGTAAAATTGCCTTTAATATAAAACAAACTCCAGTATTTTCTAGAATATTTTGCCCCACTTTCAAAGTTATTAACGATGTATTTTTCTTTAGTCCTTGCGATAAAATTTTTGCGCCTTCCGCTAAAAGTCTGTTGTTTGAAATATCCAAGCAGGGTAAATTTATGAAGCCAAAAGCCTTGCTCAGCGCTTTACATCCACTAACTCCGATAGCATTCCAAGATAACTTTAGGTTTCTTAATATAATATTATCTTTTAATCCTTTTAAAACTGCCTCCGTTCCGTGCGCTCCGAGTCCGTTCCAACTCAAATCGAGGTCTGTTATTGAGCGCTGTTCAGAAAGCATAACACCTATGTACTTACCGCCTTCTTCAGTAATTTTGTTCTTACTGAGGTTAAGTTCAGTTAAACTGTAATTACTTGTAAGGCCACTACAAAGAGTCTCCATGCATTTGTTGCACAGCATATTCTCAGAAAGATCTAAAACTCGCAATGTCCCATTGGCTTCTAAAGACTCAGCGAATGCTTTTGCAGCTTTAAGACCAAGCATATTGTAAGCGATATTCAGCCTCGTAATATAAAAATTGTCGAAGAAGATTGTTGCGACATCTTTGCCACTGTCATCTCCAATGGCGTTGTCTTGAAGATCGAGCTCGCAAATTTTCGTGTTCTGCAACAAAGCTACAACAATGGGTTTGATGCCATGTGCTCCTAGTCCGTGATGCGCTAAATTCACAACCTTCGATGATATATTACGAGTGAAGTAAGATGCCGGAACAACATCGTAATGTTTACAAGCCTCGAGGTAAATCTCTTTGCCAGTTGTATCGTGAAAAATGGCTTTACGAGTGCTTGGTGGCTGGTGAAAAGATAAAAAGAAAGCTGTTAAAAATTATTCACCATCGCTTAAAGCAAAATACACAAAAAACTGGTTGGATTATGAGGGGGGGTCATCACATAAATATGACTGACTGCATTAGTATAAATTTTCTGTGGAAGACATCTCTCTCTCCAAAAAAAATAATTCCACTATACAGTAAAAACTAGTTTTAATATGTTTGATGTAGCCTTTTCAAAGAGTACTTTTCTTGAATTTCCTACTTTGGTAAATTTTCACCCAAGTAAGTATACAGTGTTCTTTGGGAGCCTTTGATATCAACCAATCAGCTTCAGACCAGTTATTATTGTTCCTGTCTTCGTGAAGGTGATTGGTTGATACATGTTTGCGTTTGCCACTTCGTATTTATATAGCGAATCGGGTTTCTCCAGGAACGCTAAGGTTGTGATAAATCAAATTTGTCTTGCTGCGGCTCTTCAAAAGTGTCCTTAGGCCCAGATTCCATTGAGATCAATACTCTCAAAAAATGTGCAAGTCATAACAAGTTTACAGTCGGTTTGCTTTGAATACAAAGAAGCTCACAAACATTGTGATTGCTATGAAAAATTCCAGAGAAACTTTCTATCGAAATTTGAAAATTTAGTTGCTAATGCAAAACAGGCAAAATATGTGATAAAGGTAGCCTGCGTTCCAGACCCCTAATTTGAAATGAGGGGTCTGGGGCACAGGCTAACTGAAGGCTACTTAGATTCTAAGGTTGAGCCAAAGGAAACTGAAATCACTAAACATTAACATTCTCACGAAAAGATAACATTGGGAGCAAAAGTAAGAAGACACTGTCCGTATGGCTTAATTTGTTAACACAGTCTGGTGAGAAAAAAACGTCTATTTACAGTACGATCAAATTATCAAATTCTGTCAAATGTGTTTTCATAAATGCTCCATCAACGCCACATATTAAATGTCTATCTTAAAAATGTTTTTTATTTAAGAGGGTTAATTATTCGACGGACGAATGGCTGAAAATTGAAGAAAAAAGGAACGAACAAAATTGCTCTTTGTCTTATTTTAGAGGATATTTCAAGATGACATAATAAGGTAACGAATACTAAATTACCAGCGATGTAAAATTTCGCGAGTATGATCTTTTGACCGTGGAATATTCTGGTCTGTTGTTATATGAAGCCTCAAACGGTTTGTTGGATAAGATTTCAACCATTACTGCCAATATATCAAATTGGTAGCAGGTTAAGTTTCAAACAGAAATTCATAGTTCTCAACACGAGAGTTGTTAATTGCTGTGTACTTTTTGGTGCTAAATTACAAAAAACTCAAAGGCTACTTGATTCATCACCTGCATCTCATTGAAGGTAAGAGATTGAAAATATGGCCTAAAATCCACTACAAAAACGAGTGAGACAGCGTAGAATATAGGTCTTGTGTGTGTTTTCCTGGGTTTCTGCCTGTGTTTAAATGGAACAAGCAATACAACATTCGCAGCTAAAAGATTGATAATTCTGTTTCGAAACAACCTTTAAATAAGAAGATTTCAAACAAAACTACCTTCTAACCTCCTGAACAACGTCTTTTGCCATACCTGATCAAGATTCAATCGTTAAGTAAAAACAAAGCTATATAATAAGGTAATTACAAAAAAATATATAGACCTCTTCGGATTCCAAATCTGTATCGTACTCATCACTGGCGTCGTCTGGTACTGTCGGGTTCCGCAGCTTAAAATCCTTCACAGAAAATCTGCAGTTATAAACCGGGGCTTGCCCGGCCATTTGCAGGATTTTTATACCAGGTGAGCGTGCGAGCTTGGCGTTTGGGTCGTCTGCCCGTGCAGATCGTACAGATCGCGTCGAGAGCGCTGGCGATGCTTGGCTGTTCTGCTCTCTCTGCTCTTCGTCGCCACTGTTTTCCTTCGTTTTGATATCTGATATATCCATTGTTTCATTTGTATAAGTAATACTTTAGGAGATCTGACGACCAAACTGTCGGCTACGACACAATGGAGATTTGTTGAGCTGAAAACAATCATGGTGTACCAAAAATGTAAACACATCATTTTTTTAATAAAAATTGTTGACCACAGCCAGGTTTGTGTACAATAAAACCTGGTAATAATTAAAGCTAAGTTACTTTCGGCAGAAGGAACAGGTTGTTTTCGAAAAATTTTATTAAGTAATTCACCGTCACTGTCGTCGATTCCTAGAGCATAAGTAGGATATGCTTCGAGCAAAAAGTTGTAGCATCAGTTACTTATAGATGTTATAATGTACCGTAGTAAAAGGACTGTAGGTAATAGCGCAGTTAAGGAGGTTCATTACATAATTATAAACCGGTTTCCACTGCGTACTGCTCTCCAAACCTGACGCAATGGCACTTCAGTTTTTGCATAAATTGTATAACACTGTGTTTTGCACTCTGCAACGGTCGGGTAGGAAGCCTTTAGCAAAGCCCTAATACAGTCAAGCCCGCTATCTCGAACTCGCAAGGGAAATTATAATTTGTTTGACATAGCGGGACTTCGAGCTATTCCGACATAGGATTTCGATTAAATTCTGCATTTAAAAGTAGAATATAAAACATAGAAAAGAGCTTATTTGTTTCCAAAGCTTTGTTATACATCAAACTGAACTAAAATAGTCTTTAATGAAATTTGCTTTATATTTTGGAGTGCTTCTTCATGGTAAAATGGCAAACGACAATGGTTTTGTTTCCTTTGCTGGTGTCAAAGTAGCAGTAGCAGAAGAAATACCCATTTTATCCAAGGGTACCGCGTTTATCATTCTATTTGGCAGCCAACGATTGGAGAGGAATTGAAAGTCGTGATGGAGGCAGACAACAGAGCTGACAAATACGCAGTATGTGTGCAGCAAAACGAAACGATTGTAGGACATATACCAAAATGAGAGACAGGCAGATTTGCAGACAATCTTCTTCTTTTCCAGGACAGATGAATGTAGTTCTTGCATGGCTGTGGTGAATGACAATTGTGTAAGCTTTTGAGATAACAAAGGAATGTAAAAAAATTCCACCAAAAAAAACGTAAGACAAGAAAAGAATTATAGTAAATAGTCAGCTAGTCCTGAATATTAAAACAGTTTCACTTTTGGTCTTGATTGTTTATTTTTCAGTGTTGTTCGTCTATGATTTACATTTTCTGCATCCGTGTTACCCTGGGTACCAGACTTACTATATATAGTGAGTCTGGTACCCAGGGTACATCCGTGTACACCCCTTCAAACCAATGCTGCCTTTCTCTCTTAGTCTTTACCTTCTATCACAGAAGAAAAGTTACATTTCAACAGGCGGTCGCGGTGTTTACTTAATACATTGACTAGCAGGGGATGTTCCTGCCAATAGAGTCCAAATTTTAGCTGAAAATACTTTGTCTCTGACATAGGTTTGCACACCAAAAATATTTTTCCAGAAAAGGTTAGATTTGTCATTAAAATTACATCGTTGTCCACTCTATAGCTTTCTTCACTGATGGCTCAAATTTGGAATTCAAGCTCTTATTCCAGGAGAGGTTTCATGTTTACAGAAATTTTTCCAGAACATGGTAAAAAAAATTATTGCGGAAGGCACATCCCTGTATTTTTCTCCAAATAAACCCCCCCCCTGCGGTGACAAGGGCTCCAAATCTTGAGCACTGGCAAATTAAAATACACATGTAGGTACAGATTTTGTGCAGTACCGATAATGATATAATGATGATTCTACTTCACGTGGATTTTTCAAGATTATTCTTTCACTTATAAGCCTCCTGACATCCCATGAGTTTGGAACTGCAGCTAGCACCCTTGGCAATGCTTGCATAAGATACGGATATACATTTTTATTGATATTGATAGACATAACCAAATATGCTAGTTTCATATTTTTCATTGCGGCATTCGTAGAATTGAACACATCTTGATGCTGTAATGCCAGTTCCGGATCCAGGCATATTCTATCACGGATTTTGCATGTTTATTTGTCTAACAGGATTTTTTAGGTTTCTCAATTACTACCATTCATGTGCATAGATTCTACTAGTGGGTTGTGCCCTGTTGTTCGGCCGAGTTTTACTGCTTTTTGAGCATTTTCTTCCTTATTGGGTATAACACACCATCCCCTATACCCCCTCAATATTTACCGTCTACAATGCCAATGCCAACACTGAAGTCAAAGGAAAGACTTGACTAATTTTTCGTGGTCAGTGGCTCTAATACCACCGTTGTTTTTGGTATTTTCTCAAAAGTAGAGTCAAAAGTTTAACAAAAAAGTACCAGTCAATGAGTTTGTGGTTCTGAAAATTTTTCTTAGAATAACCCCTGCGAGATAGCGAATAGTTTGAGATAAGTGAGTTTGTGATAACGAGCTATATCTCTATCGGAAAACGAGGAGAAATGGGAAACCTCGCTCTATGGGGAAACGAGGAGAAATGGGAATCTGTTCGAGATAAAGAGTTTTTCGAGATAACAGAGTTCGAGATAGCGGAATTCGACTGTAAGGGAAAAAAGAATGGGATTAAGAGGAGAAGAAGGTAAGATCAAGTTTCGCTGCCTGGACCTGGGAAGCAAGAATAGAAGATAGAACGTTCCAAAGTTTCCATGATCTAGGGTTGACTGATGAGCTGTGGAACAGAGCTCTTGAATTTGTATTTGTATTTGTATTTGTTTCTACCTAGCATTCGAAGGTAGTTTTTAGGACACTGAGAAGCTTATGCTTATCGAGCAGTGTCCTGGTCCTTCCTCTCGATGTGACCACACCTCGTGATTCCTATGCCTGGAATTACAGAGAGCTGACGATTCTCCTCACTTTCAATTTGCAAAAAAACATGGAAAGGGGGCGCACTGGAAGAGTATTTGGTATATTCTACATGACAGAAGCTTATCTTGTTAGCGAAAGAGATTTTGGCAAGATAGACAAAACGTGCCAGACAATCGTATCGGAGGCTGCGGCTGAAATCCGCTAGTGCTGCAGAGTTGAATGAGACGGAATCCGAAGCGGAGTCACAGCGGAATGTTGGGTAACTGATCATCGAAAGTGAAAATTAGCCCAGAGTGTGCCCAGAATAATCAAATTTACAGAGTTGGGTTGTGTTTTGAATAAGGATTAATTCAGGCAATAGAATAGACAATACGTATGAAACAAAAACCAAATAAAAACGTAATGGTAAATGAAGGCAATGTTTTAAAGGACTGAAGTATGCTGAAGGCTGTCCTGGGTATGCAGCTGCAAGAAATAGGTAGGCGATATACTAGATAAGTACCAAGCAAGAAATATCTCTACTTCTGACTCATGTACAAACATGACGTCACAGTTAAGTCCGTCTAAGCGTTGCTTTGGAGATTTCTTGTTGTTTACCAAACGATGTTCCATATACCAAGTCACTCTTATTATTTTGATTCCTTGGGGGTTCTATATTATCGCTTTAAGAGTTCGCTCGAGTTCAACCGTTTTAAAAAACCTTCAAAGCGCCAAAATTGAAGCTTCTATAAACCAACTCCCCTTAGATAACGAGAAAAATTGTCACTTTTAATCTTGACATATACGTTTGACATGCTATACACCCTTGGATGGGCCTTTTCTAGAAGTCCGTAAATACGGTCCCTGACTCAGCTTTTCCCTTAAGGCCCCAGGTAGCTCCGTTACGCCATTGCGTACAGTAAGAAGTGGCAATCCACGAATCAAGTCTAGGGAGTATTTCCTCGCTTCACGACGGATTGCGTTGTATCCGAAATAATCCAATTCATTTAAAGCATCTTGTGTATCTTGCCTTCATTTTAGTAGAAATCGGCAAAATCAAATCACACAGTTCCGAAACAACAACAAAAATTGGCGGGGATCAAATTTTGGTCAGAAGGAAAGTATAAGTTTAACGTTACATGCTTATAAACTTTCACAACGTGACTTTTTACTGCCCTCGCTTCCAACATGTTGTGCACTGATACGGTCCAGTTTCTTCCGGAGGTTTTTGGGCATGAATGGCGATAGTGAGAGTATATACAGACATGATCAAAATAAGACTTCAGAAGAGTGAGTTATTCACGTTTCTCCAACTCTGTGCTATATATTTAAGGCATATATATCTATCATATATAAAGTAGTATGAATATGTAAAGATATATGGTGTTTTTTAAATAATTGCGTTTTTTCTCAACTTTTTTCTCCTGGTCCTAAACTATTGCACATGACTCAGTCAATCACTGTCTGCACGAAACACATATATAATCTGTCTGCGGTCTATCTCTACTTTTTGTACCCTAAACTAGGTCATCCAGTTTCGTTGTATGGCCTGTTGTTGTTGTAGGGTACGTGTTTAGAAGTTCTTTATAATTTTCGAAAGCATTCCAACCGTAAACTAACCCGAAAATGTGTTTGGCCGCGGCAAACCCTCATTTTTGCAGATAAGGCGGAAACCTTTTGACAAAGAAACGCAAATTCGACGAATTGCTTCGCTTTAACATTGATAGGGAGATGTTGCTTTGTTTTATAAGTTACCGTACCCTCTATTTTGGGGACCTTTTCGAAGATTTCGACTCTTGCAACATACAAAGCGTAATCGCAGTCTTTTCCTGTGTTCAAAAACATTCAAAGAGAAGCCTAGCTCATAAAAGTACGGGAATTCATACGATATTTTTCAACAGAGATTCTGGGAAAATCTTCGCAAAGAAATGTGCAGACGAGGCGGTTGCTATAGCAATGTGATTTAAAAAGGGCCGCAACCCTGTCCAGGTTTTAGAACTGTTGCAAAAACCTCCCACCCTACACGTTATGGCTTGATAACGAAAACTGCAACTTTGAAACCCGGTAAAAGTTTTATCCAGAATAAACTAAACAAAATTTTCCCACATAACATATTGTTTTGCCTTAATTCTGAAATGACTGCGGAGTTAATCAAGTGAAATATTAGCTTGCAATGATGTTGCCCATTTAAAAAGCAATTCTCCTTTAAAAAGCCAACTTTTAAAAAAGATTAAGCTCTCAGGATATAATTTATTTGAATGCAGCATTGACTAGGCCCAAAATTCAACGACATTTCAGACGATGAGTCAACCCCGCAAAATTTCTAATTATTCAATCGTGAACACTGGAATTTGAGGCCAAGTATTAGTTTGAAAAGGGAAATATTCTTACCTTCGAAGCTCAGGTAACCAGCTTTCCCTTAGGTTACCTCATCTTTGACTAGTTGTGATTTGCTGCGATACCGAAGGACCCCACATTTTCATGGTTGAGTTATTTGCAAATACAATAATCGGTGTGTTAGAGATCGAGACAACACATTAACCAAAACAAAAGAGCGATAAATATTGAATGCCTATTGTTTAAACAAGCTTCCTTGCACTGAATAAAAATATGAGGAAGTCGATGAATAAAATTTGTGTTGCAAATCCTTTGTGTTTAACGGGGATTATTTGACACAGCCGTGGGTTTCCGGTAATGTTCTGTTATTTGTTTTAAGATCTGCAAAGTTCTAATAGCAACAGGAATGGCACAAAAAGAAATTCACATGGGGCTTTCAAAGTTGACGGTTTTATCCTTTTTCATTTTAGTCGAAACGCTTTCTTTACATAAAGAGCACCTGAAAAGAAAACAAAAATGTCGGCTGACCAGTCAGCTGCATTTTAAAGTATTTGATTGACTACTGTAAAAGTAAGAATACTTTAACGTACTTATTGGTTTTTATATATATTTACAAATGAATATGAATTTTGAAATCTTTTTGAGAAAACATTGACACCTTGGTAATTTTTTGTAGACTTGAATGCATTCGAAGCAGTATCAATTGAATTTAATTTGCAACATTGTGTTTATTAGCATTAATACACTAAAGCAAGCCGTGTAAAATTCTAGAAAATCTTTACGAGTCCACATCATGCAAGGCTAGAGGAACTGCCTCCAATGTATGAATTTGCCGTCAATAAAATGAAGAAGAAACTATGTCTACCGCACAAATCACATGGAAAAAAATTGCTAAATTATTTTTGATCATCATGGAGACAACTTCCTCTTTATTCCCCATACTATAGCAACTCCTTCTGAGGAATGTATGGTCGATAAATAATCAATGTACTTATTTAAGGCACAACAACTAAAATTTGCCCAAGAACTACTTAGACAGTCAACTTATGACCTCTACTTGGTTCAGGCCTCTTAGCACAGCCAAAGATTCGCTAGTAGATCTTTATTTTTTTCCAAAAGCACACTCAGTCGTCTTTCAAACGATTTGTATTGAAGGGAAAGGGGGAATCGGTATATTTGCACACAGGTTGCTACAACTCTGAATTAAATGAATGGCCTTTTACAAATTCTTGGTAATGAAGAAAATATATTCAGGCTTAGTAGCATAACATAATTTATCAGCTGACCTCGCACATGCGTGGGTTTGGTCTTTCCCATAAGATAAACAGCCTATGGTGATGGTAAGTGTTCAAAGAAATGACTTCAACGATTGTATACACAAATCTGAATGCTCGATGTGACAAGCTGTATAACCAGCTTTCGGTGTGCTAATTCGGTTACAAATGACACGGATTTTCGTTCCTGATTACTAAGAAAATTTGAAAGGAAAGTTACGCAAACTTAATAAATAGCAGAGAAATCAATAATCTAATCATTAAACATTTCACATCAAATAGTTTTTCATTTCTAATCAAACTGGACAGATCCAGCCACAAAGTACACGCACAAATACCAACACAAAGAGTACCACTTTGCAAGGAGGTCACAAACAGTGCAATTTCAAAACTTTTCATCTTCTTAAATTACATTGCAACCTATTTACGTCTTTGAAATCTGGAAATGGACGCTGTGTAGAACTATTTCTAAATAGAATGAAGATTCAGATAACTCACATTTAAACTCTTCATTTATACATTCTTTTGAAGACAGGAAATGTCTCCATTCACAGAAGAATAATACTATTTGCATATAATTAAAACAACATTCACAGTAAACGAACATCCAACCTTCCAAAATACTCTCTGCTAGAATGTGTGGGAGAGGCTATCGTGGAAATTCATATAGATGTCATAAATTCGTCTGGTAAAGAAGAGATCTAAATCAATCAAAACTATGATAATCATCAACATTCACTTGTATTTTAAAGTTTATCATACATAACCTTTTCATGCAATATTTAGTTTTACACATTTGACTCAGACAAGAATTTTCAAAACCCACCTACGAAATCAAATGTGTCATAGGTTCAGCAGAACCTGACAGATTTATGCTGCACACCACAAAAACTAGGTGATGAAAAAAGTTGATCCATACTTTTTTCAGACTTTATCATAGTCAAAATTTCATTGAGGCAACGATATAAACATATTTATCGGTCCTTTCTAGGGTAAGGTTCATTACCTTTCAAAAACCATTTTTTGCATTACGGAGTATCATTTAATAATATGGCAATGCTACTACTTCTTTGCTTATGAAAAGCTTGCAAATAAGCCTACCAAACACACACAGTCAAGCAAGATCATTGAGCTGAATCAGCCTCTTGGCTTTCTTCCTTTTCTTGTTTTTCTTTGTCTGGGTTATCAGTAGCTGTTAAGACAACAAAAATGTTATCAGGATTCAACTAAATTTTAAACACTGCAGACTTTATTATATGCTCACTACTCTCAGCTCAATTTTGAAGTAAGCAAAAATGATTAGAGATTGGTTTTAAACACAAGCAAAAATGATTAGCGATTGGTTCTAAACACAAGCAAAAATGATTAGCGATTGGTTCTAAACACAAGCAAAAATGATTAGCGATTGGTTCTAAACACAAGCAAAAATGATTAGCGATTGGTTCTAAACACAAGCAAAAATGATTAGCGATTGGTTCTAAACACAAGCAAAAATGATTAGCGATTGGTTCTAAACACAAGCAAAAGTGATTTGTGATTGGTTCTAAACACAAGCAAAAATGATAAGCGATTGGTTCTAAACACAAGCAAAAATGATTAGTGATTGGGTCTAAATACAAGCAAAAATGATTAGCGATTGGTTCTAAACACAAGCAAAAATGATAAGCGATTGGTTCTAAACACAAGCAAAAATGATTAGAGATTGGTTTTAAACACAAGCAAAAATGATTAGCGATTGGTTCTAAACACAAGGCTCATTGTGGAATGGGTTCAGTACACCTGTTTAAACAAATGCCTGATCATACGTTTGATAAATTGCTCAAATGGTTGTTTTATTCGGTTAAAAATTATGGTGTTTGTCTTTGTAACCATTTAGGGTGTATGTCTTTACGCAGAATTGTGCCATACTATGGTCAAAAGCATTAGCGAAAAGCTCGGAAAATTTAGAAAACATTAAGCTAAAATAACTGCATCAAATAAAAAACTTATCCAGGTATAAAAAAGAATACATGTAAATTTAGGGGTATGTGAAAAGTATACATGAAAATAAAACCTCCCGAACACAGAGTTACGCTCAAACAGCACAGTTCCATACGAAAGAGTAGATTGAGAAATACCTCTAAGACAAGAGAGGGAAAGAGCGCCTTCTTAGTCAAAAATTCTCTTGATCATAATAATATTTGCTTGAATCAGTGGGGACCCTGAGAATGAAATGGCTGCACACAATGGATTTCGTGCCCTTTTGTTTCTAAAGAATTATACAATATGTTGGGCGAAGAGAATATCTAAACACAGAATTATTCCTTCCTTATTTATTGGTACTTCTACTTACGTTTTGTTTCTGCAGACTGATCCCTTGCATCTTCAGTCTTTTCTTTCCTCGAAACTTTCTGCCACGCTGGAATCGAGGGGGACGTCGAGGCAGGGGCGAACGGTGCACCAGGAAATTGCGAGCTGATAATAACCACACAAAATTTTAAGCAAGTTGGAATTTTTGCATATTTCAAATTTGATAGGTAAGAAAATATAATAAATCCAAAAGAAAATCTGAAAATCTCTTGGAACAGAAATTGACGGAAATGGAAAATAAAGAATTGTACGATAATATCAAAATTCAACCAAGAAATACTTTAATGGTTAAGTCAATGATTTCTAAAGGTTAAATTGTTAATAGTTATAGGTGCAAGGTTGACTGGCTGTATAATACATCTTAGATTTCAAAAAGAAGTCTTTAGAGTGCGCTATTTAAATATAAGCTGTTAGTGAGGAATAGATCGAGTATCTAAAGATCCAGTTTGAAATATAGAGCGAGTTGTCAGAAAGCCGGAATTTTTCGTGGCTTTTTCGTTTTTCTATTTTACTTCACGATATAGGGTCTTATAACTTGAGCTTATACATTTCTGACTCAAACTTGACCTTCTTCAAATGTTCTTCGAAAGTTAAGAGCATGCATTATGAAACTGGGGACAACAACGTTTTGTTGCATATGCCGCCATTGGTTTGAGGTTCCATATAAACCAAAAGATAATTGACTACTAATTTGATACGCTTACAGAGAGATCTATACATAATTTGGTGCTTCGAGCAGTAGCCTGAAGATGGAATAAATCATGAAAAACTGAACAGCTGTTTTGTTCTAAAGATAAAAACCTAAACTTGATGTCACTTATACTCGGTTCAAATTCTACAAAATACACAGAAATAGAGTTACTTCGGTCTGTCAGGATTGTTCTGGGCTAAGTAAAGCTGTAGGGCTAAGTAAAGAGAGACAAGTTACCGACTAAGAAGAAGGCTTTTAACAGAACTGATCTCTGATTTCACATCTGATAAACTTGTGATATCTGAAGGCAGAAGGTCCAGCCTTTTCTAGAAAAAAAACAAAATCAGGCCTACATTTTACATAACAAAAAGATATTACAAAGACCAAAACTTCCAAAAAAAGAAGAATAGCTAACCAAAATACACCAGCAATAGAAACACGAAATGCTGCTTCAAATAATGTGACAGTTAGCCGTGGCTAACTGTAAACGGAGCTTGATTAAACTGCGTTGAGTATTTGGGTATAATTTCTACTTGACTGTAAACAGTTACTTGACTCTAAGAGGAGAGACAATAAGCGGTGAAACTGTAATACCATGCTTCACATAGAATACTCTATCAGTTAGAAAAAGTTCGTAATAAAAGTCACCTGAGAGTATATTGGCTAGAGAAAATAGATTTGCAAAAAGACAATACACGAAATCAAGTACCTTTGAAACAGCAAGCTCTGCACTGACTTCTGCCAGCGTAGCTTGTTGGTTTTTAAGATTTTCCTTCGAATGTAAAAAGACAAACGTGAAGATATTAAACTCCCTAAAAATGCTTCAAAGCAAACGATTCAAGTTCCCGAATAAAAGAACATACAAATGCATCGCTCTTCAACCTTCTATGTAATATTTACGACAAAGTTGGAATTAAAATAACACATTAGAGATAATTGATACACAGAATCTGAACTTTAAAATGGCTTACAGCTTTTGCAGAGAAATGACCCCGCTAAGACAATGGTTTCTCTCAACACCTACGCATGCTAATGATGAGAACTATCTGTGTTGACCCACAGTAGGTCACGGTAGCACATTTTTCCTACGTGCTATTAAGTTGTGGATTTTACGGCATATTCAAAGGAAACGTCTAAAAAATTCAATTAGCAAGCTAGATGATTGCAATTTTTACTGCTAACAAATTAAATCGGCAGATACTTCAAATCTTTTGTCTCGTGCTAAAATTCACACCAAATACCGTGCATTTCAACGTGTGAAATAATGCTTCGAACATAGTTTTATCAGATTTCTGCCCATGCTTAAAAAGTTGCGATATTCAATATTAAGCTTTTCAGGTTCAAATGCGAGATAAAAATTAGAAGCAGCTTACATTAAAAGTTTTAACCTTACATTATAACTATGCCAAAGCCGATAATTGGCCGCTAAAGCTCTATCTAATCTAAGTAATGGCGCCTTGAGAAATCAGATTATGAAATATGCCAGTGGATTAATTTCAGAATTGCTACAATGCTTTCTGTAACGGCTAAATCCAAAGATACGTGTAGATTAAAAGTTCTACTTTTCCAGTGTGCAAGCAGCATTTTATACAGAACATTCTTCTAAAATAATTTTGGTTTCAGGCTCATAAGCATCAAGGTCGTTGACTAGTGCAGTATCACAGGACCCGGGAGGGGGACATGTCCCCACAATTTTCTTGCTAACTGTAACTATTAAATCCCCTTTTAGGTATTAAATAGGTAACCCTCTTTCCCCCCCCCCACTATAGAAACGGTGGCGCGGGCCCTGTTTCAACGAAAATTATTGTCTAAAGGAAGTCTAAAAAAAATGTTTTCTTTCTGTTGGTGAGGTAAATTACAGACTAAATTTGATTTTTCTGGCAATTAATTAAAACATAATAAATCAGTGGAAACTTTGTGAACAGTAACACCTTATTATTATGGCTATTTTAGTGACCCTTAAAAGCAGCACATACGAAATAAAAGTAAATGGAGTATGTTCAGATTTTGGATGCGAAAATTTCATACCTCTAATGTTGTAAATGTACTCTTCATTATAGAACCTACAAGAGATAAACAGAGTTAATGTTTGCATAGAGGAATACCACAGGCAGCAAGAAAGAAATTGGCTTCTTTCCAGTGAAAATTTAAATCAATATATGAAGTTGCGTATTCCGACAAAAAACCTTCGACACAGCTGTTGAAACAAACACGTAAACACACGTCGAATTGCATGCATATATAGTCCCACATCTAGCCCCCCCCCCTGTCCCATTAAATGTTGTTGTGTACGATCACCGCCTCAAATGCGAAGCAATGGTCAAGCAGAAGACCCTTAGACCACAAATTTACGCCATGGTATCACCAAAACAAACATTTCTCTTGACTATACAACTGAAAAATTATAAATAATTCTTTAAAAGATGGTACATTCGTGATAAAATGGTTCAATTCCACTAAATTAGCTTAAAAGGTGAATGCTAGTTTTGGAATATCTCAGCAACACAACAATTTGCTTCCATTTTTTGAAAAAAGGGCCGACAGAAAACGAGGAAACAAGAAACAAGAAAAATTAAACAAATAACGAGCAAGCATGATTAGATATTAAGGTAAAGTAGCTATGCAGTTGTCTTTGGTTGAAATAAAAAAACCAAGTTACCCGCACGAAATAGAATGAGAGTATTAGATGGATATAGAGATGTATTTTAACAGAAATGAAAACTTTACTTCCAAGGATAAAAATTCTAGTTACGCTACTCAAAATAAACTGCAATTTGCTAGAATCAGTGCGTAAGAAAACTTGAGAAGATACGCAAACGTGGAAATAAAAGAAGATACAGCCAGGTGTTGATTGATTTTTGAAAACGGACACGTGGTTGCAGCATGGATGGCTATTTGGATAAAAAGGATACATGAATACAAAATCAGCGGTATTTTATGAAATAAAGATCTCAGTTTGACACAATAACACATGCTGAAAGATCATCTTCTTAAGCAGCAAACATCCTTTTAAACGCCCACTCAACAGCGTAGCTAATACGAAAACAAACAGTCGAGCAGTTGCATTGACGTGAACTGTCTTTCTGAAACACGCCTCTTTCATGGATTGACCGTCTAAAGCAGGCAGGATAGGAAAAAGTCAAGAGCAGCCTGAAGAAAGTACAACAATCTCTGTTTCTAATAGACAGACCCTGCTGCCAATAAATGTCAAGCAAAATTATAAAGAAATTTTGCAAACCATGAACTCAAGCCAAACTATGAAACATTGCTGAATTCAATCAATCGAATCTTTGAAGATGGCACGACATAACAGGACAAAGCATACTGAATAATTTTTCGTCTGACACTCTTCAGAGTATAAACGTCGGATAATGACCGAAAGTAAGCAGAAAGTTTACATTCAGGTGCGGATCGAAAACGACCTGACAGAAATTAAAATCCTTTGTGACACAGAAAGATTTTGGCAAACTTGATTTGCGAATCGAGGTAACTATCACCAAAGTCTACTGTACACAGATTCTGAAAAGCATGCCTTCGGCATGTGTATACAAATAGCAATGAATATTTCACCAAAAAAGGCATAGTTCGAATATCCATGAATACAAAATATGCATTATTTGAATTGATGACTTACTGAGCTCATTGACTCCTTTAGTCAACTGTTTAATATTTTCTTCTAGTGACTCAGTCTCTTGAATTTCTTTACCCAAGAAATATGGAACAACATATACCTGTTTAAGATAAAAAATAAACCTTAAAACAACACAATAATTGATGATAACGGCACAGCGACTCTGACTTCATAGCAAGCAATGTACTATTAGGCAAACTTCAATTTTTGCAAACTTTCTGTGATAAACAACCCTATTTTGATGATTAAAACCATCTATTTTCATTCTCAAAAATTTTTCAGAAAAAGAAAAAAGGTGCAAAGAAGTTATGGCATATCCTCATATGAACTTTGAGATAATAGCAAGATTAATCACAATCATATTCTAGGTCAAGAGCATTCATTCTGTTTGCTAATGTAATACCCAGTGCCTGATTCAAGATTACTTGCCAACTAGAAAACTATGCATGAAAGGACACAAGTATCGAATTTGATATCATATTGAAACTGCTTCACGGTGTCATAAGAAACAAAAAGATCACGGAGAAAGATTATTTCCCAATCTTAATAGCATCTGAAATATAGATTGGTCAGATTTAGTTGCTTGCAAGTTCAATTAAAGCAATTGGGTAGCAGTAAATTGGTTAAGAACCAATGCATATCCTTCACAGCCACGACATTTTGTAATTATTTTTACGTTTGTGACTTTTGCTATAATTTAGATCAAAGTTACGGAAAATTTAAAAAACAAATTATTTTCAATAAAAAGCTTTGTACATATGCTTCCTTTAAAACTATTTACAAGCTTGAGCATTAATAGGACTTCCAAAAGAAAAGATACAACTTTGCAAAACTACGTCTGAGTGCTCACAACCTCAGGATTGAAACAGGTAGATACGGAAAGAATAATATTTCTAGGACCGATAGAAAATGTTCGTATTGTCAATCTTTTAATAAAACTGCTGTGGAGGATGAAACTCATTTTTTATTAATTTGTCCCCGTTACGAGACTGCTATGGTATTTATGATTTATTAAAAATTTCCCAGAATATCATCCCTTGACCTTTGTGATAAGTTTATTTGGTTGTTGAGCCAAGAAGATACGGATTGTCTGATATCAATAGCTAATTTTATATCGCTGGCTTTTGAATCACGAGAATCGTTTGGGAAGTCCTCTATGTGCATATTTACATAACTTTAACTGTTTGGCTTATAATAATTTTTACATTTGCTTATCTTTGTATTAGCTGTTTGCTGTTTTCTAAGATTTATTGTTAATTTGTAATTATGCTAACTTGTAAGTATAGTAATTTTGTTGGCGATGGGCCATTTTGGCCTACAAGCCTTTTTGTCACAAAAAAAATGTTAACAAAAGAAAAATGTGTTTCTCTGAAACAATGGTTCAAATACAGGCTCTGAACTGGCAATCGGATTGCAAATTGGCACTACATACTCTGATGGCATACGCAGCTGCATAAAGTATGCCTCCACCAATCACAACAGATGATAGCTGACTTGCAAAACTGCTAGATGTAGGTTGTGTATATGGAACTGAAAGAAGAAAAAAGTACATCTGGATTAATCTTAATTAATTAGAAAATTTTAATTAGAAAGTAAATCTTAATTAGAAATATATATAGGCCATACCACCATAAAACCTTCACATTATTACAATTATCGCAATCTTTTATAGACAATATGGTAATACTGTGACAAGAAAATTTTAATAAAAGACAAAGGTATTGCAAAAGAGGAGGTGTGATTGTTTAGAAAAAGAATTGAAAAATGATGTAAATCATAGGCACCAAAAGAGAATGTAATAAATTTTTTTGGTTAAAGAGGATATTTACTACCAATCAATCAGTTGTTGGCAATAACCAACAATATTTACCAAGCCTTTGAAGAGCTGCCTAGCAAAGAAATGCGTGCTGTTTTTCTGGATTTGTCCAAGGTTTTTGACAGAGTATGGCACGACGTCCTTCTCTATAAATTGGAATGCAATTGAATATCTGGAAATATTCTCCAGCTTCTTTAAAGCTTTTTAAAGGACAGAAACAGCGCGTATTTTTAAATGGAAAAAGTTCAAAGTGGGAATCGATCTCGGCAGGGGTACCTCAAGGATCAGTCCTTGGCCCGCTACTCTTTCTTATTCACATAAATGATATAGTCAGCATCCTTATTCTCAGTTGTTGATGATGCAAATGTTACCGCTCGAGTGTTGAATCGCGATCTTGAAAAGATAAATTTGTGGGCATGGCAGTGGAAAATGCAGTTTAAAGATAATAAAACGGAGAAAGTCATCTTTTCCTGTAAAAGGCATAAAACGAACCATCCAAAACTTAGACTAGAAAGTGATGAAATTGTATCTAAGAATGAGCATAAGCACCTAGGACTGATTCTTGACTCAAAACCTGATTTCAAAAGTCACATTAGAGAGGCTATCCTAAAGGTACGCAGAGGAATTGGAATGATAAAATGTCTTTCAAATTACGTTTTGTAGAGAAGATCTTGACCAAATATATGAGCTTTACGTTCGACCGCAATTGGATTATGGAGATATCATATACCATAAACACGACCCTGAAATGCACCATCATTTCACACAGAAGTTACAACAGACCCGATACTCTGCTGCTCGAGCTATCACAGGCGCTTGGAGAGGTACAAGTAAGCAAAAGCTCTATGACGAATTAGGGTGGGAAACCCTGTACCATCGTAGATGGTATCGAAGATTGTGCCATTTCATTTCTCTGTGCAAAGCTAAAGCACCAGAATACCATTATTTGGAGATACCTCAGCAGCGAAACCTGGTCTATAATCTAAGAAACCCACATAGTTATGAACAGCCTACTGGAAGAATAATTCGGTACCAAAACTCGTATTTCCAAATACCATATCTGAATGGAATCTTCTGGATAACAAAGTACGAAATTCTCCTTTGATTTCCCAGTTTAAAAACAATCTGCTTGCTATCATTAGGCCAATTAACAATCCTACCTACAACATTCGTGACATTCTGGGTATCAGACTTCTAACCATGCTTAGGGTTGAATTCAGCGCTTTGAATGGGCATAGATTTAAACATAACTTTGCCTGTTTAAGTCCAATGTGTGTCTGTGGCACTGGTAAAGAGGACAATGAGCTTTTTCTCCTGCCCTGTCTTCTATACAGCATGAAGCGCCAGGATCTCTTTGACCAGCTCTCAGGTAACGATGGATTCAATGTTGCCGATGTAAATATGAAAGACCTTTGTCATTTACTCTTGTTTGGAGATCGGAATTTGGGTACAGTTGCGAGAAGAATTATATTAGAAGCAACAATTTCCTTCGTTAAGGCCTCGGCAAGGTTTAGTTGATGCCAAAATACAGCCGCAGCACCCCTGTCTTTTCTTTCTCTAACTTTTATTTTTTCCTATTTTCTCTTTCTTTTTTTCTTAGATGATGTAACTTGTTGTTGAATTTTATGTGGCATTCATGGTGAGGACTCGATGACCTTGTGTCTTTTCTCGCCATGAATGTCACAGCTTAATGTAATTAGTAGGTTTAGTAGTTTTAGTTGTTCTGAATTGGTAAACAAAAATATTTACTACCTGTGGATATTGGTGCTGCATCATTTTTTGGTGGTTCACTCCTACAATAAAGCATGTTATGACGTCTAGAGCATTGATTTCAATTTCTTAAAAACTAGCTAAAAGTAAACTGTGATAACGAGTAAATCTATTTACTATCTACAGTCACATTGGGTCACATCACAGTCATTATCACATAGAGCTTTAGCCATGAACCAGCAAAGCCAGCCAATTAAGCCCTAATTACTGTCATGCGTTTCAAGCAATAATTGGTGCGAATATACTAAACAAAAGTAGAGTATTGTTTATGCTTAAATTATTAATGTACTTGAAGCTATGACATTATACTGGAAACCTGGCCCTAAAGAAGATCAACATATGAACAAGCCTAGAGCAAAGGGAGGCCCTTTAACTATAGGCACATGGTAACTATGCAGCTTACGATCAAAATATGGCATAAAGGTTTATTTCTGTTACTTAAATGGTGCTCTTTTCAGAAATTGTCATCATTGACATCAAATCATCATAGGATCACAAATAATATTGAACGTATACAATATACACACCTTGTGATTTCTGTGGTATACTTTACATCCTAAATAAAACAAAGGAATCTAGTTAAGTAAAATTTTGAGCTTTTACTTTCTTACTTGATGCATTTACATTAAGAGTTTTCTTCATCTCATATAAAATGCAATACAAAATCTTTTGATTTCATATCTTTGTCATACCTTGTCATCTTTAGTACCAGACCTGCCAACTGCTATTTCAATTTCTTTTTCAGTCAGTCCTTTTCTTTTCAAGAAAGAAAGCCGATTCTCGAAAGTTGTTTTTCTGACATTTGGATTCTGCAAAAATTTCACAGCTGTGGCAATCTGAAAGGCAAAATTTTCACTAAAGACTCAAGAAACAATCTTTTCTGAAACAAAATGAAAGTCTACCTACATGGCTCAAGAAAGAGAAAATTGTGGATTAAGTATAAATGAAACAAAACAAATCCCACAGTCAGAAAATGTGACTTGTGTTTAAAAAATACCTGTGAGATATAAAATTATCCTTTCAGTTAGCATGTTTAAAATAACATGGGTTGTACTTGATCCATAATTTTAAGTTTAAAATCTTTGTTCTGATGGCAATACAATCTTGAGGCTCTAACTATTTGCAAATATTTCTACCCTCACCCTCTCTAAAAGATCCAACTTAATGCAGTGCAATATGCAAGAATCAGTGCGTAGGAAAACTTAAGAAGATATGCAAATGTGAAAATAAAAGAAGATACATCCAGGTGCTGATTAATTTCTGAAAACAGGCACATTAATGCAGTAAAACAATTAATAATAAAAAATTCCTGCCATGTCATATATGAAAAAAGGTTAATGAAAACAAAGCACAAATGCTTGTAATCTTATGAAGTGAAAATACACAGGTTTGCTACAAGATATATTTGGTTTCTTGTATACCTCCAAAGTGCAGAAGGTATGAATAGAGTAGAAATATTCTTTAAATCAAGATAATTAAGCCAAGAAGCACGTCTCTCTATGGTGAAATGTCTGTTTAGGATTCAAAATGTCTGCTGCAACCAGTGGCCCATATTCTCTTCTGCCTTTTCAAAAGCATTTTAATGTTCTTCAGGACTGGTGATAAAAGAAGAGTCACAATCAGATAAAAAATAAAACATCAATTATACCTTTTTCTCATCGATGCTTTTTTGTGATAATTCCTCTTTTACCTAAAAGTAAGGCCTTGTTAATCATATCTGTTCACTGCTCATAAAACATAAATAAAAGAAAAAAAGAAGTTTCATGTAGGTGATATTTCAAAAGTGGTTTACATTTGGTTTGAATTTTTTTCATCAATTAGTTGAATCTGACTGTTGGAAAAATTAAAGAAATATGAAAAAACAAATTGTTTGGTTCATGATGAATGGATGTAATTGTGTTACAGGTGTAAGTTGAGGCTCCCAAAAATAACAGAATAATTTGGTTTATGTCCTGGTATTTTGATATTATGGGCTTCATATGAAACATTGCACATTCTCTGCAAGGTTATTACTAAAAGTTCAATAATTTTCATTTGTTTGTGCACCAGAAACTTCACTTTTCTGAAAATTTCGGTTGATAAGCCACACAGGCATGAAAGATTGCTAGGATCGTTTTTATTGTTCACCTATGTAAATAATTATAGGCCTAAAACCATTCAAACTATCTCTATACACTCTCTAGAAAATATAATGCAAAGCAGAGGGCGAAAAGTCAGGATTATCCGAAAATGGCTATGCCAGAACTCAGTCTTTGTAATATTAGGTGTGCGAGCGCACGCCCACGCCTGCACACATGCCCAAATTGTCCAAGGCATGCAAATCTTTGTGCATGCAAAACAAAGTATTTGTCATAAGAAATTCTTAAAAATTGCATATGTTTTGAAGATTTCTAAAGCAGCAGTAAATAAAAGTCCCCAAATTCAAAGGTAGTTCTGTCGTTTTCCAAGGTGTTGTTCAAGTATTCCCATATGGAATTCCCATTCAACTGAGGTGTCACAAAGTAGTTAGGACAAGATCATCTTGTAGAACAGTTTTTCAACCAAGGGGTGCCAAGGGGGAGTAATCTGTAATCAACACCTGTAAGTTTCAAAACACAGCGATTTAAAGTTTCAATCCAAGAGATGTCTTCACTGTTCACTTGATTATTCTGTTCTTTGGTGATCATGGTAAAAGGAAACAAAGTGGAGCTGGCAACATTTATTGGTTGGGGAAAGAATGGAATAATCGAAAAAGATACTTTGGCAAAATATGATTGTTACAGAGTAGATGAGTTCCCCAACCTGTGCATTCTAGCACTGATAATGACTGCAATCTCTAGGTAAAATTATTCAGTAGAAAGAGCATTAAGTATTCTCAGGATGGTGTTAATACCAGAAGTCGACGAATGTCACACAGTGTTATGGAGATGGGACTTTATATAATTGCAATCAATGATAATATACGAACTGACGGAGATAAAATATCTTGAAAAGGGCAACAGAGCTCTCTCTATCTTTGGAAGAACAGAAAATATAAGCTTGATAACAGCATTGGTCTATCAAAGAAACCTAAGCTAGAGAAAGAGAAGGAACAACATTTCACGACAGATGGTACTGGTCTAGGAGCAATTGAAATTTTTTTCAATGCAGCGATCTTCAAATTACTACAAAAAGATTCTATCTATAATTACTTTCTAGAGAATTTATTAACATCTAATTCATTCACATTGAGATTTCACATGAAATTTCTAGGTAAAATTCCTTGGTTTCTGTTCAGTTTGTAACACAAAACGTCTCCTTGAAAGCAGCACCCAGTTCAACAGGAGTGAGAATCAACCGATAAAAAATCGGTTCGCATTGCAGGCCATTGCACCTGCTAATAAATCAAGTTGTGCAAAACCCGGCACACAGCCTATTTTCATATTACAAAGACCGAGACCTTAGACAAATTTATCATGCCAAGAAAATTATGGACAAGCATTTGTTAGTTATTAGTGATGAGACCGAACAGAAGGTATTGAAAACTGGACTAAACTGACAGCTTCTAGACTGTTGAGTATTTTTTTCTGCAAGGGAACACCAGAACCATAATTTTGACATTTGCGGATAACGAGCGTTTCCCGCGAAATCGAGCGCGGAATTTGTTGAAGCAAAGGCTTTTAAAGAGACCTTGTATTCCTTGTTTTTTCTTGTTATCAGAAGTTTAAATGGTGGAATATTCGGGGGAATATGACAAGAAAAACAAATATTGTGTGCAGAATCTATGTCAGATTCTTAATAATGCGCGGGTGGAATGAAGGATAGAAATTATTGACTGGGACCCCAATTTTTCAATCTGAGACAGCTCTGAGGTGACCTGACTTACAACTTACCAAGGAGGAACCATCAGATCTACCATCTAGTGGGAACTTGAATAAATTTATTTTTACCTATGAAAAACTCACCTTTCGTAAAGAGTCATTCTACATAAATCTTTTAATTAAGCCTAAAAATGTTTGGGTTCTTTAGACACCAAGTCAGACAAGGGGGAGTGTCAAATACGTATTATCGCTATTAGCGCGCTTAAGCACAAAGCGTCATTTAAATACTGAGGAAACTGTTGAAGATCAAGATAGACCTACTGTTACCTCATTATCTACTTCTTTATCAGCTTCTTCTGCCATGACACAGACTAAAAATCTGTATCAGCTTTTAAGGACCTCTTTACTTCTACTTCTTGTTGTTTCTCCTCCAGGCATGGTCTCGAGGTCCTTAATGGGATGAGAGGCTACTTCAAAATGTCTTGGTGCAGAAAACAAAACATGCAGCAGGAAGACAAGAAAACATTGTGCATTTTGCTTGGCGTTTGCGGTAGCGTTGCTGCAATAAAGTTACCACACCTTATTAATGAAATAAACAATATTTTCCCAGGTTGCCTTTTGAAGATCGTAGCAACTGAAAATTCTCAAAGATTTTTCAATAAAGATGATGTTACTGTAGATATTTTAACTGACCAGCATGAATGGAACACTTGGAAGAAAATTGGTGACTGTGTACTTCACATAGAGCTGTGTAAATGGGCAGATGTAATGGTAATTTCACCCTTAGATGCAAACACCTTAGCAAAAATAGCGAATGGCCTATGTGATAATTTGTTAAGCTGTGTTGTTAGGGCATGGCGAAGAGAGAAACCATTGTTATTTGCACCGGCCATGAACACTTACATGTACGAGCATCCACTAACAATGCAACACATTAAGTTGCTGGAAAGTTTTGGGTATCATTTCATTCCCCCAGTGGAGAAAAAATTAGCCTGTGGTGATTTTGGAGTAGGAGCAATGGCATCTGTAGAAGAGATTGTTGCATGTGTGAAGGCCAAGATCGATAGAATTAGAACTTGATGAATAATTAAAATAGATGATTTAGTTTTCTATCAAATATATATTGCTATTTATATTTATAAAAAAGTCTGCAGAAAAATCTTGAATAGATTAAAAATATCTCTAAGAGAAAAAATGGATTTTTAAACAAAAAGTTGATGAAACAATTTTAGTCCCTCATTTTTGCAAACTCTCCTGTGAACCATTCATACATGCAGTTTCTAAGCAATTGAAACAGCTCTTTTTCCCCATGATGTATTTGCAATAAAGCAAGCTCAGCATCTTGCAAATTTTATTTTCTTGACAAAGATGCAATATAACTTTCTTGTTGCTGTCCTATGGTTTGTTGTCAGTTTTTGTGGAAGCAAAAATGTTAAGAACTTTTTAACAGGCATGGTCCTGTAAATTTTCTTGAGGCCATGTCAATGGAGCGAATTTTAAGACATTTCTACAATCACAGCTTTGTTTTTATCCTTAAATATTTTTGAATGAAAACTGGTATTAGAATAAGGAAAAGAAAAAGACTTTGGTAACATCACAACAAAATTGTTGCCAAGTTTCTGTTGGAGGTTAAAATTTTTGTACTTGATATGACTCCAATGAGGTTCTGATATGACTCCAGTGAGGATGGTCAGTTTGAGTTTTGGAGAAGTACTCTCATAGGAAGAGTTATTCCAAGGATGTACTGTGTGTGAGCTTACTGCAGTTTTATTTAAGCATGCTACTGCTGATGCAAGTATCTTATAACATATCTGGAAAGGTACTCTATTTATTTACTCAACTTTTTATTGCTCTTTGAAAGTTTTTGCTTTTTTATCATAATCAAAAGCGTAGAAACAAATACTAACCAAAATTCATGTTATTTTGTCTATATTTATTCCTAGATTTTATATCTTAAAATTTCTATATTTATAAATAGAACCACTAATGGATACCACAACTTAAGCACATTAAGCAAAAAGAGAAGATCATTCTGTAAACCTTTTTACTTCAAGTTTACTAGTATATGATTCATGGTCATGATAGCATTTTGGAACCCACTATTTCAAATACAGCAAATGAAATAACAATAAAAGAGTCCCAGCACTGGGTAACTGAATGGTCAACCCCATGCATATTAAAGAGAACGTCTACCCAAAGTCATTTGGGGGTATTTTTTAAACATTTTTTGGTTCAAATTTTTCCTTACCTCTGGCAGCAAAAATGGCTTGGCGTGACTCAAAAAAGTGTCTCTTTGTAACCTTTTTTCATCAATATTTATACAAAAGTATAGGCCACCTGAAGAAAGAATCAGCAAAATTAACTGCGCTTGCCCCAATTACTGCCACTGCACCTGAACCAGTATTTCCACCTGCACAATATCAATGCTATGAAAGGATCTTTTAATTCTATTTGGAGCTGAGAAATCCTATTAAGCAACAGTACAAGGCAATGACACCTTCTTGAGAATATCTCAGCTTTCAATTCTTTTCTTTTTTATAGTTTATGGCATTTGAGAATCAGTAAAAAGCTAGTAATCATTATGGAGTAAGATCAATTCTGTTCGGAATGGAAGATGAAAACTCAACCATGATCAAACAGGATGCGAGATGCTAAGGAACTTGAAATCGAATTTCGAAACTATAGCCTTTTTAAACTTTAGATGCAAATCAAATCGATAATCTAACGCTTTAAAAGCTCTACAATGTTGAATCACGCATTGTGTTATTTTGAATACTGTACATAATTATGATTATTATTTCACCTGGCTCTCATTCTAGAAAATTATCATCTTCGCAGACCTCTACATACTGTTAAAGATATTGTTACAACATGACCGTTGTATCAGTTAATCGGCTGTAGAGAAAGCCCAATAAATCCATATGAAACTTTGAAAAACATTTTCAGCTACATGAAAGGCCCTGGTTCGGTTGTCCCAGTTGTATTTGCGCCGGCTGTGTGTAATATGATGATTCCACATCCTGCTTCTTGCAATTATTCACGATTCTGACTTGCTTAAACAATTTAATGGAGGAAATGAATGGAGGCAGTTGTGAAGTCAACTTTGTTAATTCCAAAACTTTCCAATGATGACACTAAGCTACGTAGTACTTGCAACTCGCTACCATAAATGAATAAGGCTTCTATTCAATGTGCAGATTTAAAAGCGTTCCACAATGTATGTATTGCCTTCATATGTAAATATTCCATACTGGGTTGATGTTTTCAAACGTTAGGCAGCACTTATCGAACAAGGGTAAGTCAGTCAACTGCTGAGATATTGAATTTAGTAATAGTTCTATAGATCTAAGTATAGAAGTTTAGATATAAATTGGTCTAGAAAAACCAACAATTCCGGGCAATCTTCACAGTGACAAATATTCCAGCCCATTGGTAACATCCATTCTCTAGCAAGCCATGATTGGCCTAATAAAGCACCTACTCATAGATAATCAATCTTAGGTCCTTTGGCTCATGCAAACTACTTTTTAATCCTCGTTTCCTAAAGTTTGAGACTATCTTCAAACAATTGCCATTTTTCTTGGAAGTATTAAATGATCCTTATCTACAACGAAATGTTCATTTTCATCTTAATTTACATAATCGTAGAATTTTAGCAATAGCATCAAATATTGCTCGGCTGCGAAAGCCATAGATAAGTGGATTCAATGCGCTATTAAGGTAGAGTACATTCAATGTCCAGAGATGTGCCTTGTGATTTTTACTTGATGCAACAGCAAGAAACACGGCTCTTGGTAGAAAACAAAGAATAAAAACCAAAACTATTACGACCAAAGTGATTGCTGATTGCCGTAAGAGCCTCCTTCTTTTGTTGACAGCATCTTGTATCATTACACGGGACATAATTCTGATGTTTACCTTTAAGGACATGAACAGAATTATGTTTAGCAGGCAAATCAAGCAGAGCACCAGTGAAATGAAAATTGTGCCAATCATTCGCAGGACATTAGAATGAGGAACAAGGATGAAAAGTACAATGAAAACGATACTGAAGAGCCAAGATGCTATATAGATGATTGTATACAGTCCCTTCAATGACCAGGCTCGATACTTGGTCACATAGCAAAACGCAAGGAAACGGTCGCAGCTCATCAATGCAATTGTAACTGCCGACATAGCAGCGAGCAGAGAGTTGGTAATAACAGCTGCAAGTGATAAGTTACATGGAACATATCCTTGCTTGATGAGATAGATATCGTACGCTTCTTGCAGTGGCATCGATACTATCCCTGTTAATAGATCGGCAAAAGCAAGAAATGCTATTAAGAGGTTTTGCTTTGATTTGAGACTCTTGTCCTTCTTAATTGCAGCAATAACGAAGCCATTACCAATTATGGCAACAGCCGAAATCGGTATTGTAAAATACGATGCAGAGCCAATGGAGAGAACAAAATCTTTTGTAATCTTTTCAGGCAGAACCAATTCATCATTGCAATATAGAGTACTGCCCGTGTCATTCGTCATCGCCACTGTATAAGAACTCACTTGACTATCGACTCTGCAGCAATGTAACCAACATTTTCTTTAATATTTGTATATATTTTGCCAGAATTCAAAAGCTAGCAATAAAAGCTGCTCAGCTCCTGCGACTGCTTGTAGCTGATCACCTTCCAGAGAAATCACGTCAATTATGAAAGAATTCAATTCTAGAATCGGCGTTAGGCACTATCTTTGGGATTACATTCAAGTGACAAGATTGACAAGAATTCCATTTACTATAACCTCACCCTGTAATGAGAAATTAAACTCATATTTTAATCAAGGCAGTACCAAAAGTGCTCAGAAACTAAGATGACCCAGGACCTTCAACTAGATTTTATTGTTTCAATTGACGAAAGCAGTCATAGCTTTGCACACTTGACTTACTAACCACCATACTTCATTACGCAACATATCTACTTGACTGTTGGCACCTGGATCCTAGTTCTATCACTAAGCTTTCAGATTGACGTTTTCCTGTTTTTGCTTCAAAAACACCTGTGCAAAACATTGTCAGTGTTAGTACTCCTACGTCAATGTGATTTCAACTTTGTTCATAACGCATTATGTAGATTGTTTCCGAATTTGATTCTAACTCCGAGCTGGTTACATCGAAAAGCCATTATCAAGCAACAATATAATGTATTATGTCTTCTGAGGCTTATCATGTACTCTTTGACTGGAGGGAGCATAATGGCTTTGTGGCATAGTTAATACCGTCCCTTGGTTATTGGCTATGGGCTGGGTCGCCCGAATAGGGACTTCGGGGCACTGCCATATCCCTGGAGCTACATAACTCTGCAAATTTTGTCCAGTCTTCAAATCGAGAGCGCAGTTTCCTCATTCTTCATACACAAAATTGAGTGACAGATTCAATGAGTTTATATGAAATTTCCATGATCGATCAGATGAAAAAGATGCTTGTACAGCCCGGGGCAGTACGTTTCTCTACAGCCTTTAAGAGTTAAGGCCATCGCTACTTTGCTCAATGAAGAAAAAACGTGCTCAGGCCCTATTTTCAGAAAAACTGGTCAAGCTATATTTTACTTAACTACCAATCTGGAAATTTACCGACGAAGCACCCTGACATGGCAAATTCCCCGTTTTTCCATCATCGCTGTTTGCCATTAGCCTTGTCAACAAGAAAAAACACTGAAGAAGTAGTCATTTGGGCCTTTTCCCAAAGCATTTATTACATCACGAACATCCACCCAAGCTGCAGGCAAACATAAAAAATCTAGCGTTTATTATTGTACTGTAAGTTAATTTATGCAAAATTAACTATTAATGATGAAGCTGTAACTGATTTGCGTCAATTGGCTCATGCTACAATGTAATAACTGTGATAAATGCAACTAGAAAATAAAGTAAACAGAAAAACTGAGTCAGTATTCAGCACAAGATGCTGTTAATAACTAATTGCACTAGTTACTAATCTACGCAGATGAAATCGACGTAAAGCCTGCCTAACACTGTTCGAAGATAAATCAAGGTTTCTCCAAATTTTATCAAAAATGCATTCACAGCTTAGGGTGTGTCGCTTTTCAGGTAAATACCTACCAATACATGGAAAAGAATTTTTAGAAGATTGGTATTCATTTGACCACATAAATTTGAAAATCTTGAAAATTTTATGCAATATGCCAATACTTCCAATACATTAAGGTAATAATTAATTTCTAAAAAACATTTTGTTCAAAATTTAAATGTCAAGGGCGCAAAAAAAAAAATTTCAACAGGGATGTTTCTAACAGGGATGTTTCCAACTTTGCCACAAGCAAGACCTTGAAATCGTAAAGCTGAATTGGTCACCAGTGCAAAGAATTGGATTTAAAGTTACAAAAAAGCAAATTATAATCAGCATGAAACTTTAATAATGAGAACTGCTGCAAAGGATATACGTCAAATGCTTCACACTTACAGATACCTTCATTATTCTGAGCAAGTAAGCACGCAAAAGAGACTCACCACAAAATGACTTGCTGATGTCACACCCATGTCACGCCCACATACTTGGCCAATTTACATATTGTTTCACCCTGTTCAAGGGCTTTGGCAATTCCCCAAGGGAACTGTTAGATTTTATTGTGGGGTTTAGTTGTTGGTTGAAATTCGCCTCAGAGATCTGAGTACTAAAAGTTTCAATGCGACGAAAAATTCAAAGTAATTGGGCAGAGAAGGCTATCTTTTCATTCAGGCATGGTACCCAGTATATCATGACTATAGTAGCAACAAAGATGTTTATAAATGATAAACACTTCGGCCTAATAAAACTTCTCTTTTTGGTTGTCCTGTGCCCCATATCTGTTGTTTGATACCTTCAAACTTATAGCTGAAATGAATCTTGTAATGATAGCAATATAAATGCATATGAAACAGAATCAAATCATTCACATCCAAAGCTCAAGATTCAATACTTTTCATTTAAATTGATTTATTATTATTTTTAAATTATGCCAACTTCCAGCTGTTGTTCATACTTTCACACCCATACACATCAACATTTTTTGTGCGTCATCTCACCAGGCTACTAGCATGAACACAGGGACAGCGCCTACTACGGGAGATATCTAAAACATTTGCAAGAAATATAAGCAAGAAAATCAATGGTTGTCTCAAAGTTTTTATTAGCCCCGGGCCTCCACGGTCTTTTCTCGTGTTTTCAAATCAGCCGATAAGCTCAGCTCCTGATGGTCGTATCATCAACCTATCTGCTTATACCGATTATCTTGAAGATCCGAGATTGAAGGCTCTCTTTTAAACAGTGCCATTTTCAATTGCTTTTACTTTAATCTCACTTAGAGTCACCTGCAAATCTAATAGTCCTCAATGATCTGATAAAAACGTCTTCTATTTATCTGTTTAACCATTTTTGAATCACATTTGAACATTAATCTTCACATTCTAAGATTAATTTATCTGATTTTAAAACTTTTTGTTTGCTAAGTCTTTTTCAAACATACTGCTAAAGCTTGCATATGAATCTTTTTATTAATCTATCCCATTGTATATCATAGCTTCTTAAAATCTTTGGCGTCTGTTCATTAAGATGGTACAAAGCAATCTACGATAATTTTTGAACTCGGAGAAAGGGTTGGAATGTCATTCCTGTCGATAAAAGAGCATATCCATCTGTCAAGACCTTTTCGCAGATTTTAGAACCTTCATTTTACATTTGTTACAAATTGTTCCAGTTATTAGAAGTTAACTTACTTGCTGGCTCTTTTGACCCTGTCAAACAAAACTTGATCAAAGGTTGTGATGACTTTTTTGTATGTTGGAGTGGTGGACGAGGAAAATTAAAGTCGAAATGCCCTCGAAATATTTTGTCTTATTGAAACTACCTTGACTGTAAGATTTATCATTGTTTGCCAAAACACAAACCCTTATACTAACATACCAAACTCAGCTGAGGCCCGCTCAGATTTGCTATAGTTCGGTCATGTACAGTTCTGCCCTTTCTTGCAATATATCAATTTCAGTGTTCAGGAGAGAAATGAAAAATCGAGAAACGGTGTTTTCAGTGAGAAAAAATTAAATTACAAATAGTGTAGAGTCTTCCTTGTAAAGAATGGTCAAGAGGCAGCCAGCAGCTAAAAGGTTTTTGAAATATTAACCAAGTCTTGCCTTACACGAAAAAATTGCAACTACAGTTTGTATACGTCATCAGCGTCTTCCAGTATGGGCCTAGGCACGAAGGGAGATGTCCGTGTTGCACCCGAAAGGCAAAAGATACTTAAATGCAGCCAGTTTTAACAATATATTTATTTGTAAACTATGTCGTGGCTATCTTATAAAACCTGTTGCAATAACGGAATGCCTCCATACTTTTTGTAAAAGTTGTTTAGTGAGATACTTAGAAAGTGCCACTGAATCGTTCCGATGTCCTGATTGTCATCAACAAATCCACGAGACAAACCCATGGGAGTATCTAAGAGAAGACAAGACTTTGGAAGAAATAATCTTCAAGCTTGTCCCAGGATTATGGAAAAATGAACGACAAAGAATCAGCGAATTCTACCACAAAAGAGGTATGATTCAAAACAGCTTTTGTTTATGCACGTGCTTATCTTTTTGTCTAGGCCCGTGTCTTGTATAGACATGAACCGCCATTTCTTTCAATATTCGCGTCTTCTTGGATAAAAAATATCCTGCTTTTTAGCCATTTACGCTAATTTTTTTCCTGACCTGAACATGCAACGTCAAAGTAGACAAAGAAAGTTTAAGTCATTCATTTTCTTATACTTTAGGATTCTTTAATTTTTATTTTAGTAGCAGAAACTTTTGTCAGGCGTTTCTTGTCAGGTGACAAAATAATTAATTATTTGATGTTATTATGTTGAAAGTTGAAAAGGAAGTTGAGTTGAAAAGTTGAAAAGAGGGATCCCAACTTTAAATTCAAAGTATATTGGGCATTGTAGTTTAATTTCTTTTCACGTAAAACTATCTTTATATGAATTTGATTTGAACAAAAATCTGAATAACATAAACACATGCCCAGCCTCTGCTGTGTTTTGTGTTTCAAATACTGTGTTTTTGAAAATTTATATGTGTGTCAACAAAACAGAGTAGATTTTATCCTTTGTTCCAGTGGTTGACACCTGAGGGGGGGGGGGAGCGAGAGGGCACCCATGGGAGACAATGGTCTTTTGTTAACACAAGGACTGAAAAAGTATCACCAAAAACCCCTGAAAACTTCAAAATAGGCACAGATAGCGCTATGGATGTCACTGAGAGGCAAGTGTCCCCCAAAAATTTCAAATGACATCCTGTTGAGGTATGGGGGGGGTGGGGGGTCTAGAACCTAGCAGACAACTGTCTGCATATCCAGGGCCACCCAATTTCCACCTAAAGTTTGAGGAAGAGTCAAGGTTTATTGAAAAACTTTGAATGCTGATCCTGGAGGTACTGAAAGCCCGCCAAGAGGAGGGGCAAGGAGGCAAATTGTCCCAGGGCTTCGAGATCTAGGCCACCACATAAAGTAATGAAATCTGTTTTAAGAATAGTTAATTAATTAATTAATTAATTAATTAATAGAATAATTAATTAATGAAACATAGAAGGTGTATACCTAAAAATTATAGAATGCTCTAAACGATTGCCAGAAATGAATTAAGAATTATTGTGAAATGCATTTTAAGATAATCTAAAGGGCATGGTCGCAAAAATTTCTGCTGGTTCCGCTCGCAGAGGTCTTCCTCTTTCTTCTTCCCCCTAAAGACCTCTGAATTCTCTCGGCAGCCCTACCTCTGCAAACTAAGGTTCTGTTTACACATGCTAAATCGTCTAAATAAATGAGGATATCTCGTAGCTTAAAACTGGACTTCTAGTAAAATCAAAATCAGTTACTCTCAGGTACTCAGGCAAGGGAAATTACGACGCGAGAATCAAAGCAATGATTCACTGATGAGAAGATACTCTTTGATAAATAAAATCAAGTTAAAATGCCACATTCAGCCATAATTCAAGGGCTCTATTTCACATTTTTTCAACAGGCTGGACCAGTGATACCTTTTAGATTCCCAAGAAGATAAATCTGTTAGAATTTGTATTCAAGTAGAAAGTTTTACAACCCCATGGCCTACTTTGAAAATTTGTAATCGTAACATCATATTCACTTTTGGCAGTATATCAATATTTGAAAACATTTTCTAAAAAATTTGTCTAATGCATAATACATAATGGCTAAGAATCATGAAATCTTTCTTCAAGGTCTACCAATCCCTGAAGATTTTGACTTCCAAACTTTATTGGAGCCTTCTTCCCCAACCTCTGAGATTGTGAACAAAAATTCAAATGACTGTGATGAGGAGAGCAAAGAAAACAATAACCAGAAGGCCAGACATTTTAACAAGAATCTAATTGGTGATACCCAGATAGGATTGCAATTGAAATACCTGGAGACAAATGACATCAAGAAGGACTTCAGGCAACTAGATAAGAGTTTCATTCGCTGCTCTTCCTACCTCACTGTGGATCATCTCAAAAAGTTTTTGAAAATGAAACTGAAGTTACCTGATACAAGTGAGGTTGATATTCTTTGCAACGGTGAAATTATGGGTAAACATCACACTTTAGAATTTATTTATATGACTAGGTGGCGGTTCACTGATAGTCTTTTAAGCTTAGATTATAGACCAAAGGTAGATTTTAATGAGGCTTGAAATTATGCAACAAAGGAGATGGAACAAAGCTAGCTGTTAATCTGTAACAATGCTTTAGCAATTAGAGCTGACCCAGGGTACAAAGTTTGTGTAATAATGGTCAGTTTTCATTGCTAGCACCATAAGGTCTCAATGTCAAATGCTCTTTCCCCATTCTTCCAGTAAATTTTAGTGATTGTTTAACTACATTTGATATTGGTTGCTAGAATGCTTCAGAGGATATTATTAAACAAACTAATTTAGGTAGCACAAGTTTTCATTAAAGAGAGGATTCATATACCGTAAATCCTCAAATTGGCCCTGTCCCTCCTAAATAAGCCATCCTCTAATAAGCCCCCATCTTGGAAGTTAAACAGTTTTAAATAGCCCCCACCCTCGAATTAGCCCCCACTCTAACATGTCAATTTTTCCCTTTTAATAAGCAATATTTGGGGTTTAATAGAGATGCAACAGAAAAATACACTATTCTTACACAGCAACAAATGAAGAAAACTAAATCTTTGATGAAGGTACCGGCCATGAAGATATCAGTATTTTGGTCTAAAATATCTTTCCATGCTTTGATTTATACCTTGTTTGATATCTTAGAAAGATTTATATCTTGATATCTAGATGATTATTATAAGGCTGTCCTTGAATAAGACCCCTCCCCCTCAAATTAGCTCCCATAATTTGAGGATTTACAGTAAACAAACAAATTATATACATTGCCCTTACAAATCAGAGTTATTTACAGATACTTTACTTGGAATAGAGAGTGACAAATTTCCTGAAGTTTATGTCAAGAATGGACTGCTTTGTCAACTGGATTATTTAGTTAATATAGAGGTAAAGATTTTTTGTTGGGCCATGGCCCAGTTGATCATACTTGTCATGTGGTTCTTATTAAATTGAAATTAAAGCATATAGTAAGTAGCATAAGCCCCAGTAATAAGTAGTACCTAGCTTAATTTTCAAATTTCTAAAAAATGGGGACCATTCTACAAGCCCATTTTGTTTCTTCGTTTATCGATATGGTTTAGCAGAGAGTTTGTCTAAATACAATACTTCATTCAGTCAGAATCTGTGCATAATAAATTTAGTTAATGAGAGGCATCATCTCACTGCCAAAGAAAATCAAGAGTAGACTCAAAAAAATTAGGTTGACTGAAAGGCTTTTAGAAAATAGCCTTTATTTAACAAAGCCAAAACTCACAGGTCTAGTAACTGGGTAAAGGAAAAAGGCTTTTTGCTCCAGGGAAGTTGCTAAAGAGGTCCTCAGTTCAGTAGTGGCATCTGCCACAGCACCTGCTACTGGCAGGTTGATGACACCTCCCAAAAGAGCTGCATAGTTAAGGAATCATGGAACAGTAATTTTGAAGAAGATGGCTTAGGAGCACCTAGCATTGAATTGTCCATCAGATTTTGTCTAGATCAGGGACACGAATTTCAGTGGGAAGCGGATAATGTAAGTTGAAAGTTTCTACTTATATTTCAACCCTATATCAAGCTTACTTTAAGACCTCCAAAAAGCTGTTAATTGTTGCAAAATATTCGCTTTATAAGCAGCTGTTGTTTGCTTGTGTCAATTTTCAAAAAAAGTTCTGTATTTTGTTGTCCTTTCTGTAACCATGGAGATAACATTTTAGGTGTTATTATCTGTCTAACAGTCTAAATTTTCAGACCTGTCAACCGAATATTTCAAAACCTGGAGATTTTTCTATTTTTCGTTAGCAAAATAGAGAGATTTGACCAAGAACAGGGAGATCAGCAGAACTTTTTAATAATTTCTTTTAATAATTTTTGTTTCTTCGTAAGCATAACAAAAAACTTTGTCCTGATGAAAGTTAATGCAAACATTCTTATTATAAGGAGACCTCTGCTAATAGAAAAGGAAGAAACATGGAGAACATTCAAAAGTTCCGGGAGAAATAGAGAGTCAAAAGTTGATAAGTCTGAAATTAGATTAATTAAAGTTAGCTTCAAGCATGCTTAACCAGCTATATTTTTGCTAAGTGTCTTTGATTTTGTTTGTTTGTCGCGAAATCTGATTTCAGTATGTGCTGTAGACTGCAACTATGTTATGGTAAAGAATCTAAATTGTCAACTTGTATCACTTTATTAGAACCTTGGGTTGCAGTTTGCTTACAGATTCATAGTATGAAGCATGTTGATCATGCTTTAATGTAAAATAATGAATAGAATTAGTCAGATATTGTACTCATTTGTTTATCTGTGTTAGAATTCTCGTTCATTTAAAAAAACGAGCTTGATGACGTTGCAAATATGGACTTGTAATACGTCATTGCCTGGTGTACAAGGGGAACACTTGCAAAGGTTCCTATTCAAGTTTGAAATTGGGACCAAAGGCAAACTGACGACTCGTGTGGAAAGATTTTGCTAAAATTTATTTTGTTTTGCGCGAAAGTGTCGGGCCTGGTCCATGGCCCCCGCATTCCTCCTCGTCAACAGGGCCCCCGTCTTCGCCCTCTTTTCGAGAAGAATCGAAGTCCATATGCAATTCTTTATATGGACTTCACAAAGAACACTTTAATTTGTAATACTGTGGATCAGTAGACTGTCATTCCCTTTGAATATGGTCATAGACTTGTATTTCCAAATGAAAATGGCCGCTGTCGACTAATCAGTATTCTATAGTACATGGAGATCTTTCCTACAATACCTCCTGTTGCTGATTGACACAAAGGGAAATTTTCAGAGAGGGAGAATTCCTATCCAAAATATTCGAAACCTCTTTCACGATTAACGCTTAATTTCTGAAAGTGCAACAGCTAGTAGTAAAGGCAACGTAGCGGTGTTTTATCAAACATAAAAAATATAGACAAGAGAACGTGACGAACGTGTTACTGAAAAGACAAGCCATATCATATAACTGCAGCTGCACAATGTAAGCTTTGGATACTGGAATGCTATTGACACTTGCAAAAGAGTAACTTTGCAGCGTGGGCTTTCTCAGCACAGATTGATATCACTTCATTTTCAGGAATATCTATATTAAAACTGCAAAGGAAAGCCAAAAACTCATAGTGTTTGAAGACTTGTTATAATCTACTGTTGTAGATTTTCTCTTCTTAAAATGTAACTACAATCAGGCAGAGGTGTTACACAAAGAATCTTCACTGCTCTATAGACAGTAGCTCTGTAATATGCATTTATACATATCTGCTATACAGAAATAGGATACCGTTGATATTTCAGAAACATTTTGTGCAATGGATTTTGACAGACTCTTTTTTAATACCATCTTGTTGAATAAAACCAAAAGACTTTTTTCCATGAAATTTTCACAAAATATTATTTTAAAAAACGATGTACAAAAGCATAGGCCTTGAGAGCAAAAATCACAGTTTTCAAAGCGAAAAAAGTAATCGACGAGACGTTATTAGAGATTGCTTCTTGCAAAGTTAACGGGACACTGTATTAAAATACTGCAGCCATATTCGGCTGCTCAACGTTTACATTTTTTCTTTGTACACAAATTTTTTCCACGCAAAAATTGTGAGCAGTTTACAATAGTGGGTAAGCCAAAAAAGTTTGCGAAGCTTAGGCAAGAAAGGTCTTTTTTAAGGGGCCGCTAAACAATCGGTGTAAATCTTTACAAAATATTATATCTTTTCTAAAGTTAAATTTTTGAAGAGATTGAAAAAGACTAATTTAATGCTATTTTGCTAAGAAAATGCTAATTTAAAATACAAAGTAGCCCTCGTCGCTGACTCCTTTGGGCAAAGGCTGCTGTAAAATGGTCTATAGACAAATTGCTTGAAGTTAACTTTTGACTGAAAAGTTCATGTGCATTTAATGAAGGCTTTTGCTGAAAAATGGTGCTTGGTTTTTGGAATCTAAGGCTTTTGAGAATGGAAACGGAAAATAACGATGCTACATTTTCCAACCAGATTTTATGAGGGCTCAGTTAATGATGGCCTTGCCTGTGTAAACAAGAATGGCGTTTGCGAGTTGATAGTCAGTAAAAAGATCGATAATCAGATTGAAGAATCGCATTTTTAGACCCTGTTTACACGAGACCGGTTCCAAAAAGATCCGTATCAATTTGAGTTCACTTAGGCGTTCTGTTTACATGAGACCTGCCTAACCGTACTAGTTTGAGATCACCTACGAAAGCGTACTCATTTGGAGCCGGTCTCACTTGGTCTCGTGTAAACACTCGAAACTGGATCTTTTGAGTACCGTAACGAGGGTAAATTCTCCGGTGACGGAGGCTATAGTGAGAGGAAGCATTTTCGTTTGTTCGCTTTGGCGCCCTTTTTACGCATCATCGTGACAATCGCCAAGAAACAAGTACGCTCTAATCATGGAAAAATTGTTCAAAATAACGTTGAATTTGATGTCAGTTTTACCTTTGTGAAAACATACCTTTGTAAAAATGCCTTGGTGACCAACATCACGCAGCTATGAAATACAAGACTGATTTATCTTCAGCTGAGAAAAGTTTCAAAGTTATGATGGGCATTGCAAAGTCCAGACCTTTACCCTATTAAAAATGCCCAGTATTACATGAAGACGCACCCAAATAAATGTCCTTTAGAAATAAAACTTAGATTGTCCAAAGAAATTCAGCTGTATGATATTGTAACATTAAATAGAAATTTATTTTTTTATACAGATGTCAATAGAAAAATTTAATTTGTAGGGCTATCCCTGAAAAAAATGTCAAGGTCATGTGGCTCTGTCTTTACTAGGTCATTCATATATTGTTCATTTTTATATTTTGATTTTAAACGCTCCTATGATTCTTTGATTAAAGCTCCTATAATTTTAAAAGCTGATCCATTCATTCAACTTGTGCGTTCTTGTGGATATCTAGACAATTTTCTATTGCATAACTTGATCAAAATCAACGGCAAAAATCTTTTATCGAATCGTTTCAAAACATTTCGAAGTGTAACTTTTCAATTCAAATGTAGGTCATCCAGTTCTTGGTCATGCAACTGATAATTGCAGTTAGCGACAATCTTATGTTTTAATTCAAACGTTGATGCGTTTTGTCAATTTATAAGCCTTTTTCGGATACACAGACTTCGTTTACAGAAACAATAGACTGTGAATAAATGGTCATTTTTCTGTTGCAAAAGCAAATCAAATATAAGTTCAAAATTATTTTCGTTTCAGTGTACCTTTACGTCAGTTTCTAACTTTTTTGCCTCCCTTTTATCACGTTGTTGTAAACATTCTAAAAGTCACGTCAGCAAAAGGATGGCACCAAAAACAAATTCGTAAACTGCATGTAGGGATTTTTGCAGTTGCTGGATCAAGCAGTCGAGAGAGCTTTGGTTATTCGAGTTAACGCTTAAGGTGTGTCGAAGACTCAAGGTATCTATTAAGCTGTACGAAAGCTAATAATTGCTTAGTTTCTTAGCATTCTATGAGAAATATTTGCTGCGTCCTAGCTGTACTGATAGTCTGTTTACCTAGAGTTTTAGACTTTACTTAGGCCCTCATAGTGGAAGGAACTAATTCATGCTCAAAATGAATATGATATCTTGTTTTTTAATTTCAATTGTCAACACAATATTTGATAATTGTTGTTAATGAAAATTAGATTTTAGTCATGCTTGCACAACTTAAAAGCTACATCTCGATTTCAGAAGAAACAAATTACTTTTGCAACCAAGAAAAAGTTTTGCCTCGGCTGTTAAGGAGTCACCTAACAAGGTAGCTGTGTTCAATTTTTTAAGCGATTAAACAACCTCTTAAAAATAATACTTCAACTTTTTCTGATCCTCAATATTCTTAAAAAAATGTGACTCTGTGCCTAAAATATTCAAATCTTTCCTACTGTTTTTTTCTTAATCACAAAAAATTTTAGATAACTAACCATATTAGCGCAATACAAGCTTGATCAGTTCCGATGAGGCTCTGGTACCCAGAGTATCAAACTTTTTGTGTGAAAGTCAAGCTTGTCTTATTCGGTAAAATTAAAATGTCAAAGACGTTTGAGACTGGTTATTCTTTTAAATTGGCTCTGAAATTTCATGAATTTCCAGCCTCGATATCCACACAGAATTCATCGTTTTAAGAAGAACAGTGCAAATGAAGTTTCTTCATGCTAAAATTTATCATTATAAGGAATAATTGAACTAATGCTGCAGGTTTTAGTACATATAGTTAAAATATGTAGCAAAATTTTACTTCACTCAGCAATTTGCGTTGCTTTTTCTGTTCTGTTTCTATCCTCAAAAAGTACTACGTAGTAGCTGGGAACTCAGCCTACCTTATCACGAAAATTACTCTTCTAAATTTCTTTAAATTTCATTCTTGCACTGTTCAACACATTTGCAAAAATTTTAATTGAATTCTCTTTGCATAAAGATTAAAAAACCATCTTTTTATCGTTTCTCAATTTTACGTTACTTCTTGTTGGTCAAGAAATTTGGTTCTTTCATTGACCGCAAACGTAGCTTATAAGAATCACTCGACTTATTTGCACATCATTTCGTGAAAATGCATTTCAATACTGTGAAGCATTGAGGATGCTGTTTCAACCAATTTTAGATGTCGTTTGAATTGCAGCCAAGTATGATATAGAGTAAGAAGAATTTGATTATTTCATCAAAATTTATAGCAGTTGAATATTTGCTCGACTTTTGTTAGGATAACAGTTGTTTTTATAGATATGCCTTCTTTTGCTCAAATATTGATGTGAATGGCTTAAATGCATTTGAAGTATGAAAATAATCTCCCCTGGAATATTGTTGCTAACTTTCAATTCTTTTCCTGTATTATGTTTACGTGCTGTTTATAGAAAAAATTGTTACCCAATGACAAACCTCAGTTATAGTATATAATGCAGCACATTGTTTGTTCAGCTTTTTTGAAGAAAAATGCAAACTATTGCATTTTTATTTTTATAGTGATTCCCAGGGAATCGCTAAACGTTTCTTGAACAGAACGCAAACCTCTAACCAGCCCTTAACACAACAGATTCTGTTTTTACACCACCATCCCACCACCACATAAATTTCTCTTTAAAGCTTAATTAGAATTTATTGTTTAAGATTAAAAGGTGTAACGAAAGAGAACAAAAGCTACACCTTACTGACTCGAGTTAATGGTGCCAGTGTTAACGCACCTTTGCTACAAAGTCCCATGTACAGTCTTATATACAATTTTTCAATATCTCTAGCCTCATACGAGCGGTATCTTTACCCTTTCGTTTCAAGAGAACAGAAAAGGTAAGCTATCCCCTACTCTTGACAAAAGGCATAAAATCATGCTCCTAAACATCTGATCTTGCTAAGCTAAACCAGCCTAGAAACGATCGTAATGCACTCCTTGGTACCCAAGCCATTTCTAAAGAGTGTCTCTTTCTCACTAGAGCTCTAGACCATCTTACAATGTTTTTCACTTTACGATACGGTGAAGACGATGAGCTGTTATTCAATTCCAATTGCTCCATTAAAGTGCTGCTAGAGAACATAAAGAAACGTTGCAAACTCGCCGCCAATGAGATCATCGACCTAGCAGACGACCAAGCACAAGTAAAGAATCTTTCAGACCAGCCAGATTTCAAGTATGCAAGCTTACTTTTGCAACCAAGGATGACGTATATTTTAGTTAAAGTGAACGTTTTTGTGGACGAGAGATCAGGTGATACACATAAAACCTACACATCACTCCTTGATGGGCTCGACGACACAAATCCGGAATTTCTAACGAGATTGGCTAATAAAAGGACACTACCCGACAACAGCCAAAAAGAGCCAAAAGATCAACAAGCTGTCTCTAGAGCGGCAACTAGAACAGGAAGACGAAAGAAAGGGCAGCTGAGAGCTATGGGATTGTTGGTGTCTGAATGATCTATGATCTCATGATTATCACTGTTGACGTCATTAACTTATTAATGGTTTTTTCTGGGTAGCTTTATTCTACTTCATTTGAGTATTGCATTTATTTGATATTAATAAAGACATTTGATATTAGTATATAATTCGTTTGATATTAATATATAATATGAATTCTAAAAAGATATTTTCTCTCCTTTCTGATTGACTTATTTTGACCCATACTGGGTACACATATTCCTTCTTTGGGATTTTAATTAATTTCATTACATTTTATACTCTGAGAGTAAGACCAAATACTTGAAAACTTTTTTAAAATGCTTTTTTAAAATTCAGCAGAAACTATCGCTCCACGATTTATCACAGCAAAAAATTGCATTCTCAAATCCCCTGAGAATAAACAGCCATACCGTAGGACCCACGCAACCACCATTAGGCCTTTTCGGTCATATTATCTGCTTCTAACAGCAAAGGATTCTTCTAACGAACCAAGCTTGCTAAGATAATAAGCGTGTTTTGAAATAGTCACCGATAGAAATTTATTGGCAGATTCTTTAAAAATATATATTGAGACACGAGCTAGCGATATAACCCTAAATAATGTCACTAGAAATTGGGCCTGTCACTTTGTTATGTGCACCCCGTACATATTTTCTCGGCATGAAATAAATATTTTGGTTAAAAAGTAAGCTACACTAGTTAAAAAGATTTAGTTTAATCAGTAGTAACATTAATTGCGTCCGCTCTACCGTCATTGCTCTTCAACAAACAGAATTCTGGTGCATATTTGCAATGCTTCTTTTCCTTTCCATCTACCTTCTCTAAGACATGAACGCACAAGGTTGATTCTAGTACAAAGCCAATTCCTAAGTATAGATTGCTTTTTAAAGCTCAAAAACAGAATCTTTGATAGTGTTACGTTAATACCGTATAACTCAGGTAGAAAAAAAGACTCAAATGATTAGAATTAAAGGTTTATGGTTCCAAATCCGATAACATGTGTTTTTGTATCAGTGCCATCGGAACGAAATTCATATTGGGGGGAGGCTGCCCATTGTATTCCTTCTCATTCAGTAAGGCTAGCACTGGCTCTGTATAACATGCAAATTGGTGTTCCTTGCAAAGTTCAGTTCACCTAAAGCTTAGAAGTACAGCTGTGGTGAATGACACAGTCAGAGTAACGTCCTCATGAAAATCATGTGTGCTTTACAGTTAATTAAATTGTTTTCAATTCCACTGCAAATCATTCAGACTGAACAAATCTAACTCATAAATACTTGAAAATAATTAAAAACACAGTGAATTCTGCCAAAGTCTGAATCTTTTTCTAAAATACCAGCTGCCGTGCATTGAATGAGAGTCCATCAATATTCCAGTACTTTTTCCCAGTTAACTATAACATAAAGCTAACACATTATCTTGTACTTTGTTGAAAATAAAATTGAAATCTGCGTTTGCTTTAGTTTACTTGATTTACTGGTGTTTAGCCAACATGTATTTTTGAATTTTAATTTATAAAGTGCAGAATCTCAAAACAACTGTAAAAACTTTGATTACACCAAATCTCGTTGGCAAATCATTGAATTCCCCCATTGATTTCCCCCACCTTCCCCTAAGTGTGTTCAGCAACCACCCTGCCTTTGCTAATAATGCGAGGAGTTTTCAATTATTCAAATGCTTTGAGGCTGCCGATAGCAACAGCCCGTTCTCTCAAAAGCAATCAATTCAAGCGAAAATTTCCAATGGCCTAAAAAACATAGCATCGACATTTTTAAATACAGACTAATGAATCTGAATTATCAGAAAAAAACCAAAGACGAACGGATCCGTTAGCGCAACATGGCCAAAAGCAAGGAGTAAAACAGCTCTTATTGTGTTTCCATTAATTTTCAATTGCAATCGCAGCATATAGTTACTTATTTAATAAAACAAACAAGCTTTATAGAGATTTAGTGAAACTAGACAAAGAAACATTAGTTCCAGAAATAAGCACACAAGGTTGGAAGGTATTGGTAATTGTAACATATTAAAAACTACTACAACTATACAAAAAATGATAAATTTCGAAAGTTGCTTTTGATATACAAGCATGCCCTTGATCAGTATTCAGATAAATTTAATAACTGTTAACTGATACGCAATATTTTACAACCAAGATGGACAATGATGTATGTATTCACAATCGAAGAAGGTATGTAAATTACAGATAAAGGATAACTCTGCTTCTCAACATTTAATAATAACAATAATGATAATAATAATATTAACAATGGTACAATCGAGCATATCCACTACAAGTGTGGCCCTTCACCTCTAAGATGTAAAGCAAAGTAAAATTACAAGTTCAAAAGTTAATAACAGTTACATAATTAAAAAAAGAAATAATGTTTTTTTAGTCCAATTTGTTGTTTGCTTTTGCAAATAAATGCTTCTTCAAGTTGGAACAGAACGTTATGAAGCTAGACTGAGATTTTATAGGTCCAGGTAAGGCATTAAAGCACTTTGCAGCGGCATCTTCAAAAGTATTTGCTATTAGTGATTGCCTTATACGAGTTTCATTACTACTTCGCAGTACTCAGTTACATTTCATTACTACTTCGCAGTTACATTTTTTATACGTTCACTGACGAGGTATTTTGTTTGGAGCATCAAAAGCCAGGTTTTAAAGATTCGGGGTTCACCTTCGTTTTTACCACCCTGCACCCCCAAAGAAATAATTGACACCTGGACCCATTTCTGAAAACCTCTTCACAACAATGCGGGCTTTGTCTAGTACTGCAGGGGAGAGGGTACCCCCAACATGTTTGAAGGTACGGAGACGTGGCATCATTCGTTTGAAAAGTGTGGAATAATCGGTATCAGTTTTTGAAATATGTGCGGAACTATGGTTACTATTTGAAGAAACATGCAGAATTATGGGACCTACTTTGGAAACATGTTGCAAAGTCATTCAGAGGGAGAATTAGCATTAACAAAAAGAATGTCCAGTTAGAATTGTGTTATGTTTGAGATTTTGGGACAAAGAACATGCAAAAATTGTTTGATGACTTTGTTGTGCTTCAAAATGTTTTTTATTTTGCCGAACTTGGGGAACATTTTTTCAGACATGTGCAGAATTGTGGGTCCAAATTTTTTAATGAAAATGGAACGCCCCCCCCCCCAAAAAAAATTAGGCTTAGCTACCCTCCCCCCTCCGGGTCCAGTTTTTCAGAACTAAAGGAGCAATATCAAAAATGCGAAAATGCAAAAATTTTGAAAAATACTAAAGCTTTTCCTCCGATGAAACTCCTCAGAGTATAGGCAAACGGTTCTGATTGGGCAACTATCTTGTGCCCGGGTTTCTGATTGGCTTAGAGTTTTCGATTTATGTTATGACGTTTTATGCTGTAAAGAGTGCCAGATGAAAAGCTTTCGTATGGTTCAAAATGTTTGCTCTTTTCAAAGCCATTTTTCAGATTTGTACCACCAAAAAGTATTTAGCAATGTCATGGTTAATTGCTGTTCGAAATTTAAATTAGGAAAAACTTTTCTGTTTTCACAGGCGTCATTCTACTGCACGCCTGTTCCATTTGTCATGGCACAAGTTGAAAACCTTGAGTGCCCTTTGAACAGAAGATGTTATTTTTACAATCTGAATCTGAATCTCATACAACAGAGTTTCCCTAAAATACTACACAAGACATCATTTCTTTCCAAGGGTCTTTCGTACATTAATAGAACAGTGTAATTATTTTCATGAAACAAAAACAGATCTCATCAACACTCACTTAGCTGTTTATATTCAAATAAATTGTTTAAAGCGAAAGGTGCCAAATTGAGATAATCAACAGAAGGAAAATTTGAAACTATTTCCACCTTGGTCAAAATCAAAACTCTTTCACAGGCTTCGTTACAAACAGGCAGGTCATTTACTCAATAAGACTAATGGTATTCCAGAAGCAGATGTTATCCGCAAAAACTTGCTTTTATTCCATAAGAAAATTTCTCCGACTTCCTTCATATCCATATTTATAATTTAAAAAGCTGTTAGCGGAACATAAGTGCGAGGATCTGAGCAAATCCGGATCTTTAGTTCAATCAACTGCTGTCAAAATTTACTAAAATTCTGTTAAAACTGATATACATTCAAGTAACGCAGGCTTTGTGATAATAGTTTCCTTTTTAAACTTGAGCCGGTAATACCCTTATTTGACGTCAATGTATTTATGATTAATTTATGTATCAGAAAAACAGAGTTCTTCAAAGATTAACTACAACTGTTGACAGCCCTAAAGCCGCGGAAGAACCTTGTCTTTGTCTCCATTCACATGCCGCATTTCCATGGTGGCAGCTCTCTGAAAGCGTGCTTCTTTTTTGCCATATGACCCTAACTCTTTAATGACTGTTGCTCTGCGCAATATCTCCCTATTTCCAAGTAAACGATGCATCGCTACTTTAAATGCCATTCGAAATTGTTTGTTGGTGAAGTTGTAGATAATTGGATTTACCGCCGTAGAAACCATTGGTAGACAGTCAAAAATGATCACGAAGATTTCAGGTACTTTCCGATACGAACCGAGAAGAACTTCTTTTTTGATACCCATTATTATATTCACGATACACATTGGCAGCCAGCATATGACAAATGCCCCGTAAACCATAGCTAATGTGGCCGTAACGCGTAGTTCGCGATGCGCCCGTCGCTGGGACATCTTGGAGGAGCGCCTGTTCTCGTTTTCATCCTGAACTGTCAGCAACCGACTTGTCTTCTTTATAGCTCGTATATGCGACAGAGCTATTCTCAGTATAATCGAATACATTATACCCATTATAACCAGTGGGATTAAGATGACTAGGAAGTTAAGCATTGAGTAGAAATACTTGTTATCCGTAATGCAACCTGGGCCTTTGACTGATGGCTGGCTTGGGTCATCCCATTTAAAAAGGAAAAGAGAAGCTACGATACAAGCACATAGCCAAACCAACGCGACCACGATCTTAGCCTTTTTCTTGGTGACTTTCTCTTGGTACAAGAATGGTTTGTCGATACAGTAAAATCTGTCAGCAGCGATAACAAACAAAGTGATTATAGTCGCTGGTGTTAAGATCAGGTCTGATAAAACCAGCATCAGACAAGCACCGATACCGAAACAAAAATTGTTGTTATTGAGCTTTATAGAAATCTTCATTGGAGCTTGAAATATGGCAAAAGCCATGTCACTCACTGCAAGAGAGATAATGAAGTAGGTGGTAGGGTCTTGTCTTAGTTTTGGCGACAGACCAACAGCAATGCAGACAAGTGAATTGCCAAGAAGCGCCACTATCATTACTAGTACCATAAAAGCTGCATACGTGACTGTGCCAGCATCAACTTTTAGATAAACACATGGAGGCGTTCCATTCACTGGAGTCGTTAACGTAAAGTTGTCAGTCAAAGGAAACGTGGTATAATTCAAAGACATGTCGGTACCACGAAATTTGATCGCTTTGATAAAATCACAATTGCACTTCGATCCTGCTTTCTCAACTTTGATTATTCATCGACTTTTGAGAAACACTGGCAGTATTACCAATTTAATGTCAGTGTGAACTGTTGATGTATCTGTTTAAATGAGCACGTTCCTTTGAATTTTTCCTTAAAAAGCAGCTGATGATTTATGATCACAAATAAGTACGACTGTCCATAATATATACCTTGTCACTGTAGAACGAAGTTGCCGCTGTATTCACCAGTGTTAGCAACAACTGCTTCTATAGATGCGTTTCAAGTCATCTATTTCTCACCTGCAATATAAAATTTTGAATGAGATAATTTCAAAGTTCTTTAAATCCTCCAATACAACATGCATTGAGAAAACTAACCACCCGTTGAGATGAATCAATCACATTTTAATACCTTTAAAATAAGCAAACAATTTAGGCAGCATACCGTCTTCCTGGCAACAGGGAAGTAACAACCATCGGAACAATCTATGGTATGGCCAGGGCCTAAGATATATGGTATGGTAAGATATAGTTGTCTTGGTGTAAGATACGACTGCGGTGAAACTTTAAGAATGTAAAGAGCTCCCTATTTTTACAGACTATCTTCCAGCTATAAAATCTATTGACTGTAATACTTCAAGAGGGGTATTGAAACGTCAATCAACAGAATGCGCAATATAGAACAAAAAGTATCTTTGAATGTATGTCTTCTCAGAAAATAAACCCTTTTGTAATGCAAATAGGAAACCCTAATATTGTATATGAAAATTGTGTCAAAAATAAGGATTTGTACAAAAACAATACAGATTATCTCAATGCTCGCTGTCGAAAATAAATTTATCCAACTGTTTAAACAGTAACATGATAATGCAAAAATTGTTACCAAAACAGATAAAATGTTAATGGAAAGGGATTAACGCTTCAGAATTCGTCTTAAATCAGAAATGGCGTTCTTATTTGATGCAAACAAAAGAAAATGATTGTGAAATATTTTGATAAAATAACGGGATTATCGACAATACCATTAATTAGATATGAGTGAATGCCACTGTATAAATCTTAGTCGAAATGGTAGGAAAACAAAAGCTTGTCTTTAACTTAAAGCACTATAGTTTGCACCATAATGCGTTAGATATCAAAAATCTTGAATCACTTGTGAATAATTTGAAAACAGACAAAACATTTTCTTTTCAAAGTATGTTGAATAACATTTGTTAAAAAATTGAATCTTTAACTCGTTTTTTAAGATTGGGAAAGCAATGAGATTTTTAGTCCCTTTCAATTCCTGTATTGTTTGCTACCTAGCTTCCGAAGGTAGTTATAGAACACTGAAAAGCTGTGCTTATCGAGCAGTGTCCTGGTACTTTCTCTCGATGTGACCACGTCTTGTTTTTCCTACACGCCTGGAAATACAGAGAGCTGGCGACTCTCCTCACTCTGGGGGAAGGTTTGTTCATGCCAGGGACTCGAACCACTGACCCCTGTGTCTTTAGTCAGCGACCCTAATCACTGATCATTCCTTCCATTCCGTGCCATTCCCTGTAATGTGAAGGTTTCCTAACTCTATGAGGTTTTCTTACGTGGTTAAGAAAAGTATATCGAAGTTTAGTAATGAAACTACTTTTCAGAAAAGAATAAATAAAGCAAAACACTAAGAATTTTATTCAAGAGAACGGTAAAATTCAGTACAATTGAAACCCGAGTAAAAACGATCTTGTAAAGGACTGCTAGCAAATCTGCGGCTGTGGGCACGGCTCTATTGATGTCAAATAAATGGGACTTCTAGACACGCGTGCTTGAAAATGTTCTTTAAGTTTTTTGTTAAGAAGATCAAATAGGATCTCAAATTCTCATTGGACAGGTATAAATCTAAATAGTTCTTAGCTCACAATGGTTCATAACATTTGTTTTTCACTTAAAAAGAAAGGAAAACCTTTTAAATGGGAATAAGGGAAATGTTGAAAGCTATGTGCCTTGGATAAATCATTGCGAAAGAATTGATAGCAGGTGTAAAACATTTGAAATTGCTGTTTTGATAACCAGGTTCTTTTCTACGGAGTCTACTGCTCACTTTATATAAAGCGCAGATTTTATCATTGTTATCAAGTAGACCGAAAAAGAGCGACAGTCTTTATAATTGTTAGGAAGATAAAACTTTTTCCAATTTCGGCCAGAGTACCAACTTGACCAACTTAAAAGTTAGAACAGAAGCCGTATTTGAAGAAACACTGAACAGTTCAACCTTTATGGTGCATTCAAAGAATCTGCCTGCAGACTCAGGGGCGGCCTGGCCCGGGTGGAAAAGTGGCGATCGCCACCCGGGCACTGTGTAAAAAAAATTTACGGGCCCTTCCCTCGCTGGAGAAAATATTTTAACTGAACTTCATTTCATTTTATTTCATATTGATAATTCAAAAACTTTTAATTACAATATACTGATAATACGATTTAATTTGGTAAGCTTAGGACACTTGGAAAAAACTCAGAAGGGCTATCGAGCCAAGTGCCCTTTACACAATTTGACAACAATTTACAACATAGATGAAACAAATGACAACTTTTTAGCGCAAGAAATTGAGCAATGTTTGAATGAAGGCAGGAATTACAGAACAAAACACAATTTTATGGATAGCCTTTGTTATCTTCCTGGTTAGCAAGTTGGAATGAACAAGTAAACTCTGAGGTAATCCTTGAAGTAGATTAACCTATAGGTCTCAGAAACGTTTTCACCTGAGTCTCATTCTCATTCTTCAAAAGGGGTGCACAATTTCCATAAAAGAAGTGCCAGACTTGTTTCCACTCGGTGAGAGAGGGGCAACTGCCCCTAGTTGCCGCCACCCTTGAGATCCACCACTGCTACCAGCAGCATATCGTTCAAATAAAAACAACAATTAGTGCAAATGGAGATAAAGAATTAATAGATAATTTCAAGGAACAAGCTTTCAGAGAAGAAACATACGGAGAAAGAACTGTGACTTTCAAGGTGGGGGTTCGCAAAGAGAGAAAGGACTCCAAAGTCGACATCGACACCCTTTATCAAAAGGGTAGAAGCTTGCTAACTGTGCATCAAATGTTGAGAACAAAATAAGAACAGGCTAAGGCTGAGCTATTGTAAAATGCAATTCTGAACAACATTTTATCCCAAAAACGAGGATTTTTAGCCATATGTGGGTGCCTTTCGGTGAATATTCAATCTTATTGTCAAATGAATGTTGTCTCACTCGTTTTGTTGGCAAGTGATGTTTGAACACCTCTAGCAATCGCACTGCTTGCACCCTAATAATTTAGGAACAAATTAAGAAAGACCTAGCGTCAGATTTTTGCAAAAACTAAGAACTCTCAGCTTGAACCTAAAATTACTGGTTCTTATAAAAAGAAGCATGTATACAAAATACACATAGAAACATGTTGAGAAACATCTCTGACCAGCTGATGTTATGGAGTCACATCGTGGACAAAATGACAACCGATAGACCGTACCGTGATACATGGATCGTACCGTCAGGTACCCGTGGATCGTCCCGTTACGTCATGGCACGGTTTGACAAATTTGACGACTCGATCTAAGGCATTGTCCCACGATCTACGAATCATAACATGATTGGTATTGTATCGTTGTGATACGTAACCTACAGCCCAAAAGTGCGTAGGGGAATTATACAAGGGTGCGTCTTTTCACCAGACCTTTTCAACAGAGCTACACGAATTGGAAGGACTTATTGTTGGGGGAAGAAACAGCACAAATATAAGATACGCAGACGATACAGCGATCATAGCAATATCAGAAGAGAAGCTACAAGCACTACTGAACAAAGTAGTGGAAGAAAGTAGGAAAGTGGGCCTTTCTATCAACTTCAAGAAAAAGCAAAATACGCCTAAGATGTAATCTAAAGGTAGAGAGGAACAACATCAAGCAAGTTTGATAACAGACGGTAAATGTGATGCAGAGATAAAGAGAAGAATTGCCAAAGAAACGTTTCACAAAATGCAAAGCACACTCAAAGATCGAAAAATGCCAATGACCCCTAAAATCAGGATTCTGAAATGCTACATCTATCCTGTGCTATCCTATAGTTGTGAATGCTGGACCATAACAAAAGCAATGAGTAGAACGAGTAGCAGGCAGCGGAAATGTGGAAATGACCCCTAAAATCAGATGGAGTTATTTGGGCACGTGGTGAGAAGGGAAGGCTTGGAACACCTAGCGGTTATTGGAAAGATAGAAGGAAAGAAAGAAAAAGGAAGACCAAGAATTGGATATGTGAATTAATCAAGACAGCTAAGAGCAGGGTAGAGTGGAAGGCCATGACAGGCACCTAGAGAGAGAGAATCTCTGAAACAGAATATGATGCAAAATAGATACTGGTATCATCGGCATACATAGATAAATGACAATACCTCAAGCATTTTGGTAGATCGTTGAAATATACCAAGAAGAGGAGGGGCCCAAGATAGGATCCCTGAGTAACCTCACACTTTACAGCCTCGGTTCTAGAGTTTTGTCCGTTAACTCTTCAAAATTGCATCCTGTTGGTAAGGTATGAACAAAACCATTGGAACTCTATGCCTTTAACACCATGGTATTTGAGTTTACTCAAAAGTATCTCATGATCAACTGTGTCGAAGGCCTTCTTTAGATCGATCAGGACTGCTGCCGTGCATAAGCCTTTATCGATGTTAAGGTACCAATCAATTAACAGTGGCGAAGCTGGACTCCCATGGATGGTCGTGCCCATTGGCCACTGCGCAACAAAGATGCGCCTCCGCAATATTATCCAAAAAAGTATTTCAGTGATCTAAGGAGCTCATATAGCAATTGCATGGCACTGCATTACTTTTCTGACACGACAGAAACAAACTAAATTTAAAAGTATAAAAGCTGCTTTTGTGTCTCCCCTGCCTCTGGCTGATACTCAAAATTCATTTTCTTTCCAAAGTGTGATGGAGGTTCCTGGCAACTTTTTTTTATTTTTGGTATTATTTACCCAAATATCAGTTCACAGGATAATAAAGCTTGAACAAAAAACTTTTTCTAAAATTTTATCAAATTATTGCAACAATGGGACCAAAATATACACCTGTGGACTCAGATTTCAAATGTATAATAATTGCAAGCACTATTTGTTTTGCACACATAAAATTTAGAATTTCATTCAAAAAAGAGGCAAAAGTTTGGCTTTAAAGGCAAACTTGACTGTGAAGTGCAAGGCATGTATCAAGAATTAGATGACAAATGAAACAGATGAAACAGAAATATTAGAATATCTGCTGAAGACAGTACTGTCATGCAGCATTATTGATCTAGCCACAGTTAAAAAGCACTAAATAGTGAGTGGCAGAATGAAGGCAATATTTCTTTAAAATCCTTGAGACCTGTTTTTTCATCAGGTTTGTTGCATAAAGATTTGTAGGTAGCCACTTTGTTAAGCTGAACCAAACCACTCACAGAGATTCACCAATCAATTAGATACCTAATTTAAGGTTATGCCTTATGAGATAATGATAAACTACACCATGTATGACAATATTTGAAAGTTGCATAAGATGAAATAACCATTATAAGGTTTGAATAAAATTCCAATTGAAAAGCAGCATTAAATTAATCATTGAAAAACAGATCATGACAATTTATGAATAAACAGGGCAGCATACACAAATGAAGAATGTTCAATAAATTTCTTCAGTGTCCAGCTAGGTGGAAATACTGAGATCAGATGACGGGGGACACAAATTTAATACAGAATAATCATGAGCCTGAGAGTTATTTGCAGACAACAGTTTTTCTCGAGCAAACAATTAAGGGGGGTATGTGTAATAGCTTAAAGATTATTTCACCCTGCTTATTTAAGATAAACTGACTAATTCATGGAGAAACTGCACACAACCAAATTACATGAAAAGCAAGGGAAAAAATCAGAAAATCACTAGGCTGAGCTTGAAAACATATCATCAGAAACATAAACAAAACCATCAACAGGTTGATCAATGCTGTTTCATTTTTCCCTTTCACGTGTTTTAAGGAGGGTAAAACTCCAGTAGAGCTAATTTGCAAAAAGGTTTTCTACTATAAATACTTTCAAAATTCAGAACTTTCTACTGGGAAGATTCTAGTCCAAAAATACATCAAACACCTCGTAACTAATGTAAAATGAATAGATATTTATGTACAATTTGCCCCAAATGTTCATAATAATTTCGTCTTGGACACCTAAGTATACTGTTGTCAAAATAATTATTGATTATTTTATTGATTGATTGATTGAGTTTATCCCGTTCAGTGTGCGTCTCTCTGGTACAAATCCGAGCGAAAAACTGCCATATTTTCCATTCTGATCACGTTAAAAACATCCAGATGATATTCAAATTATTGTCCATTTTCTAGATAAGATAGCATCTTGCACATTTGAAGATCTTAATTTTGTTTAGGTGAATGAGAGCTTATTCGCCTACCAAAGAGATCCATTGGATTGATTCGGTATAGGCTGAGTCAAAATAACTATGAAACAATCTCTCCACAGTCGTTAACCAGTTTCCTGATAAATTACAACGGTTTATTGGACTGGAACATTTACATGCACCATTTAAATCACCCTGAAAAACACACCAACATCCACAAACGCCTGCAGTATTGACAAGTAGGCCCCAACAGGGTGCAGATAGTCCTGCCTTCAGAAACGGGCACGACCTCGTGATTGATGTCCTCCAGCTTCAGCCAATCAAACGCTGGAAATCGTACCTCAACTATTATTATTATTATGACGAGGTCATGCTCATTTCTGAGGGCACGACTAGCATTGTTTTTCTCTATTGTTGGGCACGACCAAACATAGGCTGTCCAATTGAAGCTTCTATTGTTGGGCACGACCAAATCACAAGGTACCAGATTTTGGGCACGACCAATATGAAACCCTGGGGATTTCTACTCCGCTCCTGAAATAATTCCAGGGGCCCTGGGCGATTCGAGTAGAATTCACTTATGTCTGCGGGATAAGCTTGATCGATTTGTCGATTATACGACTAATTTTTGTCTATATTTGAAGACTTTTCGCGGAGCAAAATAAATTTTTGCCAATATGTGAAAACCTTACTTTTGGAAGTTTATGGTCGTGCCGGGCACGACAGGCACGACCTTTGGCTTCGCCACTGTCAATTAAGATAATGATAACCGAAAATTTTAACTGTAAAAGTAAATATTATTCAAGGGCACATAGGCTTGTAAATATTCTTACTTCGGTGACTTGGTATTCTAGCAATATTCTAGGAATGATAGCCACACGAGTACTGTGACCGAAGGAAAACTCTCGAGCATTCTCGAAAATTTCAGACCGACAACTTTAAGATTAACAGACTTTTTCATGATACTGGAATATATGGCAAAATTAACTGTAGTTTTTATGTTGATCAATCATGGAAAGTTTAACCTAGCTAAAGATATATAACGAAAAACTCCTCTGAAGAAGGAAGCTAAGTGCAACAAGAGTAAGGAAAGATTGTGGAAATTCAAAGCACCGCAAAGCGCAAAGCAATATTTTGGGGAATAGTGAAACAGGCAGCAATACCAACTTTGTTAGGTGTCGGGGATCTGTGCAATGGAAAAAGAAGTGAACTGAAAAATTGCAAAAAGTACCAAACATTTCATAGCTTTCTCTTGGAAATCGTTGCATCTGAGGCCACGAGATTTAATGACGACGTGAATGAAGCACCGAGAAAGGTTTAAAACCATTTGGTGTTAGGGATCTGGGATTTCAAGCAAACTACACGGAGTCATTGAATCACTCCTACACTGAATCAAATTCCAATTTTCTGCAAAAAACCAACGAATTTCTTTGTATCTTCTTATTGTCTAGGAGACCAAGTCAATCACGATAGATCGTTGCTGACAAGACCTTCTTAGGACCACTGACTTTCCTATTTAATTAGTTTACTGTAAAGGTCACTATGAAATGTTATGTTTTTTACAAAATCATTGGGCAGCGGGGACGTGTTTCAGTTCTTAAAGTCACTATGTCCCGATGAATTAAATTCCAATTTGTTTGCATTATACACAGGGGTGTAGCGTGCGGGAGGGGGGTGTACACCCTAACCCGCAAATTTCAGAGAACTCGTCGGTAGAATTAAATTTATAACAAAATATTCATGTAACAAAAGAACTTTTGTCGGTAAAATATGGTTTTGCATCTCTTACATCCCCAGCGCGAATGGTCACGCGACGCCCCTGATTATGCAATAGGCCATTGTCAAATCTCTAATCGTCAACGCAGCACTAATACTCAAAGGTTTCTCAATTGAAAATGCGCCACAGAGCCAATTGCTGGCTTGCAAGTTTTAGCCTGACTATCTTGCCTTCAAGCTCTAGCTTTTATTCAAGAAGTTCAAATTTGAGAAAAGTCTTTATTAATGAGGCTTACAGGTGCTGAGTAGTAAGGTTTTTCCTGATCTTTAATATGTGACGTAATATGTGACTATAATTACTTCGTTTTCCTTTAAATATTTTACTTAATTTAGGCTTCAATCCCCAGGAAGAAGAAACGCGTGCAGAGAAAACTCTTTCCTCTTTCGTGGAGGTTGAAGTTTAAATGCTGGCTAAAAATCGTCTTGTTCTAAAGCCACTTAATATCTTTTTGATTTGATTCTTTTTCGGCTAATAACACCACGTTTGTAAAATGCATTATCAGGGTACTTTTGTGGAATTTCATATAACAAACATGTCAGTCTATAGATTTGAAGTGATCCCGTATCGTTTTACTAAGTGTCGAAATGACTTTATTTGTTAGAGGAAAGATTACATAACCCTTTTACGTCCTCACCTTTTGAGACTGGGATCATCGCTTTCAAAGTGAGTGGTTACTGAGGAGTAAAGTGAATTCGACAAAAGGATTCAT